ATTTAAACCATTGCACAGTAAATACTGTCATGTCAGCCGTGGACATCAAATATAATGGAACTAGATGGCACTCGGCTTTTGTTGCCTTACGTGCCAAAAAAAATACATTTCAAAAAATCAACCGCAATGTCTCTTTCCAGACATCATGGCCTACAGACCTTGTTGTGAGCAGTTTTATGCAGGAACTATTTTCTTTCTACTGAACTACATTCACCAACCATATCACTGCATAGAAGGAAGCATGCATCTACTCATGGACGAGTGTCTCATGCTCATGACAGCCTGAGATGTAAACATTAATGACGTCTACCTTGGCTGAGCTGTAATGTTAGCTAGTTCAGTGCTGCTCGGTGAGCTAGCAGAAGATGCATGCTTCCTTCTGGTGATATAGTTGGCGGGTGTAGTTCAGTTGAAAGAAAATAGTTCCGACATGAAACTTGATACAAAAAGATCGATGGATTATTCTAAGAAACCAGGTCATGATTTCTAGAAAGACACTGCTGCTGAGTTTTTCAAATATAATTTTTTGGCACTTTGAGCACCACAAGCCGAGTGACATCAAGTTCCAATATATTCAAGAGAAGGCAGACGTCTTTACAGCCGATATCTCCAACACTGAGGAAATCACACCAAAATAATCGACACTGATAAATAGCACTACAGGTAAGAGGAAAAATATATTTTTGATTTTGAGGTGAACTGTCCCTTTAAGAGCACAATGGCTCAGAGTCTTCATTCATTAAGAAATACTGACCTTTGCTGATTTTCACACAACTACATCATTAGATATTTGTTCATCATTGTAAGGAACTCTGCACGGAGATTTCAGATCTCAGGGGAAGAGTTATGTAAGTGAAAGAAAACCCTCGTGGACTTATAGCGACAGTATAAGGTTGAGTACCTTTAAGTAAGATTTTATTAGTCAATGAAATAGGAATCAGTGAGGGAAGAATAAAGCATGAGCTTCCACTAACAGGAATCTGTCTGAATGTTAATAGGAAATGTTCTGACATATCCGTATGGCGCACACTGCTTTGTACGCTCTGTGTATGTGTGAGGGTGAGTGTGTACATCCATGGTGTTGAAAGAGTGAGAGACAGTGAAAGAGAAAGAAACATACAAAGGAATAAATTGAAAGAATCGCCTTGCTTCACTGACACATGCTCCCACCTTGGTTAAATCTGCAAACCCACCATCTTCTAAAGATACATCACATTAAAATATACAGTATGAATCCTACAGCGTGATGATCCGTCTCTCACAGTCCATTGCTGCTATATTTTGTATGAAAGCGAGTGGAGATGCAGGGGGAGGCTGTGAGGTGATACTAATGAGAATCAAAAGATGATAGATTTTTTGCCATTCACATCTTGGCATGCTCTTCATCTCACGGACAAGACTCAGCTGGTCTTCCTTTCTCTGCAATTCAATATTTGTTACTTGCATTCTGTGTCTGTGTCTTCCAGAACTACAACTTTGAAATGTTCATGCAATCGCAAAAAAACATATTTTGTTTATTTATTTTAATCTATCTTCAGAAATGGAACAGCTTTATGCCAATTGTAAAATCAGACATCACAGAACAGCAAAGCTCAGTAAAGAGTAGTATATCATGGTTACAATACTGTGGTGTGCTGCTTAATTTGAGTTCAAGTGTGTGTATGAGCAGACAGCAGGATCATTAGTCGCGATGAGAAACTGTTCGATTGCGGTTCGGGGAATGAGAGTGATAATTGATGCTCTCACTATCACCTTGACTCCTGCTGGAGCTCCCAGACGAGACAAATTTACCAACACAGGATCTGAGGGAACAGCCTCCAACATGCTGCCCAGATTTAGAAAGCTGACTCTGATGTTTGAGGTTAAGAGGCAGGATGAGACATAAAATGGTTACTTATAGAGGAAACATACATCAAATCAAATAGAGGGTCCAAGGCAGTTAGCTGTGATGAACAAATTGGCAGCTTTGATTTAAATTCATTTGCAGCATGATTGCAGATGGTATAGACAGATCAGTCCAGCTGGCAGTCCAGCTAGGAATAAATTATGTGATTATCTGACGTGATCAGGGTATGAACTCTTTTTGTGCAAAGAAAATGTCCTAATGTAGCAGACATTTTTCAACAAAAAGGCAATTGTGCCCACACAAAACAATCTAATGGGCAGCTTTACAGTAAATTTGTCAAGCAAATTTAACCTTTTTGATTTCAGGGACCTCATGCATTTTGTTTTAGTGCCACTAGTGAAAACAAAAAAAAAATTTGGCCCAATTTCTGGCAAAAAAAAACAACAGTATGTTGTTTGTTGAAGTCTCACTGAAACAGAAATTGGAGCATCTTTAGCTTCTATACTGTGACGAATTTCCCAGTGAACTGGAAAATTTGACCCGTTTGCAATTACAAGAGGGAATTAAATCAAATCCCTCTCATTTAATTTGTCCACTACAGCACGGGCAGACTGGGACACAAATTCAACTTGGGACATTCAGGCGCACTGGCCCACACACCAGCCCATGCACCGGCCCACACGTTTCTACCTATAATCCTCTATATGCTTGTTCACACTACACAAACGCTGCCCTCAGAATCAACTGCATAAGAAAATCAGCAGTCATGGTTTAATTCCAGACTATAAATAAATGCAATCATGAATTGGCCACAAATGGCTATGTGCATATTAGGCTTGAGGAGATGTCATCATGACACCGCGCCCCGCCCCCTTTGGGCCCCCTTCCGCCATTTTGAAAGCATACCAGCAGAGCCCTATGGCCAGAACCGGCTTGTTGTGATCAGAGGTTATTGTGTTCCCGATTCCCACTTGAAGATGGGGAGACACTGCTGTGTAAAAAACTGCTCCAGTGTCAACAGACAGTGCACACATAGAGCTTCTGAACATCATATAAAGGACCCCTCACACCTCTCCCACTGCCTGTTTTCCCCCATGAAATCAGGGAAGAGATCCGCAGATAGTTAGACGCCGCAACTCCGAGCACATATGCAGTTCACAGTTTTGGGGCTGGTATATGGACAGGTCTTTCACCCAGCTGCAGCAGAACTGCTCGGAGCTTTCCAGCGATTGACACCTACATTCCCTACGTTTTTTTTGCCAACCAATAACCAAACACACATCTGCTCCTATCTCTCTCCATATTGCACTGCTAGCTACTACAACTCACAAACAGTAAAGTGCTGTTTTGTATGATTGGTGTGGCCAGCCAGTCACCCAACGTCTCATTTGATGGTCAGGAGTGCAGGAAGAGTCAGCAAATATTTGAAACCTAGTTTTACAAGAAAATAGAAAATACAGAGATTTCGATGCAAAAACAGTCTGATACTGTTTTTTGTTGTTGTTTTTTAATAAATGGCATGTAACAAGAGATAAATAGTCAGTGACGACAGGCATACAGGATTAAAACTGTTAAAATGTGTTATTTATTTCCCTGGTCTTTCAAAGAACTGTAAAACTTCAGTTAAAAGCCTAGTCCCAATTAAACACCCAGCCCCTTTTACTAGCCTGGTGTGGAGACATATTTCAACAAATAAGCACGTGTCTCAATTAGACACCTGGTCTGGTTGCCAAGCAGTTAATTTTCATAGAAGTTCATGGATGTATAAACCAGGTTGTTGGCGACCCACTTAAGCTAACGTGAGTTACAGTAGCTGCTTCGATCATGCATACAGATAGAACCATGAGCACCAGAGAAGACTGCAATTCATTCAGATTTACCAACATGGTAAACTGAGTGCAGTCAGAATGTGAGTCCACTCCTCGATTACCCACTAAGTTATTTATATTCCATTTGTCTGTTTGGATGTGTTTTTCATTAAAATTAATCCAAGTGAGTTTTCTTTTAACAGTATAAAGTGGTATTGTGTCGGTATGCGTGGTGCTGTAATCCTCGGGTGCCATGACACGATTGTGACAACTCTCTCTGAAAGTATGCGCTCAAAGCCAAACTCCAAAGCTACGTTTTTTTAGTGAAAAAGTGTGTCGTTAAACATGGTCCCAATAAATCAATAAACCAATATGTTCACCATTTTCCACTGAAGCATGGAGAAAAATGTTTTCTTCATAAATTCAAGGTAACTAATCATGACTAATTATTAAACAAATGGTCATTTTGTGATTAAAGTATTCCTTTCAGTTATATTAAAATTGTAGCCCATGGGTTTCACTCGCAGGTCTTTAGACTAGCTTTTTTTTTTTTTTTACATAATTAGCAGACACAGAGGATCTCATTTCATTCATCACCCCATGCTATTTACCAAGGTCACGTAGCACAGGATCATCATTTCTGTCACTCCACTCACTGAATTGTAGTTTATTTTAGGTGGCAGCGATGGGAGGCAGAGAGAAAGACTGACACTTTGCTGTAATAGGATTGAAAAGGATGATAAATTGTCTCATTCGCACTTCGACACGCTCTATATAGCCTGACCATGGTTCTAAAGACATATTGTCCACAGACGTCAGTCCACACATACTGTCGACATAAGATGTGACCATAAAGTAATGAGGAGAACTATTGACATTTTGACTCATGACCCTTCCAGTGATGAAGGGAAGTGTTAGGAGGTGAAATTTACAGACAGTGTTGATAGAGAGCTTATTGTCCTGCAAAGGCTGATATATAGAAAGTAAACATTGTTATTATTGTGGAAGAAGCACCAAAAACTCTACTGCAAGTTTTCATTGTCTAACTTCGATAAAAATGTTGATTGATTTGTTACATTTCTCCAGGCCTGCATAAAAATCTGATAAAACTGTAATTAAATGTACAAAAATCGACATTTCTGATAAAAAAATATCTGTAGTCTTTTGTGTATTCCTGAAACATATGCTCTGAGATGATGTATTGCTGTGTCAAGAGCAATCTAACAGCAACAGAGTGAGACCGTCTAGTCAGTGCATTGTCTTACACATCATTAACTGAAGTAATGTTTCTCTGTCCTCTTCATGTTCTCTTTTTATCTCTCTTTGCTCCTCTTCTTGTGTCTCAGCCAAATGACACAGATGTAAGTATGCATAAGTCCCCCCCTCCCCTCACTTTTCAAAACATCACACTACTTTTTGCAGGGAACCAAAATTAACATCTTCAGCACCTGCTGAGCTCTGTGAAGTCGGCTTCACACTCCATTTAAAAGAGATTACGAACACACAGCCACAGACATGCAGAAATTAGACCTGCACAAACAAGACACTCAGGAGCTCATCACAGGTAGACATATCACGCACAAATTAACACCGTCTCACCAACACTGACAGGTTTTTTTCACACACAGACACATGCACTTGTCGATACTGACATGTTCAAGCACAACACCACCACAGAGAGGACAGACATTTTAACACACATACTCATCATGTAATAACACATATTCCTATCACTTTCACCTATATATTTTTTTAAATGCAACTCAACTTTGGTATTTCTCAACCTAGACCGTGCTTTCATATGTTTTTGTGTATATGTGACTGATGTGAACAACTATTTTTGAAATTGGTCCAGTATTTGAAAGAGAAAGGGCTGCAGCTAACAGCTGTGCAACACCGCAATATAACCAGATGGGGTGATTGTGCACCATCACTGTTCATCCAATTAAAAGTGGTTATTTTCTTGGGGAGTCTTCACCAAAGGCTCAAACAATGGATTCCAAATGGTATAACAGCATTAAGCAAAATAATAAAAGATTGGTATATTGTGAATTTCAAGGAGCTGAACTATACATCAAACAACCGGGATCACTTCAGATATTTGCAATTAAGGGACTTTTATGATAGAGAAATAAAGCACCATGTAAATTTGGATGAAATTGGAATATTTACAGCAGTTTATAAGTCAAAGAAATATAGAATAATAGCTGCACTATACCAATATCTATTAGAGAGAAGAGGAACCACAACAATGTATGTAAAGTTGAGATGGGAAAGAAGAACTATGGTCGCATATTCGGAGAACACAACAGTCTATAACATCCTCACAGACTTAGAGAGAGCACTGTTGGAAGAAAATAATTAAATTCTTCATTACACCCAAAATTAAGAACAAATATGTTTCTATGGCACAACCATGTTGGAGAAGATGTGGGGCAAAAAAATTTTATCTGAAATTGCACAGTTTTGGGTAAATGTTCATATGGCTATTATCAAAATTCTGGGTCATGATATATCCTGATCATACATAGTACTGTACTTTGGCAATATGACAGGAGAAACTGTGTTAAGAGAAGATGCAAGTTTTTTGCTAACATTTAAAAAGGCCGTCACTAAGAGATGGTCCAAGGCAGCATCACCAACACAAGATGGGAAGTCTCTTTACCTTTTGCCATATCTGGTTTGTTTGTTATTGTGTCCAAGTCTTGCTCAAGGAGAAGTCTCATGAGATGTGACTTGTTACAGGAAGACAACGCTGGAAATGAGTAGGAGTTGGAGAGAGTAGTGCTGGGAATAGTTTGTTGTATTGGAGTACAGAAAACATAGTTCAGTCTTATCTAAAAGATAAAAAAAAAAAAACAACAGCTTGTGTTTGCACATTCTCAACAGGTGCCAACAAGTTGTTGTGCTACGCTTTGCACAGCTTAGGGTACTTTCACACCTGCCCTGTTTGGTTCAGTTTAATCAAACTCCAGTTTGTTTGCCTTCTAAGTGCGGTTCGTTTGGGCAGGTGTGAAAACAGCACTTGCACTTGGGTGCGCACCAAAACAACCGGACCGGAACCTTCTTAAAGAGATGGTTTCCATCTGGTTACAAATTAACTCTGGTGTTGTGAGAACGTGTTCCAACCTCGATCTGAACCAACTGCAGTCACATGACACATTGGTTGGGTTAAACATGAGCATGTTACAGTCCTGGAGGATTATTAGATGTGCAGCACATCTAATGCATCAAAACATTGTTTTCTAGTTGGAGCCGCGCCTCGTTTTCAAACTGTATGGTTTGACTAAAATGAACAATGACAACAAGACAGTACACGACTAAAATCGCTAAGCGCTAAAATCAACCTGTGTAGTTGTCCCTCCATTGTGACATTACAAAGTGTCACATTTATTTTGCAAGTGTACTCTTCTTCAACGTTTTGTTTACTTCCTGGATTTCTCCAAATGGAAATTCTGACCAATCAAAGCAGCTCTCTCACGCAAAGCTTTTGATCTGGTCAGCTTGTAAATGCTGCAGTGAGAACATGAAACAACTCTAGGCAATTACGCAACTTTGGGACAAAATTAGTCCCTGATTCTGACCAAAGCAAGACAACTCTAGGTTTGAAAGCAGCCTTAGACACAATAATAAACAGACTGGATCAAGCAAACAGTAAAGAGACGCTTCAGAGACTTATTATAACAATCAGAGCCTGTGTGTGGCAAAAAAAAATAACCACTTGTTACATCTTGTTACATCTTTGGTATCGCACAGCTGCTGGCTTCGGTCCTCTCTCTCGATACTGGACCAGTTTTAAAAGGTGTTTATGTAGTCACGTTGACACACAAACATAGGAAATAGGGTTCAGGTTGAAAAATGCTGAAGTTACCCTTTAATGGTGAAACACAGTTCAAATATTTTCTTTCTCTCTGTCTGTTTGTCTTTCCTCCAGTGCTCTGATACAGAAGGAGTTTGTCCTCTTCGGTGTGACAGCTTTGTGAGTATACTCTGCTATCTCTCTGATATGTAGTAAATTCTCAAGCTAGCATGAATCTATGACTAAACTATTTCATGTCTTGGTATTCAAGCCCCAAAAAAAAGATGTTATCCTGTGCTTCTTGACAAAGCTACTAAAGTAGAAAATTGACTCACAAAGCTTTAATTTTGCCTCACTTCATAATTACATGAATTATTTTGCTTGTTGTTATCGTTGTCTGTGGTGTTTGACACAGATCTTTCCTTACATAAGTAATTGCTCTGTCTCTCTGTCTCATCTCAGGATATTGCATGCTACGCGATTGACAATAATGGCTTTGTCCTAATTTCTAAACAGCGCAGTGATGTGAGTTCACACACACACACACACACATACACACACACACAGAAAATGGGCTTTCTCGACTTTGACTTGATTATTTGAGAGCTCCTAAGCCTGTTAATTTTTCATTACCTAACAAGAAAAGAACCATGTGAAATATCCAAAACATTCTGTGCCTATTATTCAGAAAGAAATACATATGTATGACTTACATGAACACTGTGTAAGAATTAAGGGGATTTAGTGGTATCTAGCTATCTGTCTGTGATATTTTACATTGCTTTACGGAAGCTTACTTGGTTGTTCATGTTCAAAAGGATTTCCATGACCTGTCTGGGCCCATATAAAACTTTTACCCAACAACAAGACGGAGTGATATAACAGCCTTTTCCCACAGTAACTATCAATAATAAGTGTAAGCAGTAAAATGACTCATTGCTCACAAATCACAACTGTATAACAGCCCAGCACTACAGAGGCCTTCAATTATGCAACACAACAAAACGTAAGCAAAGCAGCAATGTGCGCTGTAATTTTACTGGAGCAGTTATAGTTTATAGTTTTTGCACACTTGTCTCTTTATTTCTGTTATTTAAACATCCACATAAAGTTCTGGAGCAGGAAGCAGCACTAAACCGATCTAATAAAAAGCTTTATATCTGATGTGTTATAGGTAACATAATCTCACTCCCAACTGCTTACATATTGCTGCTTGCTCAGTGGACTTTTGATATCTACATATGATACGCTAGGTATCCTGGGTGCGTCTGTTGTTGAACCTCTGGGATGCTGTGTCAGCTAACACTTGTTATATGGAATGAGTCTTTTCAAAATACACTTCCATTTTTACATGAAATGTAAACTTCGTCCTTTTCAAAATATACTTACATCAGTAAAACCCCTCATGTTTCCATTTTTCTCCTTGTGCAATAGATGCACATTGTTGTCGTCACATATTGACATTTCGTCATGGACTTTCCACGTCCACATAAAACGTGAAAGGTACCCTGGGTGCGTTCGTTGTTGATGTTCTGGGACACTGTGTCAGGTTCTGCCTGTTACATGCATTGTCTTCTTTTGAGATACACTTCTGTTTTCACAGGAAATTTACTGTTTACATACAGTCTCTTTCAAAATAAACTCACCACGTCATTACAACACCACGAATTGAATTTTTTTTTTACCTTCAACAACAAAGGCGTATGGTTAGGTTTAGGAAAAAAGAACAGGGTTTGGCTTTAGACGGGACGCGAACACTGCTCTCTTTGTCGGTGTTTGTTGGACCCATCCACCACCACTCCTGCCAACTTGAATCAGATCTATCGCCTATCTATCTATCAATCGATTGATATCGCTATCAATCGCCGCCTTAACTATCGTCCCTGTCCCGCCGCATTTCCCCCAACACTGCCAGGCACCGTTAAACTACAACGACAACCATCCGCGTATTATCCAGACGTTAAAGGATGCCCTTTTTCGTTGGTTTGTGACGCCGCAAGTCACCGCCCAAGCACCAGATTTTGACGACTTCGGAGTGAGACTGGGCTCAAAAAGCACATGGATGGGTTTAGAAAAAAACATCATAGTTTGGCCCAACATTCATACAGGAAGCAAACACCAGGCTCCTGGGTGAAAGTCCTGGTGTTGTTAAACCCATCCACCACACCTTTCGCCCATGCTATAGGGACTTTCCAGCAACTTGAGTTGTGTTGTTTTCTGGTTACGGTTTTCCATCTGAAATTGTTGCACATTCAAAATAAATATGAAAAATATTGTGTCACGTTTACACATCAAAAGCGTAGAGAGTCATTTTACCTAAAAGTAGTGAAGATAATGTGGTGTAATCAGCAGACATCAACAACATGAGAGGATAGCCTAACTCAGATAGCCAGCTCTCAACAGGTCAGATAGGAATATCCAGATGGATTGTGATGATGAGTAGGATGTAATAAAGGATGAGGACTGCATAGAGAGAGAGGGAGTGACAATGCAGAGACAGAGGGAGGAAGGACAGCTTGGCCACTCAGTGCCAAATGCAAGACGCAGGCAGAGGGAGGTGACAGCCAAGGAGGTAGCTCCAGTGGAGAGAAGCAACCGACCATATGTGTCCGTCCATTTTGTCTTGTATTACCAGTTTTCACAAGAATTGAACACATTGTACTCTTTGCTCAAAGTTTCTGTGCATAACAATATTTATCTGATGACAGATTTTTTAAAAATGCATATGAAAAATACACACTTGGTGTCCAAAGGTCTTAACTCTTGGCAAAAAAGTGAATCAGCAATTTTCCCAAAATGTCCCACCATTGCAAAAAGACCTCTAGTGACTGAGTACATGTGAGGAAAACACATACATTGCCTCTAAACCAACGCTCAATATAACATAGCTGCATGAATAATTGATCACACAGTTCACATTGTGGTAAAAATGGAGAGGGTAAACTGCAAGGACAGGAGATGATATTCCCCCTGTCAATGTATCATGACACCAATTACATGTGTTTAGCCACACAGCTGGTTTCACACCCCCTTTCTCTTTCCTGATAGGCGGGAAGATTCTTTGGTGAGGTCGACGGATCCGTGATGACAACGCTAATCAGAATGGGCATGTTCAAAAGGTAATATCTGGCTGTCATTGACAAGGTAGTTGAGTTTCTGGTTGCCTCTCTGTCTGTTAGCAAAGCACAGAGTGTTGCCTCGTCCTGACAGGGCCTACAGGGATGTTAAACTTCATGTAAACTTTTCTAAATCAATTAGGCGTGAAGCAGCAGTGTCCCCACATCGCAATGTTGAGTGCCATATTATGCATTCTGGTGTCTCAAGCTGCATGACGCCATGCATTTGAATCTGCCTCATGAATGTGATTACATGCCTCACGCTGTATCACAAACAGAAGTGGCTGCTGTTGAGTCTTGTCTGGGTGGCTTGCACTGTTTTCCATTTACTTTTTGGTTCTTATACACCTAAGCCATGCATTAGTATGCACATGAAATCCGTAGCCTGGAGGACGTGATTTACTGTCATTATAGAGACTCGAGCTTTGTTTTTATTGCTGTATCATGGTATAGACTCTGCCCTGTGTTGTACTCTCTACGTGCCGAGGGTAGCTGATTCACCCATCTTTGTATACACGCTATAGATGTCCCTGCTTTTCCCCTCAGCTCCATCTTAAGCTCCTGTGACTGCTGTGGATTTTTTTCCCCCTCCTACTTTTTGCCCGTCTTTTATGTTTGAAATCTTGTTGAGTGATGTGCTATTTTTATACAGCTAAAAGATTTTTGTCATGTTTCATTTGACACAGGATATTACATAACTGGTTTTGAGCATGCGTTAACTTCAGTGGCTGTGTACTCATACTTGCATTTATAGATGCATGCCTCTGCAGATTGGTGTGTGTAAGGAGTAGGATTTAGGCTGATATACTGGTAGAAATGGAATATAATATGATAGGTATGTTTCTTTAGTGTAGAATCACCCGAAAATAAGAATCATCATGTTTTCATTACCTTAGAATGAGCGGTTTATAGCTACACAGGAAGTGGAACCTCATCTATAGAGGTTTCTGTTGCCACCACTGTGTTTCTACAGTAATCAAGTACAGACAAACCAAACACGGCCCTAGATAGAGCCATTCGTGATTGACCGCTATTAGCAGCCCCTCCCTGACAAGGGTGTCTGGATTTTCTGTGTTTTAACTGGGTTAAATTACCTGGTCAATTTGTTTTGGGGAGGAAGAGACCTCTATGGATAATTCAGTCCTTGGTAAATATCCCCTAAACATCTGGATCTTGAGTTACAGAGACAAAAGGTGAGCTCACGTTGGCAGGTGCTGCGCTAGCGGCCCTTCTCTCCGACGAAGTGGCCAAACCACATCGGAGAACCACTGATTTTTAACATGAAACTGCTTTATTCTGTGGTTCACTAGTTTGAATCACAGGGTCTGTTTGTTTGAGAGAGGAACAGACCTCACCACTAGAGGCCACTAAATCCCCCTAAATCTAACACACTGCTCCTTTAAATGTTGCTACCCTTATGAGTCAGCATCAGAAAAACTAATCAGTGAAATTATTAGTAAATTATTATTGTGATATGTGATTGCATTCATCCACAAAAATGTAGCTGTAATAATAAGACACGTTCCCTAAAGATTTACTTTCCTGAAGAATATTGTTTTTAATAAATCTTGCTCGTTAACTTTTATTCAGTGAGTCATCATGTTTTGTAAGATAATGTGCAGTGTTTATAAAGCACAGTGCAAAGTGCCACACATTTCAGCTGCATTTAAAATACAATTTGGTTATTGAAAAATATGATTAAGGATTTCAAAGGGCTCTTATAATACACAATGTTTTTCCAGACAAATGTTTAACCTATAGATTAAATTATGTTCAATTTTGTTTTCTCACTGTTTTCTTACTTGAAGTCTTGTCGACTAGTTTAACTTTAAACCTTTGTTTAAGCACCGGGGAAATTAGTTGTTAGGAACAACCCCAGTGTTTGTGTTCTGGTGTCTCAAAAAAAAAAAAAAAAGTCAAAACACTGGGTCAGTCCTCTGTGTAAAAACTAGAGTAATTCTAGCACTGAGTTTATTTTCTCTCAGCTTTCTTTCTTTTCTACGTTCAGTTACAGATCAGGGTTTCGACAAAGGTTAAGCTCAGCTATACAGCGCTGTGTGTAACAGTCTGCAGGGGGTCAAGGAATCGATGTAAGTCAGTAAATACTGCCTGAAGAGCAACACCATGTGCTTTTGTGTATGTGTGTGTGTGTGTGTGTGTGTGTGTGTGTGTGTGTTTCCTCAGGGTGTCCTTGTTCGACTACCAGGCCATGTGTAAGATGAACTCGCACTCTGTCAGCAGCGCCCGTCCACTTCTCAGTGTATGTGCTGTGTCCTTATACTACATACAATATATCACCATAATGATCTCTGAAGTCTGTGGTAACTATAATCTGTCTGTTTACCTCTACAGCCATTCTATGGCTTGGCTTCAGCTCTCAAGTGGTTCCTCTCCAACTTCCTGCTGTAAGTGTTGCTAGGAGCGACCAGAATGTCTAAAGTTAAGGGTATTTTTCTTAAAATAGCTGTTATGTATCACTTATTAGTAAATTTGTTGTTTGTGTAAAAGCAGCGGAAAGTTTTTTTCTTGTTTGACAGTAAGAAATTATTGTAGGAGTAGTTTGCTGTCATTGCTGTCTTGCCAAGAGTTAGATAAGAAGATCAATACCACTCTCATGTCTATATGGTAAATATCAATCTACTGCCAACTGTCAGTTAGCTTAGCACAAAGACTGTAAACAGGGAGAAACAGCTAGCCTGGCTCTGTCCCAAGATAGCAGCCCACCAGCACCTCTAAAGCTGATATATTTTATCTTGTTTGATGAATCTGTAATAACACTACATAGTAAAAACAATTAGCTGTTCAACAGGAAGCTATTTGCTAGACTAAAAACATCTCAGTTTGTTACTGTAGTGACTTGGTAAGGCTTATCCAGTTATCCAAAACCTCATACCAATTACTGCTGAATAATTTGAGGACCCATTTTCATATTCCCATGTTACAACTTTGGGTCCTGGCCCAGTTTTTGAAAGCTGAATGCAATCTGCCTGCAATCTGCTTTGGTCTATAACGATGGCCGCCTAATTGACTCGCTCTCCCTGTCCACTCTCCTCTCTTCTTCACAAGGTTTCTCCTGGAGTTTAATATCTGTGGCTTCTGGCACACGGACCATTTTGCTGACGGTGAGCTCTACAAGAAAAAATGTGGCCAACTAAGGTCCAACGCTTTGTGACTAATGTCTCTTTACATCTGCTAAGATATTTTCTTCCTTGTGTGTAAATCATGTATACTCTAAATTATCACAACCTTCAGAGCAGATAATTATAATCCAATTCTTTATAAATGATTCACATATCATCTACATGGATTGCTGAAATTCTTAAGGGATTATAAAATCATATTCAAGTCTTAAAGCTGGAGTGCAGAACTTTCATCTCCCCCCTCTGGCAGTGAGACAAACACTGTCGACGTGGGCTTATGACATATGCCTGCAGGTGACCTTGCCACATCTCCCCCCTCCCCAGGAGTGCTCTCTTCATGTCTCTCTTTTTTTTAACTTTAATCCTTCCTCTGAACGCAGAGTTTCTTTTTTAGGATTTTCCATCATAGCCTCCATCATAGTTCTGGCTGCTGCTCTGTCACTATTGACCCCCCCCCCCTCCTGCCCTCCTTCAGCTCTGGCTGGTTTACGTAAAAAAAAAAACACATCACATAGCAGTAAAGTCACCACAGACACCAGATACCACAACTCTGGTATTTCGCAATTTACTCTTTTTCCACCAAAAGTAGCGTGGGTTTTTTAAACACAGGATAACATTTTAAAAATAGGCAATAGACTCCTTTCTCGTTACCAGTGAATGAGTCTGCCTCTCTGTTTTCTTTTTCTTGTGTGTCATCTTTAATGTCATAGACACACTGAAAAACAGGGTAAGTAAACAGTAGAAAGCAGCATGGAGGCCAGTGAAAACATTACAGTGGTTACTTCTTTACTTTACTCTTCTTGACTCAGCGATGACTAATTTGGAACGATGTTTGAGCGCTGCTCAGACCTAGATGGATGGAATTTGTATGGACGTTTTTATTGGACTGTATTATTTGTAACCCACACATGACCATCTACAAATGTGTACCACGATCCACAAATATTTCACTATCCACACGCATGTCTTTTTACATTTGTGTTGTGTAAAGTCATATCCACAAAAAACAGCATGATTTGCAAAGGCGTGTAACTTTCTCTGTAAACACCTACTTTAATTTCACATAAAAAGTTACAGGTTTTACAAACATAAAGAGCTTCACCACAGCAAATGCACATTTGTGGATTGCTTTCTGTGAGTTTGTGGGTCACATGATATTTGTGACTTCTGATCTGTAAAAAAACAATCCACAAATGTGAAGTATAGTCATTGTAATGCTTGTCTTGTCTTATGTGGGTAACAAATAATGAAGTCCAATAAAAACTTCCATAAAGTTGTGGCTGAGGCGACAATGAGTCGCAGGAGCTACCGACTGTTTCACTGGAAAAGGGGCAAAAATTTGTGTCATGTTTCCATCACTGTTGATCAAATACATAAAAAAGTACCTTGTTTAGATTTACAAATACTTGCTCACCAAATGTGTCAAAATAAAATACCAAATACTGCTGTGAGAAAATTTGTAATATGAAAATACAAAATACATTCACTACAAACTGATGTTATTGTATTTAGGCATTTAGTGGCCTCAGTATAGGTCTGACCTTAACCCCCGCACACTGAAAAGATGAACTCTGCTAACTTTCCACATCATACATCTAAAGTTTCAAATCAGGATATCTTGGAGGTGGGACGGTGTGAATTCCCAGGTGCATGCTGGTTGGTTTCTGTCAGTCAATCTGACCACTGACTTATAGAGCAAACAGCCAACTGAAATGCACCTGGGGGAACTGAACAGTTGGGCCAAAGTGAGAAAGTACATTTCCAGGATCTCCAACTTTATAAGTAATCAATAAAATGAGCACAGGCATTACAGCAGAGTGTGACACAGTACAAAATAGCAGAAGAGAAAGAGCAGCACTCTGTCTCCCCTTCTCCCCAGTACCAACAGCAACCTAAAAAAATATTCCTCTTTGTGTACCCAATCCAGGGGAACACAAAGGAAATATTGGTTCACAGTGAGCCTGCTGCTGGATAAGACAGGACGTCAGATGATGCACTTACATTTAGCCAAAGAATGTGATTAGGGCTGATAGATGCACTGTTTTCCCTACAGTTTAAACCTGGTGATTAACATGTCTTTTTGAGCATAAAATGGCATTAAAATACAAACTTTAAAAGTATATTGTTGCAAATTACATCTTATCTTTTCTGTTAAGCAAAATACAAATTACAGATTAAATATGTTATTAAGTCATTAAATATACATTCATTTGAAATACTGCCCATCTCTGCTGCTGATTGGAGCTGGAGCTGATAAATACCTGTGACTACTGAAGAAATTGTCCCAGAAATTAATACCTATACCCCTTTTCCACTGCACAAAAGACCCGCTAATACCCACTAGCATCTGACTTTTACTTTTAATCTGAAAGGTTACAATTGGCGTTCACACCCCGGGTATTTATCAGCTCCAGTAGGCAGTAATGCCGTCCTTGCAGCGCTAGTACGTCATTCCAAATAAGTCTGCACCAAGTTCAAAAGGGAGATTGAATAAGTAAGAGATATAAAAAAAAACCCAAAACACCGTAACATTTTAAATGGCCTCCAGCTGCTTTCTGCTGTTTACTAAGCTGTTTTCCCACCTGTATGTTGAAAGTGTCACACCAGTTAAAAAATAAAACAGAAAGGCATGCTCGTCTGCTGCAAAGCCACGGACACAGCTCTGGTTTACTGGCAATGAGGAAGAAGTCTATAGCCTATTTTCAGTGGGGTTTCCCGTGTTTAAAAACCTGCAAACACTCGCTAATTTTAGTGTAGAAGAGGTACTATGTTAACCTTTCCTACTAAAGAAGAAAGCCAGATCTTATTGGGTGTTAGGGGTTATTTTATCCAGTGGGAAAGGGGCTGTAGAGAGAGCTTTCCATGCCAGCAGTAATAGCTTAATCAGCATAGTGTGAACTCGTTTGGCAAGGGCTTGAATGTAACGGACGTTCATCCCGCACTCCAGCTTTAACATGAACGTGTCTGGACTGATAATACTCCCCTTCAACACTCACTAATTTTGCGTCACATCAATCTGTGCTGCCACTCACAGCAAACACGTCAGAGTAATGACACACACACGCATGTTCAATAACAGGAGTGTTTACTGTAAAATGTGTGCAACATTAATCACCAGCCTAAAATGTCCTTATGAACAACAACACATCCTCTGATCCACTCACCTCTCATCTGCCTCTGTCTATCCATCAATTGCACCCTCCTCATTACTCCACCTGCCAATCATCCACTCGTCATCCGACTCCAAATCATCATCATCATCCCTCCATTCAGCCAAACCATCTTTCAGCGTGTGTGAGTATCCATCTTGAAGTGTTTTTTGGGGGGAAAGATCAGTGGGGTTTTCTTGCATTCTGTGTGTGGTGTAGCATTTGTAGTATACTTCAAACAAAATAAAATGTGGTGTCTCTGAGGACATAAGTATCTTTCAGTGCGAACAGGCACAACTGGCAAAACAAGACCCATGCACACACTGAAACTCATGTAATTCTGAGGAAGTCAAACAGAAAACATAGCTCGGAACCAGACGTGGAAATTTCAACAAGCCATTATGGCTAGTCTTTCTGGTTTCAAACCCATCATTTTACCTGTACACAGACACCAAATTCAATTTTGTTTGGAGTACACAGCAAGCTGGAGTAACTCTGGTCATGGTAGAAAGAGCAATAAATGGCTGAAGTGTGAAGTGTTTAAATAGCACCCAGCGTTCTCCTGTGACAGAGTGTGAGAGCCTGTCAGTCATCAACAAAACGTCACACATACACTTTCACACACACTTAATTCCCAACCTCGAGTCATGACCCATATCTATTTCTCCATTAGCCTCAGCTCATAAGAAAAGAGGGGACATCCTGCAGCCGTGTGACACCGAGTACCCCAGCTTCGTCTACGAGCCATCAGTCAAAGAGACCAACAGCATTATTAAGTGTGGACGCTGCCAGAAGTAAGCACACACTCATGGACACATATGCACACACAAATCTGCAGTGCAGTCCCCTCGAAGCCCGAGACCAGTCATATTAAATTGTCCTTCGAAAATCCATTTTCCACGGCTTTGCTCTGCTCTGCATACTGAGAGCTGTGTGTGTTTGTACAAGAGTATCAGGAAGAGAGAAATAAGTAGAAAAGGAACAGAATTAGATCTGGGTGCGTGTGGTTATAGAAAGACCGAGAAGGAAATGGAGAGTGAGAGACTGGAAAACTGAGAGAAAGTATTAAGAGAGGTAAATGAAAAAAACAGAGAGCGGGTGACAGAAACAGAGATGGAAAAACAGTGGGAGGCAAGACGAGGGAGAAAGGGGAGTATCTTAGTGTGTGTGTGTGTGTGTGTGTGTGTGTGTGTGTGCGTGCGTGCGCGTGCTTGTGCGTGTGTGTTTGAAAGAGAATGAGAGAACCAGGGAGACTGAGGTTACTTTATTATTTCAGCAAGTTTGTGATCATACGTTGAGTTTGAACGCCCTCATGAGGCCACAGGAGGTATAACACCACACAAACACTACTTGCAGCACCAGAACTGGACAAGATTACAACATTTCAGAATGTTTATTACCCAGAACGACAAGCCCATGCAGTCAAGTGAATCTGAAGAAGTATTTTTCTATATAAATAATCTTGAATTGTTATATACAATATTATTTAGTGGGCGGCAGTAGCTCAGTCTAAAGGGAGTTGCTTGGGAACCAGGGGGTCGTTGGCTCAAGTCCCTATATGGACCACGTATGGAGCATGGACTGGTTGCTGGAGAGGTGCCAGTTTGCCTCCTGAGCACTGCCAAGGTGCTGTTCAGCAAGGCACTGAACCCCAGCTGCCCAGGACGCCTGTCCAAGGCAGCCCCCTCGCTCCAAAATCTTTCTATCTAATGCATGTATAGGTTCTGTTTGTGCATGTGTGTGTATTTCGAGCCTGAATGTATATGGCAGCAGAGTGACAAAATTGAATTTCCCCTCAGGAATTAATGAAGTATATCTTCTTCTTCTATTTGGAGTTTTTTAAGCTAATGCAAAGGTAGTAGTATCTTGTGAAACTAGACGACCTAAGGCATCCATTAGCACCAATCCTATTGGCATAGTTTGTTGGAAAGGGCTAAATAAAGCTCTAAAATTAGGCAAAATTCTGGTGAGGAAACATCTGGCATGGCCATTTTTAAAGGGATTCCTTGAACTCTCACCTCAGAATATCTGAATGAAAATTGGTTCTGTTGATACCCACTAGTGGGGTTGTTCCTAATAAATAGTTTGTTCCTTACAATCAATGTACTCCTTCAAATTAAAGCTGAATATTTGTCGTTTTAAGGAAAAAGACAACCAGCCTATTTGAAGAATGACGAGTCACCTAACATGTTTAGATACGTAACACATTAAAACATGATTGTTGTGGAACTCAAAATGTTCAGTGTATGAGTATTAATCTCTGCACATCAGATAATAGATAATAGAATTCCTGAAATTCAGTTATGGCTTTTGGTTTTGGTGTGTCACCCCAAGATTTTCAGTGGCCCCCTCTGGCCACCCCTATGAAAAATTTCTGGGAGTGCCACTGCATCAGTGGTTCGGCTAAAACAAACTGAGGTTAGTTTTCCCTGTTGGTACGGTACGGAAAGCTGTGGGTTGAACTCTTGTGTGGATCAAACAATCGAATCATGACTGCTTTAGAAGATGGGTCTAGGTGTGCTTCTAAGATCACTCTGGTGCAGATTGTTCATGGTGTGAAAGCAAATAAACCAACCACAGGATTTTATAATTGCAGATGTGTGATTTTAGCATGATTTCAAAAGCTAAACTGCTAATGAACCCATCTGCTGATCAGGAAATCTATTCAGGAAGCAATCTTATAATTGACCTGTGTAAGGCTGTGTATACAGTATAGCGTATTTATGCAAATCATTTTGTAACCATGGTAACACATATGCATGCCAGCATGGGTATTTTCCCTGATTAAAAAGCTGTTAAAGCTGATGTGTTTGAATCCAAGTCTGTGTACTTTGCCAGCCCATTAGGTCCATTAAAAAGTGTGTGACGGCGATTCCACAGTAATAAGCCCCGAATCATTACTGTGCAAAGGTTCCCACACATGTCGCCAATTAAATTTTTAGAAGTTTTTCATAACTTTTTCTCATTATATTTCCCCATTTCCTTGACTTTACTTAAGTAGTTAAAAATGTGTAGGCAGATCGTTGGAAGCGGCAGTGGATTGGTTGAGCATCAGTTAAAGTTGTCTCGCAGGTAGTAGAAGCAATAACATTATCTGGCCTGTCTTCAGCACATACAGCACAGACATCATCGTCATCATGCACTTCCCAGGCGTTTGCAGATAAGCAAACTGCTCATTTGCTAACTTGCCACTCGTTCGGAAGGGAATGAGGGAAGTAACTCACTCAGGGTTGGGAGTGAGTTACTGCCTCAATGTATTGTTCATGAGTGAGGGTAGAATAGAGCGTGAGATGGATCAGTGGTTTGGCGCGGTGTCTGCAGTGATGTGGGCGCTGTGCCAAATGGTGGTGGTGAAGAGGGAGCTGAGCGAGAAGGCTAAGCTTTTAATTTACTTGTCCATCTACGTCCCAACCCTCACCTATGGCCGTGAGATCTGGGTTGTGACCGAAAGAATGAGGTCGCGGATACAATGAGCCAAAATGAGTTTCCTCCAGCCTTAGAGATAGGGTAAGAAGCTCGGACCTCCGGAGGGAGCTCGGAGTAGAGCCACTGCTCCCTTGCGTTGAAAGGGGTCAATTGAGGTGGTTCGGGCATCTGATCAGGATGCCTCCTAGGCACCTCGCGTTGAAGGTGTTCGGGGCACGTCCAACTGGTAGGATGCCCCGGGGCAGACCCAGAACACGGTGAAGGGATTACATATCTTATCTGATCTGGGAACACCTCTGGGTTCTTCAGGAGGAGCTGGAAAGCATTGCTGGGGAGAGGGACATCTGGAATCCTTTGCTCAGCCTACTGATAAGCAGTTGAAAATGGATGCATGGATTAGAATGTATCGCGAAACATTGGACGCTTTGGGATTTTAATGAATTTAAGTATAGAAAATGTATATTCAAAACTTATCCAAAACATTCTGGTAATTCCAAACCATTTCCAGGCCTGGAAAACATTTTTTCTGTTTTAATTTAATAACTTTTCCATGAATTTCATAACTGTGGGAATCCTGCTGTTTAAGACGCCTCCTTTTCTTTGCAGTTGACTTGCAGTCTAATAATATTAATAATGCTTATGATCTGTTATTACTCTGTGAGTTTTTGTGACACCAAAGAGCATAAATAAACACATTAGAAACATTAAAGTGCTGCATTAACTTTTATGAGTCACCAGAATTTTATTTCACCACGTGGATCCTGATGATGCAGGATGACAGTCGCCAAAACTGTCTGATCAAGTTTCCTGTCAGTCTGTATAACTTCATGTTTGTAAAAAGTCAATGTGAACAGGAACCAGACCACAACTAAATGCACCAATGTATTTTTCCCCCTTGGTCTAGACCTAATGAACTGAACTACAGGTGTGAAAACACCCCAAATGTCATAGAGTACATTAAAGTTTTTCTTTCTCTGTGTTTTTGTATGTGTGCACATCTTCACACTTTCATATTACATGTGTTTGTTTGTGTGTGTCAGGATGTTCGTGGTGCAACAGATACCAGATAGCAACCTGTTGATGTTGGTGGTGCAGGCAGACTGTGACTGTTCCAGACAGTACCCACCCATCACCATGGAGCCCAAGGAAGTCAGATATATCCTTTGATGTTTTGGCTTTCATGGAGTATGCTGGTTAATTATCTCAGATGTTGTTCGAGTTTGTTCTACATAATAAACTTGCTGCTTTTTTTTTACTTTTTCCCAAATGAGTTCCCTTTGTACGGGAAAGTAAATTCCAAGAGCTTGTCCCAGCTTCCCAGCCGTAAATACTATAACTGTTTAATAACTTGTGTTGATATTTAATGAGAATTGAAGAGACGCCTCCTTTGATCCTGTTGTTGCTCCTTGACCCCACTGCACATAATGCCTCAGTGAAGTGTGACAGGATGAGGTCCCAGAAGATTCGCCGACGCCCTGAGTCCTGCCACGCATACCATCCCCAGGTCAGCTTCTCATTGGCTCACCCTGTTAATGTTTCCATTTTTTGCCAGCATATTTAGCTTGACTGCATTGAATTGATATCAAAAGACTTAAAGGTACGGCGTGTAGGATTTAGGGGGATATATTTGTATGTGTATGGATTACTGTAATTTTTTTTATGTTGATCTGTTGTGTGCACACAACATCTATAGCATGTCTGTCTGTCTTGGGAGAGGGATCCCTCCTTAGTTGGTCTTCCTGAGGTTTCTTCCATTTTTTTCCTCAGTTAAAGGGCTTTTTGGGGGTAAAAAATTGAAATTGAAAAATTGAATTAAATTGGCAGAAATGGAATATAGTATAATAAGTATGTTTTCTTTGGAGTATAATCACCTGAAAATGAGCATTGTTGTGTTTCTGTTACCTTAGTATGAGCCGTTTATATCTACATGGGGAGCAGGTCTTTGTCCACAGAGTCTACCGTGTTGCACCGCCATGTTTCTACAGTAGTCCAGAATGGTCAAACCAAACACTGGCTCTAGTTTGGGCCATTTGTGTTTTCCTTCTCACGTTCCTCCGAGACAAACAGCATCAGAAAAACATTAACTTGTCAACGTGAAACTGCTTTATTCAGTGTTTTTACCGGTTTAAATCACAGGGTCATTTGTTTTGGGAAGGAAGAGACTTAGTTGGATAATTCGGCTCCTGGTTAAAATCTCCTAAATGTCTGGATCAGAAAAAAGGTGAGCACACAATAGCAAGAAGTGGCCTAGCGACCTGCCACTGACTCGCCGTAGAATGTTGGAGAAACTTCTTTATTCAGTGTTTTTACCGGTTTAAATCACTGGTTCTCGTTGTCTTGGAGAGGAAGAGACCTTGTCGGATAATTTGGCTCCTGGTTAAAATCTCCTAAATGTCTGGATCAGAAAAAAGGTGAGCACACAATAGCAAGAAGTGGGCTACTGACTTGCCAAAGAGCATCGGAGAAACTTCTTTATTCAGTGTTTTAACCCATTTTAATCACTGGATCCATTTATTTTGGAGATGTGGAGATCTTTGTGGATAATTATACTTAAAGTAAAAACCTCCTGAACAATGAACACTATAAAGGAATCCTAACTGGGAGTTCACACTTGGCACATGGGAGAAGTTTCTGCTTGTTGCAATCTGCAGTCCTCACCACTAGATGCCACTAAATCCCACACACTGCTCCTTTAAGTCATTACAAAAGCACAAAATGAATTGACTTTCTGTTTTGTGTTTGTTGTAGGAGAACGCCAATGACTGTGGAGCAGCTTCTGTTATCTCTCTCTCTGCCTCTCTCTTCCTCACCTGCCTCTCCTTCTTGGTGCTCATCTCCTGATGATGGACAACTTTGCTGTTTCATCCTTTCTTGTATAAGGGAGGAGATATGAATGAATCAAGAGACATGATTGGACACTGGACACCTCAAGTGGATTTAAAAGAAACTGATTCTGCACATTTTGCTCGTGACGACCACAAACCTTGTCTCTGACAACGGACCTTTGATGTGGTGTCTGAGCATTTGTTGGTTAACTCTTATACATTTTACATCTGAACTGAAAACTGCAAAGAAGGCAAGGTAATGGGCCATTGTTGCCATGGATACTTTTCCATGAGTTGCTTTCTCGCACACCACTTTGCATCTCGAAATAAAAGGGGACTAAAGAGATGCAGGTGGCAGCTATGGCGTGCATTGATGAAAGGGGAGTATGAGTCACAAGATGCAACATGACAAAGTCCAGTGGGGGAAACATTTCCTATTTCCCACTGAACTGAATATTGTATTGTAGACACACATGCATATTATATATGCAGCTGCAAGCATGCACTCCTGCCATCCTTCGCCTGTTGACTATCATGCGTGTTGAATGAGAGAAGGGAGAGAAGGGCTACAGCAGTGAATGGTGATTGTGTAACATCAGTGCTGCTGCTGAAAGTCATGTTTTATAAGGGTGTTTGCAACTTTAGTTTCTCTCAGTCTCCTGCAAATCTCAAAGGGTAATGGCTCAGTGCCAAGAAAGTACCTTCAGTGGAGTTGGTAAAAATGCAATAAAGATAATCGAAAAATCTGAATGGGAAGTTCCTTCACAATCTCAGCTTTTAATTTTTTTTATTTTTTTACTTGGATTACATCTTAAAAAGTGTTTGTTTCTGTAACATACAGTATCTTTTAAAACATGTCTGCCTTTGTCTTCATCAGCCGTGTCTTTCTGTGTGTTTGTGCTTACTGTATGTATTTATGTTTGGCTGGACGACACTGTTGAAACTCACAGGATGTAAATCTACAACACCTTAATGGATTTTTTTGGATTACAAATGCTTTCACGTGGTTTAAAAGCAAATCCAGTACATAATAATCATCAAAAGATGCAGTTGTACCAACACACAAATGTTTCTGGAACTAGTGGTGATGATGCGTTTGCAGAACTGTGGTTTTTGGATTCTTTACTTGGGCGTAACGATCATGTACCTGCTACTTATTACTTGACATAAATAATGATATAATTTTATAAAATCATGATTAAAGCAGGAAAAAAGTGGAAGCACTCTGCAAAACAAGATTGTGGTATGAAAAAAACCTGGAACTGTCATATATGTAATTGTAATGTATATTAACAGTGTAAATCTAACTGCATAGGGTATTTTTGTATTTGCTTGTGTTTCATATTTTGAACTTAAGCATTTCATTGTTCAACCCAATCCAATTCCAAAAAAAAGTTGGGAGGCTGTGTAACAAGTAAATAAAAGCAGAATGCCATGATTTGCAAATCCTTTTTGACCTATATTCCATTGAATACAGTAAAAAGACAAGATCTTTAATGTTCAAACTCATAACCTTTATTGTTTTTTGTAAGATATACACTTTTTCTGAATTTGATGCCTGCAACATGTTCCAAAAAAGTTGTGACAGGGGGAACAGAAGACTGGGAAGGTTGTGAAATGTTCAAGAAACACCAGTTTGGATCATACAACAGGTAAACAGGTTAACTGGTAACAGATTAAAGTATGAAAGAGGTGTCCTCGAAATGCTCGGTTGTCACTAGCAAGGGTGGTCACTTTGTGAGTGGGCAAACAGTCCAACAGTTTAAAAACAACATTTCTAAACACACAATTGCAAAAAAAAAAAAAAAAGAAAAAACGAATTTCACCATCTGTGATCCATCATATCATCAAAAGATCCAGAGAATCCAGAGAAAGCTTGTGTTGGAAAACCATTTAAAGTAAACACAGTTCGTCGCTGCGTCAACAAATGCAATCATATTATCAACATCATCCAAAAACGCAGTCGACCTCTCGGGGCCTGAGCTCATCTGAGATGGACTGACACAACATGGAAAAGTGTGCTGTGGTCTGACAAGTCCACATTTCAAATTGTTTTTGGACACCATGGACGTCCTGTCCTCAGCGCTAAAGAGGAAAAGGACCATCCAGATTGTTTCCAGGACAAAGTTCCGGAGTCAGCATTTGTCATGGTATGAGGGTGTGTTAGTGCCCCTAACATCATGGGTAACTTGTACTGTAAGACATCTGTGAAGGCACCATGAATGCTGAATGGTACATACAGGTTTTGGAGCAACATATGCTGCCATCCAGACAGCGTCTTGCATATTCCAGCAACACAATGCCAAGTTTATGTGTTACAACAGCGTGGCTTCATGGTAAAAGAGTCCAAGTACCAAACTGACCTGCCTGAATATGTGTGGCACATTATGAAGCGCAAAATACGATAAGGGAGATCCCAGACTGTTGAGTAACTGAAGTCGTACATCAAGCCAGAATGGGAAGGAATTTCACTTTCAAAACTTTCAACAGTTAGCGTCCTCAGTTCCCGAACACTTACTGAGTGTTGTTAAAAGAAAAGGTGATGTCACACAGTGGTAAACATGCTCCTGTCCCAACTTTTTGGGACATACTGCAGGCATTAAATTGAGAATGAGTGTATATTTACAAAAAAAAAATAAAGCTTATCACTTTGATCATCACATATCTCATCCTTGTGCTGTATAATTGAATATGAGTCAAAATGATTTACAGATCATTGCTTTCTGTTTGTATTTACGTTTCACACGGCATCCCAACTTTTTGAACAGGGGTTATATTTTGGGCTGTGAGTGAGTTTCCCTGTAGCTTCCTCTCTGGTATCTCTGGATCATCTCACACAGCATGTCTTTCAGTTAAACTCACTCTGATGACAAAATTGCCTGAGACTTGCCTGTTTGTGTAACAGACTCAGATCCACATTGTGTGTGAGTGTGCATCATCACAGTATGTTGTGTCTCTCTGAGATTATATGAGTAATTTAATTCATGTGTCTCATTTTTGTTTGTAGCTTCCATCATACGATATTTGGTGTATTGTATGGTCGACATGTGTCCAAGCTGTATGTTGGCTGACTGAATCATGATTTGAACCAAGTAAATTAAATTATCCATAATGGTTTTTGTACTGTATTTGAAGTCAGTGTGTGATTTGTTTTGTCCGTCAGTGATTAATGTCAGTGTAGATATGAAGAGACTAAACCAAGACAAAGAATCAGTTGAGGACTTCCATGAATACTCAAAGAGACTTGTGTCATAAATGTATAAATCCAAGCACTGTGATCTAATTTTTGACTTCCTTTAATCTTTGAACTTGAATAGAGAAGTCGATTAAATCCCAATGATTTATGTCCATTAACAACAAAATAACCACATTGTGATTTGTTACAGTTGCTCCAGTGTAAAAGAAAAAAGATAATTACAAGAAGTAAGAATAAGAGTATGAAATAGAAGTATGTATGCATAAAACAATGAAATAAAAATAAGATAGAAATTAAAATGTGCATTAAAATTAAAAATAAAATGTGCAGTATGCCAGTGTTTAACCCTAGTACTTAAGATATAAAAGATAATTTGAGTATCTTTCTATCTATCGAGAAATTGAGTTAAAATTTTGACCCATACACTAAAGCACTTTGTAACTGTTTTGTAAAGTGCTATACAAATAAGATTATTAACTAGCTCATACTCATGATGTTCCAAATCCACCTCAAAACTACAAGAAAGTCAATAATATTTCATCATTTCTTTTCTTTTCTGGGCAAGAATTGCCCTCCTCTCTTTTATTTTTATTTCTTCTTTTAGTCTGATATTACAATTTAGTTTCAAGTAATTTCCAGAGTGGGGTTACTCCTTTGAATTTAGCCTTTATTGTTAAAATCTGTAAGCGTTAGTTTGGTTTTTATTAGTTTCAGCGTTAGTTTAGTTTTTTGACTCTTGACTGTTGACTCACAGTCATGTAGAGACACCCTAGTCTCTATAAACATATGCACTAGTGCCTCCTCATGCTTAATGTGTTGAAAATGTTGACCAAATTGTCAGTGAGTAATAAAAAAAGACAGTTCTTGTGTTTTTTTTAATTTCATTTTAATTGATTTTGTAAGTACACAATACTGTTTCAATTAGTTTGTGTTTCTTGTAAAGTCTATTTTTATTTCACTTAACCTCAATAAAATATTTTATACATAGTTTTAGAATTTACTTCAGTTTTAATAAACAAAAATAACCTTGTTTAATTAGGTTATAATGACTAGAGCTTGAATAAACTACTTTACCCCACACTAGTGCTTGATTGATTGTTGGTGTTGTAATGACTGAAGTTGACCACTGGGTGCGCTAGTTGCCCCGCGCTGCCTCATTGTTTGTGGCTCAGCGCCGCTCTGCACAGCCGGGCGGAGAGAGGCGACGGGTCAGAGGAAAATGGCGGACGGTGTGGATCACATCGATATCTACGCCGACGTAGAGGAGGAATTCAACCAGGTATTTAATCCGCTTTTACTGCACTTCGTCTAATGCTGCTATTTTCGGTGTATCTGTATAATTCATTGTATATAATATTGTGTGGGAATGGTTGTTCTCTGCTGGTCCGACGAGCTCCTCTGGCACACAGGCCCCCTTTCACCATGCTGCAAGCCAGCATCGGCAACACAATATCGGCTGTGAATGTTGAATTAGCGGTGTTGTCGACATTTAACTCGACGCATGCTGCATGTATTAATGGACATGCAATGTGTATAGATAGATTATTTATTCAGGTGAGTGCTGAAAGCAGCTGCCTTCATTGTTTAGCACTCGCAGGTTCAGGCCTTGGCATGGCCGCCGGTGGCGGGCTAGCAAGCCAAACAAACGCAGTTACGTTAGCTAGCTAGCGTTAGCTGCTTTCCAAATAATTGTTGTTAGTTTACTTTTCAAGCCCATGTTTTCAGTTCATACAAGCAAACAACAGGTTGAAACGAAGATAATTACAGGTAATAGGCGTGAAACGTCAAGTGTATGAATGGAAAAGCGTATTTTAATGGACCATTTCATTGCTATTCTGTTGCTAGGGCAACAACTTTGGTCTTTACTTCTTGTCAACTTCTGCATAAACATTCAAACAGGAAATACAAAGGGACCCATTTAGAATGTTTATGTTGTCCAGTTTAGCTTTTGACGTGTTAGCTTAGTTAGCATGTATGTGTGCGCTGTGTAGATGTTTTCTTCCTCCACACACGCCCCCAGTGTTGTTTGTAGGCCATTCAGACACAGTGTTATCTCCACCAGCATCTTTACAAAGCAGCTCTTACAATGTGTGTTGTGTTGATCCATTGTGCACACTCAGGATACATTCACCCACTCGTGTTTTGTCCTTTAATTCGTGAGCTTTGTCTGTGAAATGAGTAAACCAGGCTGACTACAGAGTTACTCTCATACTCCAAAATGTAAGGAAGAAAAGAGTCAGTTCATGTGGCAAAAGTCAGTCCAGTTATTTCTTTAATCATTCTAGCTAGGTTGGGTAATGTGCCAATATTTTACTGATGGTAATGCTACTTTTAGACAGTAAAATATTCATAAAATCTGATCCCGAGTCAACCTATGGTTAGTTTGAGCTATCTTGACATGGCATGCCCAATGAGAATCAGAAATACTTAATTAATCCTCAGAGGGAAACTGGGAATGAGTGTATCTCCATATCCCAATCTACAATTGGGAGTGTTAGCAATGCTATAAATGCATTTTCATGATCACTGCTATTTCTGCAACAACCTGTTCTACTGCATTCAGTTATGGTCAACTGCACATTGTTCTTAGCATTGTTTACATGACAGGTTAATTGTATCTGGTCACATGCACATACAACATGACTGTGGTATTCACTTGCCCAAGCACGTTAAGAAATCTAGGTGTGTTCACAGTTAGACTGACTAATATTTAGTTAATTGTGTATCAGGATAATCAGATTAAAGTGTTTAAAAGCAAACTAAACAAGACTCCTACCAGCTGAAGGATTTAATGTAATGTAACAACACAAAGTGAACACATACCTTTGTAAAAACTGAGCATTTAAAATCTGTCTGTGTGAGCAGCAAACTTAACTGAAATTTAATGCACGATAATATTGGTACGGCTTTAAACTGAGCTATTGGAATCGTCCAGCACGCTGATAATATCGGTAGGTCATCGGTATTGACCAGTATTGGCATTAAAATTACATATTACATATATTGAAAAGCATTGTATTTCATGTCTCCATCTGCTGGTGGGCCATCACAATAAGAGATTGCTTGTATAATATGATGTTAAATCCACTACAGAAGACACATGATGATCACTAAAATTAGGTGGGGAAATAAAGTGAATATATTGATCGTGGTATCGGTTATCAGCAGAGGTGGAAAAAGTACTGAAAAATTCTACTCAAGTAAAAGTACCTTTCCTTTGATGAAAGTACAAGTAAAGCTACCCATCTAAAGATCTATTTAAGAAAAAGTAAAAAGTAGTTTGTTTAAATTGTACTTAAAGTAGAAGTTACTTAGTAACTTCCAACAACTTGATGGGGGTCACTCCTATGCAGTGCAAAAATGGTCCAGGGGTCATAAATCCAATCCAAAAGCCGGTTATTTTTCTATGATGAACCATAGAATTCATTCATTTTGACTCACCAACACAACTGTTAGACTGCTGATACACAGAACAACTTTTTGAGCAATGTTGTTGGGCATTATTCTCAGGGATGCAAACAGATGTATGGTCAAAAAAGAGAGAGCTTGTTGAAGCGAAATTCTGAATATTAAAATACACTAACACTAATTTGAAAAAATACTATGTATTCCAAAATAGAACAAATACATTGAGCAACAGTGTTTCCCCTATATGCAACTAGCAGCGGTGGTGCTCCGCTGCTGAAATATGACTGCTGCTGCAGATTTATTTTTAGGTTTTTTTGTCTTAGCTCTTTAGAAACTACCGTTCTATTATTTGGCGCTACAGACGCTTCATATCCAGGTCAATTCACACACTTGTGAGTAAAGCATATAAGAGGAGAGGAGAGGGCTCTGTCTTATCTCTTCATAAATTAAAGTTATATTATTTTGCACGATGGAAGCTTCATATAATAACATAACAATATACTATTTATCGTGTTATACGGGGAAACAGAATTACACAAAAAAATACTCAATTACAGTAACGTGAGTAAATGTAATAAGTTACTTTCCACCTCTGGTTATCGGCCAAATGAGTTGTTATATATCAGCATATTGGATATCAGCTAAAAAAATCTGATGTTGTGCATCCCTAATTTATTGCTGTAATTTAGTTTATTGATGCATGTATGCCAACATATACGCAAGTACTTTTGTATATAAGTGAGAAACAATCATTGCCTACATGTCTGTGCACCGTCAACATTAAGAGTTTGCATAGCACAACACTTGTTGAACTGATAAAGGCAAGTGGCCTAGTGAATGAAAATGAAAACAGACATTTTTTTCTTGAATCAGCAGTATTTATTGCATGTTAGACAAATCATCAGAACTTCCTGTACCACCAGATACTCCAAAAAAGAAAACTAAACACAAAAATATTGCAGAGGTTCCAAAAGAGAAATCTGGTGTCTCTCTGGGACAAAAATGTACTAAAAAATATCATGAATTGCCATAGCATCCATGTTATATACTACTGATAAAGACCACAACAAATCATGACTTTAAAATCAATATAAAACGTAAATTTGTATGAAATTTATTGTGAATGTATGATCGATGACAAATAACTCTCAGATTTACTCAAAGCTCTCATTGGTGATGTAAAACTGTTCCTAACATGTCACACATATTTGACTGAACTGTTACTCTCATGCTCAACAGGAAGCGGACTACCCAGTCCATGAACAGATTGACCTGTACGATGATGTAATATCCCCATCAGCCAACAATGGAGATGCGCCAGAAGACCGCGACTACCTGGACACACTGCCTACCCCAGGTGGCTCAGAGGGAGGGAAGAGTGCCCCACCTAACGTGGTGTACACATACACAGGCAAAAGGATTGCCTTGTACATAGGAAACCTCACATGGGTGGGTATCAGAGAGCTCTGTTGAGACTGCTTTGATAAGTGGAGGAAAATATTAGAATCATAAATAAATCATAGCAGCATTTTCCTAAAAGTAAAAGCATTAAAGACAGTCCTGTAAACAAGGTATTCTTGTGTCACGGCAACTGAAGACCTGGAAAAAAATTAAGCAAGTCTGTGTGAATATACTGATGGTGCTGTCTTCTCATGCGCAGTGGACGACAGATGAGGATTTAACAGAAGCTATCCGGTCGGTAGGCATTACAGATGTGCTGGAGATCAAGTTCTTTGAAAACAGAGCCAATGGCCAGTCAAAAGGGTGAGCTTAACGCCAATAATACATATTTCTATCTAAACTTTTGTTTTTGAAGGGGGGCACTTTCAATGCAGGTTCTTTTAGATGTGATTCAGTTTAGTACTGGTTTGTAGATTGTAGAATAACATTTGGGCAGAAAATCACGTTCAATGCTTGATCCATACAAGACAAGGCAAAGATTTAAAGTTTGTATGAGTGATTGTGTATATCCTCTGCATTCATCCTACAGGTTCGCACTGGTGTGTGTGGGCTCAGAGGGATCATCCAGGAAGTTAATGGAGCTGCTTTCAAAGAGGGAGCTCCACGGCCAGAATCCCATTGTCACACCATGCAACAAACAGTCCCTCAGCCAGTTTGAGATGCAGTCACGCAAAAGTAAGTACGATAAATGCATCAGCATTTTTAAATATGTGTGCTTGTCACCTTACCAGTTGAAGAAGCTCATGTGAGAGATATTTGCAAATGCGTAGACACATTGTCAGCCTACTGATAATGCACTTGCATTATCACTGCACTGCAGCAAAATGGACAACATTAGATATGCACAGATAAACTTATCATGCCTATTACTTCAGTTGTATCCAGTTGTGTTTAAATGTCCACACAACCACACACATTTATTATTTATTGCATAAAATGGAGAACTGACTTACTGTTGTCTCTTCGTTTCACAGGTACCCAGTCAGGCCAGATGTCTGGGGAAGGTAAAGCCGGTCCCCCTGGTGCTGGCCCTCGTGGGGGTTTCCCCATGGGTCGAGGCAGAGGCAGGTTCCCTGGACCACCTGGCCCCGGTGGAGACCGCTTCCCTGGTCCCGTTGGGCCTGGAGGTCCACCACCGCACTTCCCTGGTTAGTTTGGTATCAAGTCTTTGTGCCAGTAAAGTAGGGGCTGAGTTCTTCTCAGTTCATTCAGTTGAAAGATGATATTATAAAACTGCAGAAATCAGATAAAAGGGTTAGCAAGTAGATTAAGCTGAGAACAGTTTATGCTATAGCAGGTTTAATTTTAAAAGGGGACCTATTATGCTTAATTTCAGGTTCATATTAACGTATTTTAGGTTTCTAGTAGAACATGTTTACATGCATTGTTGGTCACAAAAAACTGTTTGCCTCATACAGTCTGCTTTGATTGGTCAGCATTTCCGCTTTGTCTCATATCTCAACGTCTCTGCACTGTCACTGTAGCAGGGAAATGATTGAACTTTTTGTGGAAAATAACTAGTGAAACCTTCTAAATTAAAATCTTCACAACCAGACATGTTCCAGCAGGAATATGATCTGAAATTTACAACCCCGGCAACCAAGTTTACATGTTTCCCCAGCATTAGCATGTACATGTAGCAGTGTAGGCTACATGCTGAAAACAGTATCATGCTTGGAGCAGACGACCATATAAAGAAATGTGTCATAAGCTGACATCAGCTTGTAGCCAAAGTAGAAAAAAACATCAAACGTTTGATTCAAACAGACTGAAATTCGAGTTTTTATGCTCAAAGGGATTGTGTTTACATACTTGTACCTCATCATTTGAAACTTTGGACATGATCAAAATGAACATCTGTCATTTTAATATTATATATATTTGACAAAGAAATAAGAAAAAGTATAATTGGTCCCCTTTAAACTACATTTCTAATGAATTCTAAACAGTTTTTGAATTTACCTAAGATGATTTATAGCCCAAGTGTACGAGGTAGCCTGTTGTTGTTAAGATGTTGGCACATTAATACAGCCTCTGACATTAACTGTAAATAACTCACTGTCTCCTAATCTAATTTAGACATGTCAACAGTTGTTTTACATATTACTCAAGTGGGTTTGGACCTTGTTAAATGTTACATTGGTCTTGCTGTACCAAACAAGGTGAGTTCATGGGGAAAAAATGTTTGTGTCTCATTGAAACAGTTAGAATTGAATTCCAGTCTCAGCAGCCGAAATTAATTCCTGGATAAATGCACTGGGGATACATACACATCATGAATGACACCGTGATTTGTGTGATCTGTGATGTGTATGGATCGGTGCTGGCGGTGGTCATGCTCCTTCACCTGTTGAGGTTTATGGGTCAATGGATTCCTGATGTAGACCTGGCGTTGTTAAAAGATGTCTTTATTTTTTTAATGTCATGTTTTTGTTTTCAGGCTTTTGTCATTCATGTGGCATTATTTTTTTTCAATAATACAGTAGTGCAACTGACTGAAATAATCATCGTGTGACAAATGCCTTGAAAACTTAACATGAGATTAATTAAAATTCTGCTCTCGGTCTGGTCGTGCTGCTCTGTTAGCACAGTCCAGGCTTTGCTACTACTCACACCCGCATGGAACCAAGGCTAGTCTATAGTGTGTGTTTCCTGGGAGGGAGCGTTCACCCATTAAATCTCTCCTGGCAGGGCTGTGTCTTTGCATGTTTCCCTCCCCATCTGGTTTGTTCTTTCATTGTCCCTCTTCACCTCCAGTTGAACGAATAATCCTTCCCTGGCTGCAGTTTTCTGCTCACTGACTATTTCCAACATCATTCCTTGAGAAGCAGTTTGCTCATAGCTTTTCTTGGCAAGCTACCAACTTTAAACTCCTTGCAAATCTTGGATTGGCTGCCTTACACACACTTAGTAGGAGAGAATGGAGCTGCCAGCTTTTCTCTTTTTTTACCCCCTCCATTTTTGCGTCTTTTCCCTCCATCCCACCCTTTTCACATCCCTTCTTTCGCTTAGCGGCTGGTGCCCCGTGCTGCTGGGCTGTGACAGGCCTTCAGGTGGTAGGGGGAAGTTTATGAAGGGAAGAGTTGTGATTGGTTTGCTTTCTTCCCCATTAGGCTCGGGGATGAGACCAGATCTGATTAGACACCAAGATGGCCCTCTGATGGATATGGGTTTCAATCCCTTCCCGCCGGGGGGTAGGAACGGGAGCTGGCGTGGCAGAGGTGAAAAACCTCAATTGATCTGATCGATCACCTTTTTATCCTAACCCTCAGGAGTTATGCCATAGCTTCTTTACATATGATGACATACATCACTGCGCTGTCCAGATGGAGGGCAGGCAACTGGAGGACTTCCAATACTGCACAAATGTCTACGATTTGCGCTGTTCAGACTGTTCTAATGAATCAGATTGGGAAAAGGCAAGGGCTATTTTAAGTCCTAAAAATAGTAGGATGTAAAGGGGAAAAAACTCACTAAGAAACAGTGGCACTGGCAGATTGGAACAGTTGACCTAGTAGGTAGAAAATAGTACCTAATGTTAGCTAAAATTACCTCGTAAGGTTAGCCAAAATTACCTTGTAAGGTTAGCCAGGATTACCTTGTAAGGTTAGCCAGGATTACCTTGTAAGTTTAGCCAGGATTACCTTGTAAGGTTTGCCAACATTACCTTGTAACGTTAGCCAACATTACCTTGTAACATTAGCCAGCATTACCTTGTAACGTTAGCCAATATTACCTTGTAACGTTAGCCAACATTACCTTGTGACGTTAGCCAACATTACCTTGTAACGTTAGCCAACATTACCTTGTAACATTACTTAGCATTACTTTGTAAGGTTAGCTATCATTACCTTGTAAGGTTAGCCACCATTACCATGTACCATTAACCAACATTACCTTGTAAGGTTAGCTAGCATTACCTTGTAAGGTTAGCCAACATTACCTTGTAACGTTAGCCAGCATTACTTTGTAGCGTTATCAGACATTACCTTGTAAAGTTATCCTTACAGCAGTGCATCCATGCACAAAGTTGAAATATAAATAAAGAGTTATAATCAGGCACATTTACTCAACCGGCCAAAAACAAGACAGCAGTTGTTTCAGCTGTGGACCCAACCGCACACAAAATAATTGTAGTCCACAAGACTCTCTTATGCTTTAATTGACTTGCCGTGTAGCGCTGGTAATGTAGGAGGTCTAGAGGATGAGGTAGCCTAATTTGTTTCAAGGATTGTGTCAATACCAGGCAAATCAGGCAATGTTTTGTATGGATTACATCCAACATGAGATAACATTTTGTGACGATACCTGCTGCCTGCAGGTTCATCAAACTCTCCAAAGTCGTCACTTTTCTTGTATTTCCAGTTCACGCAGTATATGGATTTATCACTTCCTGCCCTCCATCTGAATTTTGTGCATTATAATAGTCTCGTGACTGCAAACAAGCTATTGAAAGCATCAGGTTGATGCCCCCAAAAGAGCTGAATTTCTCTTTCAACTCTAAATCCCTCGATAGACTGATTCCATCAAGTACTGTTGGCCCTTCACAAGGTCATGGTAACAGTGTGTTCACACTAAAACATTAGAGAAGCACACCATTAATAAATGTGCTGTATTCTTTTGAGGTCAGTCCAGATCATACATTCACAGTCAAACAAGCTTTAAAAAAGCATCATCAAAGAATGAATAGGCAGAAGCACGAAGTAGGTTTTTGAAGGCCATCCTGCAGCCTGCCTACTCAATCATATTCATTTTGCCAAAAGCAAATTCAACTTTTGTCATGCTTCTATTAAATCAGAAAACATGCAGTACTTCTGTACTTTTTTTTTTTACATCTTGATCTTCTGAAGCTGTGTGAAGAAGATACTTCCCTTTTAAAAAATTCTATAAAATTCCTTCATGCAGCTGCATGAGAGAATAAAATGCATCTGGCAAAGTTGTGTGGTCTCCCTTTTCCTTAAATGCCATCTAACAAGTGGCCCTTGCATGGGAGTGATCGATTTGCAAACTGCAGTATATAATAATCCAGCTGGTTGACAAAAAGCCTGCTTGAAACAGTTTGCTATGAGTTTATCTCATCATCTCTTCTGTTGCCTTGTGATTTCATTTGCAGCATTATTTTGTGGCCTTTTGACATCCGTTGTTCCCTGTAGCTATGGCTTGCTCTTCCTTATCTGTCTGTGTTATTGTTCCTGCTTTGAACTGCTTTAGTTAGTACCTGTGGGTACGCACATTTGAAGGAGGTCATGGAAAATACTGGCTTCACCAGGATGTTAAAATTAGAGCTTGATCGATTAATCGGCCAAGCTAATATGTGTTTATATGCTTTAAACTGTCCAATTAAATTTCAAAGTCTATGAGCATGATGGGGGAAATAAGTGTGCTGGTAAAAAAAAAAAAAAATGTCACAAAGATGTTGGGGAGAACTCTACTTGCTTTAACAAAAAAAGCTAGAGTTCACTAGAACTCAGTTTGTCTCATCAGCTTCTCTTTTGTACCCTGTGTTCTTTTTTAGGTGGGATGCAGGGTCCCCCACGTCCCCCTCCTGGTCCACCTGGTCCCCCTGGTCCCCCAGGACCTCCACCTCCTGGCCAGGGCCTCCCCCCTCCCCTTGCTGGTCCTCCAAATCGTGGCGATAGGCCTCCTCCCCCTGTTCTCTTCCCTGGTCAGTTTGGCCAGCCTCCAATGGGACCCCTGCCCCCAGGTCCCCCTCCTCCAGGTTACGGCCCTCCCCCTGGTCCCCCACCCCCTCAACAGGGCCCGCCACCCCCAGGACCATTCCCTCCACGTCCCCCTGGCCCCATCGGGCCCCCCATGGCTTTGGCTCCACCTCCACACATGCCAGGTCCCCCGCCAGGTGGACCACCACCAGCACCCCATGTTAACCCTGCCTTCTTCCCTCCACCTGGTAACAACAACATGCCCCCCAACGACAGCAGAGGCCCCCCTGGACCAAACGACCCATACGGACGCCCGCCACCATATGACCGAGGGGACTACGGTCCTGGAGGCCGGTAAGAATGGGTGTTGGTGGAACAAATAGTCAGTACAATCAGTCAATCAATCAATCAAACTTTATTTAAAGTGTAGAATCACCATGCAGGATGGTCTCAAAACACTTTACAATTAAAATAGTACAGCAACTGATAAAATGTTCTTTCACAGTATAGTAACAATCTAAAAATTGCAATGCATGTTGCATTGTTTTTTGCTTTGAAATTGTCGGGGCAGATAAAAAATTGGAAAAATTGTTGGGTGCTGTTCTGGATTCTGAGCCTGTTAAGATGAGCATTCAGTGTTTCCCACAGATTTTTCCCCCTTTTCAACCAAAATTAGTGAGTGTATGCAGGGTTTTTTTAATGTGGGAACACCTGTTAAATAGGTGACTCCCATTTCCAGTAGATCAGAGTCGTATACACGGCTCTGCAGTTGACGAGTATGAATTAGTGTTTTTTTTTTTTTTTTAAACTGGTGTGTCATGTTTGATGTCACGGTAAGGCAGGCTAGTAAATCGTAAAGCAGCATTAAGGTCAATGAAAATGTTTTGTTGCTTACTTTAATGTTTCTTAATTATTCAGGGTCTCTTTGAAACTCGGTGCTGATTAAATTTGGTTTGATAGTTGAGTGCTGCTTGCATCAGGCTAGTAAAGGAGCTAAAATTAGCATGTCCACCTTGGTGTTGTATTTCCATCACTGCCAATCTGAGCCAATCAGAGTTGACAAATACCAATGATTACTGTGGAGTCCTTTGTCTTAGGTGTAAATGCCGATTGCAGCCTTTCCCATTACATTCAAAAGCCTGATATTAGTGGGTATTTTGTGCAGTGGGAAAGTGGCTTTAGAACCTAATTATAATGGTGGGATCACCTTGAGATCGTTATAGCTGTTCATTAAATGTTGGGTAACGTTAGCTGTGATGTGCTGACAGTTAGCCCTGTCATTGAAAAGCGCTTACAAATAAATTTATTATTATTATTATGTGTGTGTGACTCGCACAGAGCTCACACTCCCGCAGTCATGATAAAAAGAGAGAGCAGGGCAAGAAAGGGCTGAACAAATCCATACACTGCATGCAGCTCTACAATGACATAAGATTTTACCTGCTCTGAATGGTCACATTTGTGGTAAAGTTGTGGTGACTGGACAAAATTATAAGGTCACACAGAATTCACAACATCATAACATCCTGGAGGGGCTGACATTGGTAAAAAAAGTGTTGTTCGTTTTATGACGTGGAAGAATTCTGGATTTGCACTTCTTATGTGCAGACTTAAACATTTAATTTTCTTTTTGTCATTTATTCAATTAGTTTCAAAGATAACAGTTTAACTTTGGAATGTAACACTTGACACGTGTGTATTTGTAGGGAGATGGAAGCGTCACGGACCCCTCTGAGCGAGGCAGAGTTTGAGGAGATTATGAACAGGAACAGAGCCATCTCCTCCAGCGCCATATCCAGAGCGGTGTCCGACGCCAGTGCAGGTAACACAAGAATAGAGGACATGCACTATACAATTACTCACTATGGGTGTACTCAGGTTTAATGCCAGCAAGAGAAAAACTGTGAGCCAGCGAAAGCTAAATGCAAACTTGTTCTCCCTTTAGCTGACTATGGCAGTGCTATAGAGACCTTGGTGACAGCCATCAGTCTGATTAAGCAGTCCAAAGTGTCAGCAGACGACCGATGCAAGGTCCTCATCAGTTCCCTGCAGGACTGTCTCCACGGCATTGAGTCAAAAAGCTACGGTTCCGCCTCCAGGTAAGACTTTAATTTTGGGCAGTAGCCATAAAATGTGACACAGAAGCTGTTCAAAACGACACTAAAAAAGACACTTAAAACCTCTTGTCAGATAAAGTATCTTGGATCTAGGACAAAGGAAAAAGACATGAGCCAGTGGACTATTTCCCTCCCATTTAATGTTGTTGTGTATTTTTTGGATCCTATATTTCTTCTAAATGGGAAATATCCCTGGATTTGAAGATTTGAAACCCTGGCTGGTACACAGTCTAATAATGCTTGTCCATGTCCACTGTAGACGAGAACGCTCCAGGGAACGAGACCACAGCCGCTCCAGGGAAAAGAGCCGACGCCACAAGTCCCGCAGTCGTGACCGGCATGAGGACTATTACCGAGAACGCAGCCGGGAGCGGGACCGCCACCGTGAGAGGGACAGGGACCGAGACCGGGAGAGAGAGAGGGAGAGGGAGTACCGTCACCGCTAGATGAGAGGTGGGTACAGTTTTCCTCTGTTACTTTCTTCTGTCATGAGCTCTCCTCTGTCTTCTTTACTACACTTTTCCTAGATGTGGACTGAGCTGGTTAGGTTCAGGCTCAAACAACTTGAACTCTGTGGCAGAAGATGCGTTTGGAAAAAGTCTGCTTCGATTGCTCACCTCCTCTCTTCTTCATTGGAGTAAAGGCTTTAGATCAGTTCAGGATTTTCCGTGACCAAAGCATTTTTGATCAACAGAGGGTGTATTTTTGCCCTAATAACTAATTATCAAGAATGTGGCCTTTGTCCTCATGAGTACAGTCACACATAGACCATAAAAGGCTTTTGACCATCTTTAAACTGTTGAAATCATAATTTACAGTATAGAATAACTTAATTTAAATTTGCATTAATGATTATATAATGAAGCGAAGAGGTAAGCAAGGAAAAGACTTCTAAAACTCAGTCATTTGATGACAGGTAGGTGAAAGGTAAGTCTGCTTTCCTTGAAATGGTCTGGTAAGAAATCACAGTTGTGTATTTTGTCTTATGGACAATATGTGTAAAACGCACTTAATGTATTTCCAATGCTGCATTGCACAGAGGGGTTTGTGAGTATTGTATCTATGCCGTGGTTCTCCCTCAAATCAGAAAGTCCATTGATACTTGAAACTGACTGTAGATGCATTGTTACTTTTTGGTCTACGTGCCTCTGAGGCAGGTAATCTTCAAAATTTGTCAGCCACTTTTTGTATTCTGCCAAATAAATTTCAAAGTTAAATAGATTTTGTTACAGATGGCATGGAGAGAAAGTAGTAACATCCAAGTTGCTTGTACATGTTTGGCTGTGTTTGGTAATGTTTTGTGCTCATTATGCCTTTTTGGCAGTTCAGAGAATCTCTGTAGATAACATTTTTCCAAATCTAAACATCTTTTTGTCTCATAAAAAGTGGCAATAAACAAAATTTTGGTTTTACCAGCAGCTTAGGTCAGTGGACCAAAAAAAATCTACAAATTTTTCTGGCTTGAGTATCGAGATTCAGTACTTGCCATTTCATTATATGTGGGTTTAATTGAAGTGTATTGTGTCTGGTGAGTTGGTTTGTTAGTGTGTTTGTAATAGTAGTTGACTGACTGGCAGGTTTCAGATGTCAAAATATTCCCCAATCATTTTACAGTACCTAATACAGATTTAGCATTCTATGTGGTCTTATTGTATTGTTAGAAAAAAAATACAGTGTTCAACTTGCTGATCGACCAATTTACACTTTGTAAATGTTCCATTTACAGTAATGTTGTATACGTATTACCATTTCCATTTTAAAGCTGAATATAAAGATCATTGTCTTGTTACAATTAAGTAAAGGTGAACATTTTTCAGTGTTGATATCTGCTGATTTTTGGACCCATGATTGTTATTGTGCATGTCAGTAATATTGCCTGACATTTAAATTGTGTCTAAGTGAATGTTTTGTAGCTCAGTGTTGCTCACCTTTAAACCATTGTACCTCAATTTAAGATGTTGAGGTAAAGCAAAAACAAAACTTTTATACTTTCTAATACCATGTTCCAATTACATAGATCTTGATGCCCTTAGTGCACATTATGTGATCATTTTTTGAGGCAAAGATCAAAGGAAAAACAAAATTTGATGTTCTGCTGGAGTTGATCAGTGGCTTTAAATTGCAATTGTTTGTAATGTGATGATTGTCAGAGTTGGTTTATATAAGTTAGGATCAGGAAGTTCATTTTCAACTAAAGAAAATCATAATTTGATTTGTGAGAACTTATAAATAATATTGAGGTATCCATCAAATCAAAACTGAACAATTGTTAATGTTGATGCAGCAAATTCATGATGATATGCTAATTGTAATTTGACTAATCCGTGGAAGAAATTTTGTCTCAGTATTCGTTTTTAATGTCACTCTTATGTACGTATGTATATTGAAATGATTTCCATTCAGGCTGCAGTGTTGATTTTTAAACGATAAATTGTCAGGTTAGTAAGAGATCATGCAAGTGTTCTTGATTATTTCGGCCTGTGAGCATGTGTTTTGCTGGATTTTTGGGTGTTAAGTCATGTCATGGATGAGTTGTAGATGAATTTATCTGAAACCAGTTTGTGCACATTCACTATTGATACCAAATTCTCAAATGATTTGAGGTGAATATTTTTCAGGTTAATTGTCTCGCTCAGTGTTTCCCAAATCATTTTGTAATTTTTGGCTTCTTCCGTTGCGTCACTTGCTGATGAACAATATGATAAGTTTTGTCAGGTTTTGGAAATGCAGTTGAAATACTGGTTTGATCGATTTTGTGTGTTCTCATGTCCTTTGTTGCCAAAGCTTGTAGGATTTCTGTGGTGTTGTGTATAAACTAGTCTTTATAGGGCAGAGTTTAGTAGGTTACACGGACCCCTCAGCTTCTCTGTACACACATTACCCCAAATAATATTTCTCTTAGCTTTCAGACATAAACTGCATTCACTCTTGACACTTTCATGTCTTAATTTAGTAGCTCTCATAGAGAAGAATAATAAACATAATTTATATATGCACTATTTTATAAGTGTTGAAGTTTCTGTCATACTGAGAAATATTAAGTGGGGTTGTTTTGCTTGTAGAGTTGCTGAATTCTGAAAGCGCCCAAAGCCCATACAAAAAGAATATAAGTTTGTAACTGTCTGAGAAATCTGTCATGTGATGTGATTAGTGTAGAGCTGTGCTCATTTTTAGCCATTAGCTCTAGCTGAATTAATCTAATCTGTTGATTCCTGTTGTCCTATACCTTCATAACAGTTGTTACTGAAAAGTATGACTTTGTGTCCACTGGGAACCTCTTGATAAAGGGTTACTTTTTAAAGTTTTGTTAAAGGGAGAGATTTCTGTTTTTTCACACATTTCAGAGTGGCAGCAAATGGAAAAAAATGAGCACTGCGTTTCAGTAAAAAGCATTGCAGCAGCAGCAATCACTGCAGTCTCATCTAGCACACATTTTGTTATCTCTGTGAGATAAGAGATCCCCAGTGGGCACAGGGATGAATAACTTTTGGTAATTTGTAGATACCAGAAATGCATTTGTTGAGTATATTTTTTACCTTTAGCTGCCTTTGAATTCAGTCTGATATCTTAGAGAAAAAAAGAGAACTAAGCATATTGCTTTAATCCTAATGGTAGTTTGGCTATTTGTTGTGTCCTCAGATGCTTTAACACTGTTATATCTGTTCATATTGCCAAGGGGAAATGTACACTGTTTGCACCAGGCTGAACCTGTTTATGCACTCTATTTAGTCTTTCTGTAGGTGCATGTTTGCTGGGGATCACAGCCCTGTTTTCCTTTTCAAGCAAGCACTTTATTTGCTCATGTTAAACCAGGGCCAAACAGTTTCTGTTACAAGTCAGCAGGAAGTATTAATGCACATTTTAGTAACAGCGAGCAAAGACAATATATACTTGAAATAGACAGTCATCTTAGAAATAGCCTGTAGGGGAGGAAATTACAGTTTTGACTTAATTTGGTTCAGTTTTAATTATGCTTAATTATTAGGGCTGTAGTCAACCAAAGAAAATCTTGGTCGACTTAAATCGTACATAATCTGAGTCTAATCGATAAGTCTTGGGGGAAAAAATCTCTTTATTTTTTCTTCTGTGGTGGTGTGTCCGTGTCACTACATTAGCCTAGCGACGAGCGGAGTTTTCCTCTGCTCATATAAAGCCAGGATAAATCACACGTAAGACCTAAAATGCTATTTTAGTGGAAGCTTTACTGTCTTCACAATTTATTGTTCCTTATCTGTGAAATAAAGCTTCGTTTCCACTGAGGAAAAGGGTGTCGGTATACAGAAACTCACAGGAGGTCTGCGCCACCGCGATGCTGAGTGTGAGGGTGGGAGAGTTCAAATTTCTGTCAACAACAGGGGTGTTTTGAAAACACCCCCATTTTCACAGGTTACTTAGCCTGTCCTCCCCGCCGCAGGAAATAATGGATTAATCCTGGAAAGCTATTGATGTAGCACTTTTCTCCTTATGAAAGTAACACGGCGATTATTCGACCAATGAGAATTTGGTTGGACGAGAGCATATAATATAAAATAATCGACTAGTCGAGAGTTGTTCTTAAAGTTTTTCTTAAGACATAATTGACAGAAGAAGCAAAGGTGACACTGACAGTAGCAAGCTTGCTACAGCTTTTTAATGTAACCTGTAAAATAGCAGCGATAGGCAGTAATGGTTGTCAGGTTGCCAATATTGGCAGTACAGGAGGAGGTGCACATTAATAATCCTCTAGGACTGTAACATGCTCATGTTTAACCCAAACAATGCGTAATGCGACTGCAGTTGGTTCAGATCGAGGTTGGAACATGTTCTCACCACAAATGAACCACACCAGAGTTTGGTTGTAACCGGACTGAGACCACCTCTTCAAGAAGGTCTCGGTCAGGTTGTTTTGGTGCGCACCAGAGTGCGATTGCTGTGTTCATGCCTGCCCAAACAAACCGCACTTGAGAGGCAAACTAACTTGAGTTTGATTGAACTGAACCAAACAGGGCAGATGTGAAAGCACCCTTAGTGTTCATATCTGAATAAAAATTTTTAAATGGTAAGTATCACATTTTAGGCTTTTTAATGTAGTGTTCAGTAAAAAAAAAATAAAAAAGTTAGAGGCCTGAGAGTGTTTCATGGACTGTTTGACCCTGGTTTGGCTCTTACCTTTATTATTTCCATGCTGTATTAGCTGACACACCACTAGAATATTCTATAATAAACATAGGTTCAAGGCATATTTTATGATAAGGGAAAAGATTTAGTCATGCCCCTTGCCCACTTGTTCTGGTTGTTTGAGTCTCTTAATAGTTTGACCAAGAGTGTCGTTGAGTTCGACTGCTGTGTTGTGTAAACTATTGTTATTGTTGGCTAAAGTGTATTTCTCTGTAGCTATGCACCATGTAAAACCCCTTCAACAGCCAAAAAAACGTGAAGTGTCAATATGCATTTGAATTTTTTAAACCATGTAAAATCATCTGTACTCATTTGACATGCCTGAAAGTAAGGCCTTTTTGGTGCAGATACCTTGTTATAATTCACCCTGTAAAGAAAACCCTTGTATCACTGAGGTTTGATACGTTTGATTTTAAATTGATAGCATATCTAACAAATGTGAAATGACTTTCTGTAACAGAACTGTTGTCATTTCATCTGCTAAATTTAAAATTTCTGTCAAGAGGTGCTTTGAATTGGGTAGAAATGTTTTCAGGTCATTGGACCATTGTTGACAGTCTAATTGACCATTGCTACTGCCTTTTATAATTATTATAAAGAAGTTACCTTTCCAGTTTCCTGTACCGTGCATGCTGGACTTGGTTTCTCAATTCTGAGTACAAAATATTGCAGCTTAAAGGAATATACTTAATGACACTGGCCCTATTTTTTCTGTTGTATGTAAAAAGGTTTGGTATGGTTTGGGCGTCCATATCAGTGAACGATTGTAGCAAAGTATCATCTGCTGTCTCTGAATCAGATGCGTACCTTCCTCTTGGTAGTTTTGTGTTTTTATCTACAGCTCTTTGTGTCCTTTCTGTGTCTTTCTCTCCTATATTGCCAAATTTCCCTGAAAAATTGGTTGTGTCACAGCCAATCATGTACTGTTTGTATGTTATGTGTTGCAGTGTTAAAAGTTTTCAGTGTTTGTAGCCCTGTACCAAACGCCCACCTTTACCAATTGGTTGTAAGCAAAATGTGTTCTTGAAATAGCTGTATGACAAACACTGGGTCCACTTTTCTATGGCTGTCAGAAGTGGCTAACACATGGGGGGAAAGATCCTTTTGAATTCATCTTAAGTTAATGTATTTTTGAAGGGGAGGAGGCAAGTCTTTCAGAAAACCACTGGAGATTGGAAAATTGGCTTGACCATTTTACAAAGAAATTTTTAATATTTTTGCAAATTACATTAAAAAGACAATAGGCTACATTGTGCAGGACCAATCTTGTCAATATGTGACTTGAGGCTCTATTCAGCATTCCACAATTACAAAATGAGTCTTGTTCAATGCAGCGTAGCTGTGCCCTTTAGATTATATCAGTGTTTTGCTCATGTCCATCTCTAAATTTGGAAATTCGGTGTACACTGTAGAAAACTGTAACAAAAATGTGCAACCTCGTTGTCTTTCAATATTCAATATTTCATATGTGGATGTCAATTCTTGTCTGTCAAGAGCTACATGTAGCGTGCAAACATCTTTATATGGATTAACGGCATATGCATTAAAAAAAAAATAATCAAAGAGCAAATTCAGGCATAGACTCAACTGCATATTGTTTTATTATTTTTGGTGTGTGTGTGTACATACTGAAAGATTCCAGATTTGCTTCTTGGAAATTTCCTGTTCAAGTTTGCATGACGATGTTTCTTAGTGTCTGTGCCAGGGTTGGGTCCAATACACAGTCAACTGAGCATTAAGGGAAACGGAAGTTAATGTCCTAATGGGGAGCCATATATATGCATCATTTTCAGAGACTTTATGTCCAAACACCATTTCTTTTTTTTTTTACCTCTACCCTTCATATTCCAGTGTCCCCTCGCCCCTCAAAACAGAGTTGTAAGGGCTAGTGGTTAACAGCCCGTAAGACCTAGACATGCCCTTAGTAGTTATTGATGGCGTTGCAGCTAACAGACGCTACAATGTCAGTAATGCTATTTTCGCAAGGACATTTGCCATCTATCTGATGGAGATAGAAAAGCATGGAGTTCATTCACAACTTAGCTCAAATGCTATCAGTTGACAAACCAAGTCATTGAATTAAAAAGAACACTGCTACCAACCTAGCAAAGTTGCTGGACTTGACTTAAAGTTTGGGTGTCCTATGCCGTCAAACGGGGGAATGTGACATGAAGATATGTCAAATTGTGATACTGTCATGCACAAATCAACACAAATTTATGTTAGCTAGCTAGTTAGCTACAGAGATATCAGGATTATAAGTAGGAATTTTTTTTTGTTATTGTTATGAAGAAAAGGATCATAATACATAACTGAAACAACACTGAGGAAGTTTTTTTTTTATTCTCTTTTTATTTAGTTATTTCAGGGTCCAACCACAAAAACATTTTTTCCTTTTTAAACTGTTTATGAAGAAAATTCATTCGTGGGTTTCTTTTGTTGCTTGGGCAGCCATCTTGCTGATGATTTCTCGTAACACTGCGTTTAGGAGTATACCTCTGAAAAACCTCTGTTTTGAGAGCCATGTTTTCCCCAACCCTTCGCTTTACCACTCTATCCCAGCAATAATTGGGACAACTTTTCCCTTGGGGTGAACATGCAAAACGGTGGGGTAAGGGCTAAGTGGAAGGGACAAGGGGTGTATTGGGATAGGACTCCAACCTTGTGACTCAAAGTGATGATGAATTGAACCCAGCCCTGGCGTGCACAACATGTGTGTAGTCTAGAGGTTTGATGATGAGGGGGGAAAGTGTTCACTGTTGGGCTGCCTCGAAACCAAACTCCACCCTTCGTTTTGACACCTTTCAGCTAACGAGGATCAAGGATGGATGGAAGGAAAAGGAGGAAGGATTTCAGTGCGCCACCACCTCCCCACCCTGCATGACCGGACAGGATTACAACCACCACCTCTTCCTCCACCCCTCCATCTCTCTTCTCCTCTCCGTCTCCACCCATCCTTCTCTCTGTCTGTTCATCTTGTCTGCCTGAATAAGAGCAGTGGATGGAAGACCCTGACCTGTGTAAGATTATGTTATCCAAACATCTATACTCATGGTAACTAAAGATGAAAGAAAAGAAACTTTCCAAACAGTTCTTTTATTTTTATGATGTTTTATTTGACATGAAGATGAGTATGTGTGATGCTTCTTTGCAAAGAAACAATAAAATGGCCCACACAATCCCCTAACTAGAAAACACAGACATTACATCCCGTTTGTTTTTTATTTTTCCTTGGCTCGCTGTACTGTGTACATTCAGTTTAGAGATCAGTTTTTATAGGGTACATCTTTGATGTGTTCTCCCCACCCTTCTCTCTCATTCTCATTTATCCTTTTTGTTGTTAGTATGTTTGTAAATGTCTCTCTGCTTTTGATTAAAAACTAGATGGTGTTGTAATAAAAAATGTTTACCGAGGTACTCGATGCATTTGGTGAATTCCTCTACATGTTTGACTCATTTATATTAAATGTGTATTTTGGACTGCAAACTGTTTTTCATATTGAATTTGTCTACGTTTAGATGATCTATTTTTTAGCTGTATTAGCGTGTAGTTGTATGTTTAGAAGGTAGATCCCTGTTTTTAAGTCCCTTTTTATGTTTTTTTTTTTCCTTTGTTTCTTCAAATGGATGAAACTTTTACAAGGTAAGACAAATTAAATCAATGTACTTTTTTACAATGTGAATCGATGGGTGGATGGGAGGATATGTAGACTTGAACAAATGAAAGGTCTGCATGTATGTGCAGCTCTTTGAATCACACCGTAAACCAAAAAAATACTTTTTACAAAGTGGTTTCTGTTGTAATTGCATTGAAAAACTCACCAAGAAAGAAAAAAAAAAACCAGTGTTTTGTTGTGAAATATTCATCCTTAGATTTAGAAATCAATGTGAGTTCAAGCAGCCATTGTAGTTAAAGACCACATGGAATTGGTAAACCTTCAAGTATCCGCTAATCCCATTTGGTGATTTTCCATTTCAAGTAAATTATTGTATTTTTGCTCCTGTGTTTCACACCTAATATATTTTTGTATGTTCATTTTTGACACTGCCCTGTCACACCATAGATGAACCTTTAAACACATAAGGAAGAAGTTCAGTGGAGCTGGTTCATATGCAATTTGTTAAAATTGGAATGTGCACCTTAACACTAACATTGTTGTCAAATGCCAGGCAACACTGTGATACAAACCTTTCAGTTTGTAGTATTTGAGATGATCAGTTTGACAAATAAGCACTGTTACGTATGAGAATTGTCTCTAATCCCTATTTTTCCAGTTAGAAAAAAAGAAGCCCCTATGTCCCAATATTTGACGTTGAATCAAACTACTAGACCAGTTTTTGGATTTCGGTAAATAAAAATGTGGAAGAAAGTTTTGTGGTGCTGCAACAGTGTTTCATCAGGGGTGTCATATTGATGTTTTTTTTTCATTTGTACTCCATCACAAAGAAATGTTGATAAAATGAAATCAAAATGAACATTGTGTCGTAAACACAACTTTTGATTATATGCTACACAAAAGCTCTTATTTTTTTAAATCACAAATCCCCTTTTGTGTTACTTATTTGTCTATTGGAGATTATTGGTTTTCTTTTCAAATATTTTTTTCTTTTCTTTTTTTTTTATGTACTTATCTTGGTTTAAATCCATGACCATCCCCTGATATATTGCATGTCCAAAAGTATTTGATGACTGTAAATATTGTTGACACTAATATCCATCCATTCATTGTAATGGCTACAGGAATCACTGAACTTAAATGAAAAGGTGTAAATCAGATTGTAATGGCTTCCAGACATTTTTCAACCCCAGTGATGCTCTTGAAATGTATTCATATTCTAAAATATACTTTTAGAGTGTTATATATCATTAAATATTGATCCATTTGTTCCCATAACCTTGTGAACTCTGTAAAAGAGTAATGAAACATTGTAAATTGGGTTTTTGTACAAAAAAACAATGTTGAAAATGTGGGAAATTTTACACTCAAGGAAAAATCTTAATGCCAACTTGAACAGTACTTTAAAAAATGGGCCCCTACAGCTGAAATGTTTTTCAGTGTTTGTGGCTGATTAGGATCATGTTTCCCTCTTTTTTGTATCTTAAAGAGCTTGATGCCTTACAACTTTGAGTCTGTCATGCACATTGACTTTTGTGATCTGGGCAGACTCCCAGCAGTCATTCAATGTTATCCTGAGCAGAGATCTGATCAGCCAGAATAAGAACATGTTTGTGCAGGGCTCTCGGTAAGAGTACTGTCACTTTGTAGTTGCCTTGTGCTGACCTCTCTCCACAGCGCCGAAGGTAAGTGTTTCAGGTCTACATCACTACAGAGAAGGAAACAGTCCAGTCCAGCGGCAGTCTGGCTGACATCAAGCCCAGGCCAAGCATCGACGCAGCTGGAAAGTATCTTTTGTGTGTTTTCAGTATTTGACGTACATGGTGTAATGACAGGATATACAGTAGTAATTATATATTCTTCAGTTTTGTTTTATGGCCTGTAATGGATAATGTACATTTTATAGAAATTTAGCCATGTGTGACCCGACATTGAAACTCAACAGAGGTGTAATGTAGTAAGACTTTATATGTATATATTTAAGTGGTCATTTACAGTTTGTTTTTTATACCTGTAAATATAATTAAATGATCAGCATAGCAATGCAGACCTGTCCAGTAAAAAGCAGGACTTCTCAATGCTGTATGACATAAGTTTCTATCCTCAATTTTAAATGTAACTTGGGTTTTTAGAAGAAAAAAAAAAAGGGTCACATTGAGATTATTTACAGTGGAGACTTGTCATCTTGTATTAATGCTGGCAATGTCTTGTTTTATTTACACATCTCCGCAGGTAAAGGTACATCATAACCAAAAGTAACCAAATGGTCATTGGTCCTAGAAAATAAAACTATTTGAAAGTCAGTTTGGTTTCGTGGCTTTTCTTTGTGTAAGATACATATAATTAGACTGTGCATCAGGCAATAGACACATCTGTTACTTAAAGTCAGTCCATGAAAAAAAATGTTTTGGTCTTCATTTGGTGTGCTCATTCTGAAGTAAACTTTTAAAATACAATCTCATACCATTATTTCCCAAGGTTGGATGAATGCTTATGAACAAAATATAAAAAATTATATGATCATTCTACATTTTACCTATAAAACGGTACTATTTTGTAGGATTATGGATTTTCAACCATTGAGAGAAACTTAATTTAAAATGTCCACCAAATTAAGAGTGCAAGTGAGTAAAAATTATTAAAATCTTAACTAATTGAGGTCCATCAATTACAGTATGTAAGTAGCTGTTGGCCCTTGGAATGCATTTATTGTAATAATATTTTACTGCGTTATTAGTGATCAGCTACAGACATTAATAGTAGCCTACATTCACATAAGAGTTAGACATGGATTTCCTTCGTCTCATTATTTTTAATGCAAGTAGACACCTAGGCTGCATAAGCGATTGATGAAACATGCTCGGGTAAAGTCAGGAATTCGTCACAGTACAGTAATTTGGTAAAATTACTGCAAAATAAACAGGCATAAGCGTGTGTGAGCAAACAAGTGCAACTGGGATTTTGTAATGCATATAAATATGAATTAAAAACGAATACATGCAGCATTTTACTTGTCCGCAATTGTGGCTTCCATCAGACGGAACCTTAATGTCTCTGTGTCGCGCTCCTATCGAACAGTTTACGACGTTACACTTTGTACTTCCGGCGCTTGTTTGGCCGGTTGTTTGAAATGAGAACGCTGGCCATATAAAGGATATTTTAAACGCTTAAATGGCAGGTTTACTAAATGTGGATACACGCTTGGGAACAATAAGAGTCCTATAGAGTGTAGTACAGGTTCACCTTCAGCGTCTCTCCACCGGACTATGTTCAAAAAGATGACTGAATTCGGTCCAGATTCCGGGGGGCGAGTTAAGGTAACACACCGTGAACGTTACAGTACAGCAGCCCGGGGTTGTTGATACTATTTACTTCTTGTATTGCTTTAAAATAAGGTCGGTTAATAATTTAGCAAAGAAATTGTCATGTTAATAAGCTTAACAGTCGGAAATAATGTACAGTTACCCACAATTTCTTTGTTCTGTTGTTTTATTTTGTCAGTAGGAGTATTTTAACAAAAACATTAATATGATTGACCTTTAAATGTGTTTCCCTTTGTGTTTTGCAGGGAGTGACCATTGTGAAGCCCATTGTGTTTGGGAACGTTGCCCGTTACTTTGGGAAAAAGAGAGAGGAGGATGGACACACACATCAGTGGTCTGTCTACGTGAAGCCTTACAGAAATGAGGTAAGAGTTTGCCCAGTACATGAAGCGCTGCTATTCATTAAACTAAAGACAACTTGACCCAGGATTCCCCAGAGGACCGTTTTGCTGCTAACAATAGTTTCTTTGTGTCTCATTATAAGTAAATCAGCTTCTTATTTGGATATGACTAAGTTCTGATCTGTTTCTCCTTCCAAAATTGTACAGGCTCATTTATAAGACAGTCAAGTTTTCCTCTGGATCTTACCGTTATCTTAAGAGCTGGTAAAGATCACTGTAGTGAGACATACATTTTATGATCTTAAACTAGCATCAGACTGAGATTAGAGAAGAGTATTTCTCAGGAACTGAATTTAAGAAGTATGAGAAATGGTCAAAATCTCATATTGTTATTATATTGAGTTCAGTTATGTCCAGCAGAAATAGGCTAGACAAAGAAGAGATTCTATTTTGAATTTTCCTTTCCTCTGGATCATGATAATGTGTCCTCATAGTTCCATACATCACCTACTGTGTGGAGGTGTGGGGAAGCACATGCAAATCCAACACACACAGCTACAAGAATTGTCAATCAATCAATTTTTTACAAACAACCTATGCTTATTTTATTAACTTTAGTGCTTAAAAATTTCTGTTATTTATTAGTTGATTTTACAACTGTCAGATTAATGTACAAAGCAAAAAATATTTGCCCCATAGATGTATTGAAACAGAGAGAGCAAGTGTGAATTTAGGGGAGTAGGTATGTTTAGGGGTAAGGACAAACATAAAGAATAGAAGTGTAACTGTCAAAAGGATCAACTTATGGAATAGTTGTAACAAGGAATAACAAAATGTTTCTTTCGCTTTGCAAATTAAGTTTAAAAATACAGTGGTAAACACAAAAATTGAGGTATGATTATTGTTAATGAAATTTGAAAGCAGTAGGTGCAGTAAGTTTCAGCCTGCACCCTTTTCCTCTTGTTTTTCCTTTTAGTTTATTGCCCTGATGTTATTTATTCTTAATTATGGAGAATTGTTAACAAGGGCAGATATGAGTTAGCGCTAACTGTAATTAGTTGAAAAACTGAGGGCAGACCACTTATACTGTTAATTTTCTTTTAATTATACATGTATAAATACACATTGTTCTTCCAGGATATGTCTGCTTATGTGAAGAAGATCCAGTTCAAGCTTCATGAGAGCTACGGTAACCCACTGAGAGGTGAGTAGACCTTCACATAGCAAGGATGGGTCAAGGAACATCTGCATCTAAATGTGTCTGTTTTGGTTGTCAGAAGGAGATGCATAGTTTCCTTTGAATCTACTTATTTATGTTCAAATGAAAATGTTACAGCAGGGTTAGTGCAGATCTTTAAAAGTCTTAAAAGGCATTAAATTCATTCATTGATCAAAAATATGGCCTTAAAAAATGTCTTAAATCAGTCTTTCAAGGGTCTTAAAAATGCTAAGTCATGGGATGTAGAATTCTATGAATTTTATATTTCTTGTTTGCATTGCAAAAAGTAATTGGCAATATCCATTTTTTAAAATAATATGTGGAATTTCAACAGTATTTATATACATTCACTACATCCAATCAAATGAAAAATGAACAAGCTTTTTTTTTTTTTTTTTTTTTTTTTTAAGATATTTTTTGGGCATTTTTAGCCTTTATTTGATAGGACAGACAAGCGTGAAAGGGGGAGAGAGAGAGGGAGTGACACGCAGCAAAGGGCCACAAGCTGGAGTTGAACCTGGGCCGCTACGGCAACAGCCTTGTATGTGGGGCGCCTGCTCTACCACTAAATCACAGGCGCCCTGAACAAGCTTTTTTAAGGCAAACCAAAAGGATTTTTTTATGATAACATAATATGTTCACTGTTTTCCACGTGTTCCACTGTAGAAAGCTTTAATCTTTTTCAGCATTTGAAGTGGATCATCTAACTTTTTAACTTGAACAAAAAAGTTGTCTTAAGTTACAGGAAACATGTAGGCAAAATTGTCCCTCACCCTTAGTCATTGATATTGGTCCATGTTTTTTTCCCCTGGCATTAAAGTGGCATTAAAAGGTGTTAAATCTAACTTGCTGTGAGCTTGAAGATCCCTGGACAAATGCAAGAAGAAAATGTTAATTCATAGTACATCATATAAACACATAGGCTGACTGTGTTTCTCTTCCTTCCAGTGGTGACTAAGCCTCCATATGAGATCACAGAGACAGGCTGGGGGGAGTTTGAGATCATCATCAAGATCTTCTTCATCGACCCCAACGAGAGAGCTGTGAGAGCCTAACAAATATTGTATTGAGCTGCTTTGCATCTTAATACTAAGTACAGCAAGCAATGTCATGCAGGAAATTTGAACTTTTACCTCCTGGTACGTTTGCTTACATGTGCCTGTGTGTGTGTCTCAGGTGACTCTGTACCATCTGTTGAAGCTGTTCCAGTCTGACTCCAGCGCCATGCCCAAGAAAACAGTCGTCTCTGAATTCTATGATGAAATGGTACATCTGTTTTCATGCTGTAGCTCATGACCACAGTTATTATACTGCATAAACTTCTTTGTTCATTTCCTATTACAATGCTCGGCTTGATTGTAATTATCTACTGATGTTTAATTTCGTACAATAAATGCTAAATTAAATATATCACACATAGCTTCTAAAATTTCCACGCATGTAGAGCTTTGATTTTCAAACTAACATGACCACATGGCATCAGTATTTTTGATGTACTGGATGAAGAATGTCAGGGAGGTTTGGCTGTGGATTAAGAATTGTGTGAGACTGAGACCTCTCGACCAATGACAGCTGGGTTAGGCTCCTTCCCCCTGCGACCCTGAAGAGCATTAGCGGTTACGAATAATGAATTACTGAGAGAGATGCAGCTGACTGTTTTCTTTGTCATTTTTCAGATCTTCCAGGATCCTACGGCCATGATGCAGCAGCTACTGACCACATCAAGACAACTCACCCTCGGAGCATACAAGCACGAGACAGAATGTACGTACGCACACACAGAGGAACACAAAACACACGTTTGTACACAGAATAGTATACCCCCAATTTTGTCTTTAACCTCAATTGAGATTATGCCTCGGTACAGAAGAGCAGCATTTACATAGTCTGAGTCACTGTCATCATTCTTATGCGTGTGTCTGTGCCTGCAGTCAGTGAGCAGGAGCAGAGGACTAAGGAGAAAATGGAAACCGCAAAGAAGAGAACCAGCCAGGAGATCACAGAGCTGAAAGACAAACTTAAAGCCAGCAGAGAAAACATCAACCACCTGAAGGCGGAGATCAGGAAACTGGAGGAGGACGGAGACCACAAGGAGCACTGAGACATGGACTAACACACACATGCGTTATGAAAAACAGGGCATTTTTGTGACCTCTTGCCAATTTTTAATTTGTTTAGTGTGGTTTTTTTGCACACAAACACTCAATCTCAGAAAGCTCAGAAGACACAAGAATGATTTCCCTCTAATCTAGTTTTACTGCAGCACTGAATTGTGTTGTCAGCCATGTTGTTTGTGGCTGAAACAAGGATTTTGTGATTGCTGCTTTGTATATCTGTAGTTGTTGTCTTTTCTACCCAAACATTGCTGGATCAGCTGGCTGTGAGAATGACAGAACAAATGTCATTTTCTAATATGCTTTTGCAACATTGATCCTGTCCAGCCGTGTTGATGTAATGGAACCTGTGTTGCCATAATCACTGTGCATCCCCATAGTTTCATGCCAACGTTTCGAATGTGAATAGCTCATTTGTTTTTGTACTGGTCTTTTGGTTTTCTACATAAAGTAAAGTTGTTTACAGGACTGCTTTTGCACGCTTCTTGTCTTTGTCTTCTTTTGGGGTCTGATGAGGGTTGATTCATGAACATGATGGAATACATGTGTTGCACTGCAGCTAGTAGTAGCACGCTGATGGTCGAGGTCACTAAAAGGGCAGTTCACACCGAGCATTGTGCACAACAATGGTATTATGTAGTGAAACATCGAAAAGAGCGAAACAGGCTTAACCCTGATCATTAATGCCAAGTGGAGCAGAGTTCAGCCTGCCTCTCAATCCTGATCCTGTCTAGGTTTATTTGTAGGGTCCACTCTTTCTCACTGATAGTCCACATGTTTACTGGATAACTAGGTGGGTGTGAAATGGTTTAAACAAGCTGAAGGGGCAGCAGTTGCAGTGACATGACGTTTGTACCCGCTGAAATGAAGAGGTGAAGTTTCCTACCCTGATTCAAGTAAGTCCTGTGATCCAATAACAGTAAGAATTGTTAAGCCCTTTGAAACCTGGAGAGACATCACTTTTCTTGTGCTGCATTCAAGCGTTAAAACCTTTGAAACCTGAGCAAATTGGTTTGGTTTCTTTCTTTTCTCTACTAAAAAGTCTATGAACAATTTGGCAAGAAATGTCCTGCATATTGTAAGAAAATAGTAAAGCGTGACAAGAAAATTAACCTGAAAAAGAAAAGAAAGAGAGGGGGGAAATTATTAGAAAATTATCAAAAAATGTCCAGAACATTTTATTTATAATTATTATAATTATAGTCTGAAACATTTCCAGATTTGAGAGGACAATTTTTACGTTTTTTCATGACAAAAGAATGAAAATCAACCTCTAAAATGTTTTAATATAAGAGTTCATATAAAACTCTATGTGACGATATAATGTCCAGATTGCCGAGGGTCCCTGAAGGCATCTGGCAGGAAGTTCAAAGACTTCTCACTGAACAACTTCCCTCGGGCTGAAACACTCACTGTAATTTTGCGTCCTCTGATTGTGTGTTTATTAAAACTTCAGAGCAGATATGGTGAGATATAAAGTTTTAAAATGGAGTCCGTGTTGTTTAGGCCTGTACGTTTGTTACCGTCGTGTAGGTGTGAGTTTAGTAAACACAGCGCGCGACTGACTGAACTGAATGCAGTTTGTGTGCTCGGGCTCCATTGGGTCCAGGTGTCCTTCGTTAGCAGGAGCACAAGGTAAGACTACACTAACGGTTTGTGTTAGTAGTATAAAACTGTACAGACAAAGTAACTGAGCAGAGATGTGTGTTTGTTGAGGGGCTGAACCGTTACTTCACACTTTCTCAGTTATTTCTAAAAGGGTTTAACTCGCACCAGCAATGAGTTTCCCTCTATGACCCAGTACTGATGACATGTAAACCACCTTTACAGCAAATGAGATAAATTTTCAGTTGACTTAAACAATATGAATTAATAAAACATGGGTATTTCTTAGGCAGTGGCGCCCCTAGAAATTGTTATCATCGGGGTGGCCAGATGAGGCCGCTGAAAACCTTGGGTTGGCACAACAAAACCAAAAGCCATGACTGAATTTCAGCAATTATTTTATGCCATTTAAGTATGGAGGCGGGTTGTAAACTGTTAAGGTCAATATGGAGAGTTAAGGAGCTGCTATCTTACAGTTAATATTAATAATTATTAGGGATAGACCGATATGGATTTTTTAGGGCCGATGCCGATACCGATTTTTTTCCATCACCCTTAGCCGATGACCGATTATGGACTGCCGATTTACTTGAGCCGATATTTGGGGCCGATACTGCTTTTGCTCCCTCAATTTACATAAAAAAAAAGACACAATGATAACAAATATTACAGGTCTCAAGTTTAAAATAAGAAACATTTATTGAACAGTAAAAAATATTAAAACAAGATGGAAAGTTGAGGTAGAACAGGTAGAATGTTATTATTATTATTATTATACATTCAAATAAAAAAAAGAGTTCAGTGCTCTTAAATCTTCCAGTAATGTCTTTATAAAATAAACAAATATTTAAGCTGAAGCATAAATAAAACAACAACTACTGTACACAGTAGGATTCGCTGCATGTACGCTGCAGGGTCTTCCGGCAACACAGAGCTGCCCGTGGATGCCTGTCTGTAAATCATGCCAGGGAAAAATAAATCCGCGAACCCACGCACGTATCGGCCGATGCTGATACAAGTAAAAAAACTCAAATATCGGCCCGATATATTGGCCAGCCGATGTATCGGTCTATCCTTAATAATTATTTGATGTGCATGTAGACTAAAGCTGAAAACACAGTGTCAAGTGCCAGCCCCAGCAAACACTGGATGTGTCACGCTGCAGCTCATCAACAGATGATCACGCAAAGTCATTACTTCTTTTACTGAAAGATCTGAACCTCCTCCACCTTTGCTTTAGCTTAAAATAACGTGCACCCCACTTGGGGGCGCTACTGTTTGCAGTATGATTAATTTTAGCATCATCTACTTCCAGTGGTAATTAGCCCTGTTTGAAAGTACTGCATTTTATTTCAAGATATTTTTCAGATTATAATACATAGTAGGGTTGCACGGTATACCGGTACTAAAATAGTACCGCGGTACTAGAGTATTCCAAACGGTACTATACTGCATTTGGAAAATACCGGTACTTTGAAATTGATTCATTTCATTAATTTGGTTAATTTATTTTACTCAATTATGCACACAAACGCCTTTCTTGTTCCTATTGGAGCACAGATTGCGCAAGTGGTGTGTATGACAACACCTGTATCAACATCCGCAGCTGGCGCAAGAGAAAGTCTGCCTCGCAAAGGGAGACAACACAAGACAACACCAACTTAGTGAAACATTTGAGCAACCAAACCATGACGTCCGTACCGAGGTACTTACCGAACCATGATTTTTTGGTACCGTTACACCCCTACTATTTATTGTTCTAAAGGTTTGTAGCCAAAAGGACTTTTCCTTAGGAAAAGTACCGAAGAGTATCGAAAAGTATCGAAATTCATATTGGTATTGGTACCGAAACAAATATTTTGGTATCGTGACAACACTGATACATAGATGATTAATAGAAACTACACATTTTTTTCTGTGCACGTAGCTATTCGACCAGTGGGGGACGTTTTGTTAATTAATAATTAATTAAGTAATAAACAATGAAATTACCTAAACCAAATGATAAAAAATAGGCCAATTTTAAGATCTTGTCTAAGATTTTCTCTGCAAAATCCTTTCATAATCTGCTCTGCTTTTTGTTATAAGCATCTGTCTGTGCACAGGTGATGATTAGATGTTATTATATAAAAATTTAGAGGTTTTTTTTGGCTACAACTGCAGAAGTTCAAAGGAAATTTACTCTAAAATTGTAAATTTTGTTAAGTGTGGATAAAATCTTTCACGTGTCCTGTGTTTTGACCCAGTGGTATCTATACCGATGCTTAGAACTCTAAAGTTTAAGACATGGGTTATTCATATTGACCTTGTAGTTGTTGATAAATATCCTTTTTATCATGGGCCTTTAATTTTCAAGCAGAAACCTGAGGAAGAAGATGTTAACAAAATACATTAACAAAATTATAAACAGATTTCCAAAAATGAAATGAATTAGGAAGTACTATATTAAATAAATAGATTATTTTCTTTTTATTTTACTTTTAAAAAATAAACACTTTTTTTAACCGAACGATTGAGTTTGATAGAGTATAAAAGACACAAAAGTAAACTTACTTGTACAAGTTGCAGAGAAATATTCTTTAATTATGGGCCTGCAGGTTTTGAGCAGAGACCCGAGGAATAAATAGTGAAACAAATAGATTTCCATAAATTGATGAAGATAAATGAAGTAGCAGATACTAAAAATAATTAGGAATTGGAATATATTTTCAAGAAAATAAATCCTGTGTTGTTGTTGTTGTTGTTATTATTATTTTTATTATCACCAAAAGATATAAAATGATGATAATATAAATAATATTTATTAAATCAGTGTCTTTATTTCTCCCATATAATTATTATTATTATTATCAATAACAAACATTATAAAATATTTGTTTATGTTTTATTATTATTTTATTATTATATTTAAACTATTATTATTATTATTTTATTACATTTAAAACTGTAAGCTAAAAAAATAATAAATAATATATATTTTTTTTAATTTATTTTTACCAAACGATTGAGTTTAATAGAATATAAAAGACACAAAAGTAAACGTGCGTGTACAAGTTCCAATAATAAGTAATAAGGACCACATTTTAAAAATATTTTTAAAATAATACATTTGTTATTTCAGCACGCCAAACATTATTCCCCCCTTTGTTTCTGTTTTAATAAATCTTTAGTTGTGTATAAATCAGCCTGCAGTCATAGGCAGAGTTTTCGGGCGGTCACGTGACCAGAGGGTTTTACACCGACGTCAGAGAAACAGAGCTGGTGCCGACTAATGACCCTCACCGTGCTGCTGCACCTAAACTCTCCGGCTTACCTTTTCTGAGACATCTTTCCAACAACATTTCTTCTCGTCTTCAAGTTCCCCCTCGCTGCTGTCTGACGGAAACGTCACAGGAATGTAAACTGTGTTGTGAATGCTCAGGGAACCGTAGTGTTGCTCCTAATGATGTTACCCCGCGCGCATTAACTGAGTACATGGCTAACGTTAATGCAACAAACATGTCGTCCCGCTGAGAAAACTACTGCTGCTGTCCTGCGTTCAAGTTTTCAGGTGAGTCGGCTAAAAATAGCAACAGCTGGCGTGTTGTGTGGCTCATAACGACGTGTGTGTGTGCGTGTGTGTGTGTGTGTGTGTGTGTGTGTGTGTGTGTGTGTGTGTGTGTGGCCCTATGGCAGTTAATGCTATCAGTAGTGTTCCCCCATGGGACCCATTATGCTATGCTAGTTTTTTTTAATTAGCTTTAGCTAAATGTCACTACATTTCCTTATTGGGTTGTTATTGCCTTTCCTGTTGTGTCAGTGACTGTTCACACATCAAACAGGAAATAGGTGAAGATGTCCAAATCTTTTAAGGCAGCTCATTCATGCTGTCTCTGTAACAGCAATAATATCATTTATTTAGGGACACTTGGTTGCTTTTAAATGTGCTCATTGGCAACTGATTTCCCTTCACTAACAATGTGTGATGACTTGATATAAGACTGCTTTTAACCTGGCTACAGAGAAGGAGAGAAACCCTCACATCTGGCTATAGTTGTTGTTTACATGACCACATCAGGCACGCTGGCTGGCCACATAGATCTTTGTTTGGTTGTCATCCACAGAGTGCCATTGTTGTCCTGGAGTGTGCGTGTCTGTGCAGTTTAAAGTCCATTCATGAGGCTGAGTGCATCATCAGCACGCCATAGCTTTTAACGTATGGAGTTCCCCAGAGAGGTCAAGTGCATTGTGGGGCTTCTGTCCCATCACTGTGTTGGTGTGTGGCTGTCATGGTTGTAACTCTTGCTAGATCCTCAGGCTGAACTCTGTTGGTTGTTCCTCAGTCCAGGCTCAAAACAAAAGGTGGTCGGGCTTTTGCGGTCAAACCAACCTGAGGATGTGAGGCTCGCTGATTCAGAGATGTCTTTTAAATCGCCTCTTCAAAAACTCAAACTTACCTGTTCAAAAAAGCCTTTTATTAATTTTAGCACTGTTTATTTCTTATTGTTTTCATCTCATGTTGTCATCGGTAATTATGGTTACTCTGACTGTCCTCAGTGCAATCTACAGGGCAATTAGTTGCCAGCTTTGCTTATCTGCTCCAGTGACTGTATTTTATTTTATCAATCAATCAGTCAATCAGTTTTATTTATAAAGCCCAATATCACAAATCACAATTTGCCTCACAGGGCTTTACAGCATACGACATCCCTCTGTCCTTTGGACCCTCGCAGCAGATAAGGAAAAACTCCCCAAAAAAACCCTTTACGGGGAAAAAAAGGTAGAAACCTCAGGAAGAGCAACTGAGGAGGGATCCCTCTTCCAGGACGGACAGACATGCAATAGATGTCGTACAGAACAGATCAACATGATAAATTAACAGTAATCCGCATGACACAATGAGAGAGAGAGAGAGAGAGAGAGAGAGAGAGAGAGAGAGAGAGAGAGATGCAGGTAATGACAGTAGCTTACAACAACATTATTGAAAGTTATAATATTATAGTTATAGTTCTGGCTACTGTGGTACAATATGTTGAAAGTATGTATTAATATCTGGCAGTATACATGTGTGACAATAGTCATATGTGTATAATAACAGTAGAAGTATGACTAATGATGGCAGCAGCAGCAGGAGGCATCTGGCAGGACCACGGCAGCAGAACAACCACACACGTCACGCTATCCAGGCACCGCTGCGATATGAGTTAATCTGAGAGACAGTGGAGCACAAAGGCTCCGGAGAAGAAGCCGAGTTAGTGACATCCAGAATAGCCGAGTTAGCAAGATGCAGTAATAGAATACGAGAGAGAGAGAGAGAGAGAGAGAGAGAGAAGGTGCCTGGTGTATTATAGTGGGGTCCTCCGGCAGACTAGGCCTAAGTCAGCCTAACTAAGGGCTGGTACAGGGCAAGCCTGAGCCAGCCCTAACTATAAGCTTTATCAAAGAGGAAAGTCTTAAGTCTAGTCTTAAATGTGGAGACGGTGTCTGCCTCCCGGACCGTAACAGGAAGATGATTCCACAGGAGAGGAGCCTGATAGCTGAAGGCTCTAGCTCCTGATCTACTTTTGGAGACTTTAGGGACCACGAGTAACCCTGCGTTCTCAGAGCGCAGTGTTCTGGTGGGATAATATGGCACTATGAGCTCACTAAGATATGACAGAGCTTGAACATTTAGAGCTTTATAAGTTAACAGTAGGATTTTAAATTCAATTCTGGATTTTACAGGGAGCCAGTGCAGAGAAGCTAAAACAAGAGAAATATGATCTCGTTTCTTAGTTCCTGTTAGTACATGTGCTGCTGCATTCTGAATTAGCTGGAGAGTTTTTAAGGACTTACTAGAGCTACCTGATAATAGAGAGTTACAGTAATCCAGCCTAGAGGTAACAAAAGCGTGGACCAATTTTTCTGCATCTTTTCAGGTCAGGATAGGCCTAATTTTAGCAATATTACGCAGATGAAAAAATGCAGTCCGTGAGGTTTGTTTTAAATGAGAATTAAAAGACAAATCTTGATCAAATATTACTCCGAGGTTTCTTATGGTAGTGCTAGAGGCCAGAGCAATGCCATCTAGAGAAACTGTGTCATCAGATAAAGAGTCTCTGAGTTGTTTGGGGCCAAGAACAATAACTTCAGTTTTGTCTGAATTTAACATCAGGAAATTGGTGCTCATCCAAGTTTTTATGTCTTTAAGGCAGTTATGGAGTTTAGTTAATTGATTACTTTCTTCTGGCTTCATCGATAAATACAACTGTATATCATCCGCATAACAATGGAAATTTATAGAGTGATTTCTAATGATGTTACCTAAAGGAAGCATATATAGAGTAAATAGGATTGGTCCGAGCACAGAACCTTGCGGAACTCCAAAACAAACTTTAGTACCTAAGGATAATTCATTATGAACATCAACAAACTGAAAACGATCAGATAAATAAGATTTAAACCAGCTTAGTGCAGAACCTTTTAGGCCAATTAAGTGATCCAGTCTCTGCAGTAGAATTTGATGGTCAATTGTGTCAAACGCCGCACTAAGATCTAATAAAACAAGTACAGAGACAAGTCCTTTGTCTGAAGCAATCAGAAGGTCATTTGTAATTTTAACTAGTGCTGTCTCAGTGCTATGATGCACTCTAAATCCTGACTGAAATTCCTCAAATAAATTATTATCATGGAGAAAATCACACAGCTGGTCTGCGACTACTTTCTCAAGGATCTTTGACATAAAGGGAAGATTAGATATTGGTCTATAGTTGGCTAACACCTCTGGATCCAGGGTGGGCTTTTTTAGTAGAGGTTTAATTACAGCTACCTTAAAAGACTGTGGTACATAGCCTGTTAATAAGGATATATTGATCATATCTAATATATGAGTGTTAACTAAAGGAAAGACCTCCTTAAGTAGCCTAGTTGGGATGGGGTCTAAGAGACACGTTGATGATTTAGATGAAGAAATCACTGCTGTCAATTCTTGAAGAGAAATTGGGGAGAAGCAATCTAAATATATATTAGGTTTTACAGCTGTGTTTGAGGTTAGATATGTACTATCTGAGGACAGGAGGTCATGAATTTTGCCTCTAATAGTTAGAATTTTGTCATTAAAAAAGCTCATAAAATCATTACTGCTAAGGGCTAAAGGAATACAAGGCTCAATAGAGCTTTGACTCTCAGTCAGCCTGACTACAGTGCTGAAAAGAAACCTGGGGTTGTTCTTATTGTCTTCTATTAATGCTGAGTAATAGTTTGCTCTGGCATTGCGGAGGCCCCTCTTATAAGTTTTGAGACTGTCTGTCCAGATTAAACGAGATTCTTCCAGTTTGGTCAATCGCCAATTCCTTTCAAATTTTCGCGATATTTGTTTTAACTTACGGGTTTGAGAGTTATACCAAGGAGCGAACTTTCTTTGCTTTTTTAACTTCTTTTTAAGAGGAGCTTTAGAGTCAAGTGTTGTTCGCAGCGAGCCTACGGCGCTATCGACAAAATGATCAAAGTCGGTACAGGAAACCTCTGTTACTGAGGGACTTGGTATTGAATTTAACGACGGAGTAATCTTTTCCTTAAATTTTGCGACAGCACTATCTGATAAACATCTAGTATAGTAACTGTTGCTGAGTGGCGTGTAATCGAGTAAAAAGAAATCAAAAGTAATCAGATAATGATCCGATAGCGAGGGATTCTGTGGAAAGACTTTTAGGTTATCAATTTCAATTCCATACGTCAGAACTAGATCGAGGGTATCGTTAAAACAGTGAGTGGGTTCATGTACACCCTGACTGAAGCCAATGGAGTCTAATAATGAGATAAACGCGGTAGCCAGGGAGTCATTATCAACGTCGACATGAATGTTAAAATCGCCTACAATAATAACTTTATCTGATTTAAGAACTAAACTGGATAAAAACTCTGAGAATTCAGATACAAATTCAGAATACGGGCCAGGAGCACGGTACACTATAACAAATAAAAGTGGCTGCGCGGTTTTCCATGTCGGATGTAAAAGACTAAGAACGAGGCTTTCAAATGAATTATAATCTAGTTTAGGTTTAGGGCTGATTAACAGACTAGAGTTAAAAATGGCTGCAACTCCCCCTCCTCGGCCGCTGCCTCGAGGAATGTGGGTATTATTATGATTTTATTTTATTACTTTATTTTACTTCCATTGTTCTTTGTATTTTCCTAAAATTGCCCCATTTTATTTGCCTGAATCCTACATTATTTTAAATCTGCGATCAACCACGTAAAGCACTTTGTAACTTTAGTTTGAAAACCGCTTTATAAGTTAAGTTTATTATCATTATTTTTATTAATATAAATGTCTTTTAACAGATGATCCATCTCAGAGCGTCTCGTCAATATCCTGCCAGGAAAGGACCGCATCTAGTATATCCCTTAAATCAATATGGGATAGCACAGCAGGCCACCCTGAAGTGCATTTTCTCCAAAGTGCTTTCCCTGTATGTGCATGAACGAATCATTTATGGGTGGATAGTTGTTGTTAGTGAGGGTGTGTGCTGCACTGTGATTGCTGTAGATAATAGCAGGATAAGGAAGGGCTGTGATTAGGCTTGCTGGCTTCGGAGTGCGTAGGTGCCAACATCAATTTATGTGTCGGGTAAATGCGGATGTTTTTCCTCCTACCCTGAAACTAAAATGTCAAATTCACTCATATTCTGCAACTGTTCCTACAGAGGGAGTAATTTATTTATTTTTCTGTTTTTTGGTGTAATTTTTTTCTGTTTTTCTGAGTAATTTTTTTCTGTTTTTCGTGGTATTTTTTCTGTTTTTCAGGGTATTCTTTTTTCTTTCTTTTTTTTTTGTGGTATTTTTTTCTGTTTTTCATGGGAATTTTTTTTTTTCCTGAACGAGGAGACGAGATACTTCAAAATCTCGCGAGAAGCTCCCACCTCGCACCTGCAAGTGACCCTTGCATCCATGGTGCCTATACACGTTTGTCAGCTAATATTGTTACAACCTGTTACATTGAGCGATAGGCCTACAAAAGAAAGATGCAGTCGAAAACATAGCTAGCTTATCATACCCTGTGTGTAACTAATTACGTGCCTTACCCTTATTGATCCCGTAGTTGAAATTGTCTAGGAGCAGGAGCAGGAGCACGGATGCAAAATACATCCATGAGCAGGAGTTACCATGGATGCAGCGGTCACTTGCAGGTGCCAGGTGGGAGCTTCTCGCGAGATTTTGAAGTATCTCATCTCCTTGTTCAGGAAAAAAAATTACCACAAAAAACAGGGAAAAAAATTACTCAGAAAAACAGAAAATATTACACCAAAAAACAGAAAAATAAATAAATTACTCTGAAAAACAGAAAAAATTACTCAGAAAAACAGGGCTTTTTTATTTGTCAAGTGAATGCAATATGCTTCCGTAGAAAACAGAAGGGCTACACAGAAAGGTGTTTTGTTATTTAACAAACACTTGATATCAACTGAAACTTGAAACCATTTTTAATGGAAGTATGTGTAAGAAGTATGACAGGCAGTCGAGGAGGAACGGAAAATAATTCTACAGCCTCTTGCAGTGTTTTAACAGCATAGATAAGCAAATGTATGTATAATTATATTTTATGATAATTGTCCACAGTCATTGATTTTCATACGATGGTATACCTTGAAACTGGTATACCAGGTGATGCACAAAGACCAGACCAGCATCACATCATCACCAAGGCCGTGCCCCCTTGTGAGGTTAAGCAACGCACTGTCACATATGTAGAGAAATGGGAAAATGCTGAATATTGCCAACCATGGCCACCTGTGGTGGCACCTGTTGTGTCTCTGCTGCTGGATTCTGCCTCATCAAGGGCCTGGCAACAGTGGCGGGGGCAAACGTAGGCCCTTTCACCACAGAAAAGTTGGCGCTTTTGGCTGCATCATGTACCAATGTTTTCTTCTTTAAAGCTTCTTTTTTTTTTTTTTTTTAGCTTTTTAGCTTCCTTTTTTAGTTTTCACCATTTTCGCTAATTAGGTTTACCACAAAAAACTTCAGATAGATGGAAACTCTTGTGCTGTGTGTGGCTTCGAGGGCCAGGCCAGCCCCTGCCCAGGCTGAGGAACACACAGCCACTACTGACATTAGTAACTGAAAAATAAAAACTCATTGACAGTCGGCCAGTTCAGCTTGGAATGGACAGGCTGTTCAGGAGTCTTCCTGAACTTCTCAATGGCACGCCCACCCCGGGTCATACAGTATATCAGCATCAGACAATCGTCTCTAATGGATACCAACCTGTAGATCAAACACATGGCTATTAACAGGTTGGTTACTTACAGACAAGCCCAACAACCCAGATGTCAGTAATATCTGCAAAGGGTGATGGGTTGTTGATTCACTTGGTCAGGATAAACCTGAACAGACATGACAGCAAATAACCTTAATGCTCAGGTTCAGGTAAGGTCACAAAAACATTATTAGACATGTCTATAATACAGACGTTTGTTTAACAAGAAATAAATGCATACAGACGTCAAAATTATCATCCAAACATGCATTAAATTGCGTTAAAATCTACAGAATCTTCGGTTTTCCATCCACCAAAAGGGGGCGCGCCCGTGGCGTTTTGCAAAGTACCTGTATGTGCTGGTTTGGTCTGGCATATGCACCTAGTGGTAATGAGCTAGTAAAGTTAGCAAGTGCTAGCAGTTTGCTTATTCACAAATGCCTGGGAAGTGACTGCCACATAATGTATAGCTGTATAGGTCTACCCATTTTAACTACTTAAAGTCATGGAAGTGGGGTAAAGTATTATGGAAAAGTTGTGAAAATCAATTGGTTAAAATGTATGGGAACCCTGTAGTAAGTCTTGCTAGGTTTGCTTTGAAACAAGGTTGAGTCATTACATTTGGTGCACTGTGGAAGCACTGTCACCCCTGATAGTAGTGTCATTTGAATACAGTGAAGTTGATGTGTGCGTCTGATTATGCAAACTTTGGTTTAACTGTCTGCTGTTAATGCGCTCTGTTATCACTGCAGTATGAATGCGTTGTGCCGTCCCCACCCAGCAGCTTCTGGTACACCTTTTAAGCAAAGCATGTGACCCCTGGCTGCTTCAGTTTGAGAGCCAGAAGCCATAAACTGTGGTCCACTGACTGTGAAGCACTTAGTGACTGTGTTATTAAAAGTGTGTGTGTGTGTGTTTGTGTGTGCTAGGTGTGGTGGTGAACCAATGGAGAAGCCATCGTCTTCAGGCAGAGCAGCGCTGGAGGAGAGAAAAGGCCTGGTGGAGGTAAGCACAACATGGAATAACACTAACAATTGCTCAGTTCCATTTAAGTGTACCAGTAAGACTTTCCAGAGAACCAGCATGCAAAAGAGCAGGCACTGCCAGTCTCAATGGAATGTAGTTATCAGTGGTATTGATCACACCTGTTCTTTTCAAGCAGGTATTTTGATATGTCATTTACACAGGGTAAACTAGGGGTCTAAAAAGTATTCATTCTTAAACGCATTTGACTTTTTCATTACATTTTTTATGACATACTGTACTATAAAATTTTCAATATTTCTATGACATACTATACGAGGACATTTTTTTTAAAAAATACTTCTTTGACATACAATACTATGACTTTTTTTTTAAATTTTCTGTCATACTGGACTATTTTATTTTATATATTTTTGTGACAAACTATACTATGACTTTTAAATTTCTGACACACTGTACTATTTCTATGACATACTATACTACAATGTTTTTTTTTTATGTTTGACAAACTATACTATGACTTTTTTTATATTTCTATGACATACTTTACTATGACATTGTTTTATATTTCTGTGACATGCTATGACTTTTTATGACTGACTGCCACCTGCAGCTCCAGAGCCACAAGCAGCTCTTCAGCCCCTCAAGAGTGGCTTCCTGTGGCTTTGACAAAAACTCAGATGGAAATGACTAACAGCTATTATTTAACATTTTTAATTTTCATTTTATCATTATTGTAGCCCTAACGTGATTCTTGTAGTCTCCGATTGGCTACAGACCGATTTTTTTTTCTTTATTTTGATAGTGAAGGTTGCCAACCCCTGTACTATACTACTACATTTATTTAATGAAATACTATACCATGAAATTTCCAATATTTTTTTATGTCATACTATACTATAACTTTTTTCAGTCATGTTTTTTATGATGTACTGGTACTTAAAACAGTGCGCACAACTCAAAATCTCAAGATAATGTCAAGTGCACAGTTGCGACAAAGACTAAACAAACAAACAAACAGAACAACGATACTCACTGATCCATCTTATTTTGTATTTTAATTGTGGACAGAAAACAAACGCGTTTATGGCCTTACGCTGAAACGTGTTTGTTTTATGACATACTACCAGGGGTTTTCAAAGTTTTGATGACTGAGTGCCAATTCAGGGAGGCAGCACAGAATTCGGGGCCACACATGAAAAGCGCACACGTTACACTCAAAGCCACCAGGAGCTAAAAATGATTCCAAATTCATCTCCTTTTTTCAGTCAGAGGGCTCGAGAGGATGTCTTAATGATGGTTGGTCATGTGGTTGATGGTTGATGGTGCTAATTTCCCATCATGTTTCAAATGTCTTGAACAAATTGATTCCATCACTGTGTGTCTGTGTTTGTACTCTAGGATGGTGCGGTGCTGAGAGGTGCTGAGGGTGGAGAGGCGAATCCTCAGACCCCGAGGAAGAGCAGCTCCTCTCGCTCCTCCCGCAAGAGCTTCCGCTTGGACTACCGGCTGGAGGTACAACCTCATTTCCCATCACCCTCCTGTCCCATAAGACACGCACATGAACTCTTCACACTTATCCTTAACTGATTTCCATAATCTCCTGCCCTCAACATGCCATCTCTCCAGCTATCTACCTGTTGTGTTTGGTGTATTGTGTGTTTTAACCTGACATTGTTTGATATGCCCTCCTTTAAGCCTAAAATAAATACCTAAAATATCATTGTTTATTTTATTTGCAGGAGGAAGTGACAAAGTCCTGTCGGGACAAACATGGCCGCTGGACCAACCCCTGGCCCACATGGCGGTTCCCTTCCTACACCACCCTGCTCAGATTCCTGCTGTTGGACAAAAATAACAGTAACATACCAACTAGTAAAGAGGTAAGTAATTATTAAACGAAAATTTTAAAGCCACTACAATTACAATTTTTCACAAGTAATCCAAGTCCGACTAGGGTGTCAGAGAGGCGTGGGCGGTGTCTAATTTTTCATACCTTCTTACCTTCCTGGAATTTCACCACGGTATACGGTATATGACGGTATTTGTGTGTGGAGCAATTCTGTATAAAAGCCACATATGGTTTTACTTTTGTCATCGTCAGTGATCATTATAAGAGTTCATATTCAGTGTTTCCCACCTCTGTTAGCAGGATTATTGCTCTTTGTCGACTCTCAAACCCACATGGTATTTATAGCTCAGAGTGGAAACCTTGCTGAGCTCAGTAGGAGCTTATCAGGCTTCAAAGACTGCTTTCACACAGCAATAGAAAATGCTTAACCCCTTAACTGCACTATTTTGTTGTTGTATAAAACCTGTGAAAGGGTGTACAAGTCAGCAACCACAGAGATTGTCGATAGCAACATTTTGCAAATATATCGTGTGTGTGGACAGAGGTGAAGCTTCAAGGCACACAAAAGGAAGTTGTTCAAAGAGCTCTTTTAAATTCATTTACTTCTTTCTCCTTCCTGTGAAGGCTCTGGACAGTGAGCTCCCAGTGATGGAACCGTACTTTGTCAAGAACCCAGACCTCTCTGAATCTGGTCCGGGTCTGAGAGTCACCTGGCTGGGTCACGCCACAGTTCTGGTTGAAATGGACGGGGTGAATATTCTGACAGACCCAATTTTCAGCCAGAGAGCCTCACCGTTCCAGTTCATGGGGCCCAAAAGATACAGAGGGCCCCCCTGCACTGTGGAACAGGTACTTTTTGTTTTTCATTTTCACTTACTTTAATGATTGACCTTGAAAAATGGCAAGACCTTCATCCTGGTGTTTGACCCAGGCCTTGTTTCTTTAGCCTTTATATCTGCGGTCATTGTTTATCCTCCTGCCAACAGCTGCCCAGGATTGATGCAGTCGTCATCAGTCATTCTCATTACGACCATCTGGATACTGGATCAGTGGCCAGCCTTAATGAACGCTTTGGAGGGGAGCTACGCTGGTAAGTGTTGTGGATCTGTAGTCAACAATAATGCTTTGTGGTCCGGGTTTGTCAGTTGTAGTTCATGTATCAGCTCACACCCTTTGTGTGCGTGTGTTTGACAGGTTCGTGCCCCTGGGTTTGATGGACTGGCTGGTGAAGATGGGCTGTGAGAATGTGATGGAGCTGGATTGGTGGGAGGAGAACTGTGTGCCGGGTCATGATGACGTCACATTTGTGTGCACACCCTCTCAGCACTGGAGCAAACGCACCGCACTGGACGATAACAAGGTAATAACTCATTACAATTATTATATATTACTTTTATTATGTATTAATTTATTTGCATTAAAAAAAATACAAATGAAACATTAACATAAGTCTTTATCTTGTACTCTTTCGTCTCAGTCTTTGTGGGGCAGCTGGTCTATTTTGGGTCCCGATCATCGCTTCTTCTTCGCTGGTGATACCGGCTACTGCTCTTCCTTCGAGGAGATCGGACGACGCTTCGGACCGTTTGACCTCGCTGCAATCCCCATCGGAGCTTACCTGCCCAGGTTCTGTACACAATATGCACACACACGCTTAGTGTCCACTTTATTAGGTACACCTGTACAATCCAACTATTCTGCTACAAAGTCAAGTTTTGTAATGTCCAGTTTGATTGACATTGTCATGAAGGTGTTATGTTTTAGCATAGACTTTTTCACAGCAAATTTTGGCTTGTCATAGCAGGAAAAACACAGGTGAAACTCATTTGTTAATGATGGTTCAACGTGGACACTTAATGCACCTGAGCCATCATCAACAAAATTAGTTTCACCTGTTTTTCCTGCCATGACAAGTCAAAATGGCTGCTCTTGTACTGGACTACATTATATTGAGATGTTTGTAAATGGGCAGGACAAAAAAAAAAAAGGGGGAACGCCTCAATATAATGCAGTCCAGTACAACAATAGCATTAACACAGACCTTTTTGAACAGCAAATTTTGGCGTGTCATAGCAGGAAAAACACAGGTGAGACTAATTTTGTTAATGATGGTTCAATGGACACTTAATGCACCTGTGCCATCGTCATCAAAATTAGTTTCACCTGTGCTTTTCCTGCCATGACAAGCCAGATTGTACAGGTGTACCTAATGGAGTGGCCACTGTGTGAGACACAAAACACACTAGAGATTACATTTGTTCGTTTAATGTTTACAATTTAAATACTGTACAGATCAAATTCTTATCATGTATGTACTATTAATTAGCATTGAACATTTAAAAGACCATGCATTGCCAGACAAACATGTAAAAACATTGTTTGGTTTTGCAGGGACATGATGCAGGGGCAGCATGTAAATCCAGAGGAGGCTGTCCTGATCCACCAAGACCTTCAGGCCAAACAGTCGGTGGCCATTCACTGGGGAACCTTCGCGCTCGCCTACGAGGTAGGGGTATACAGACACTGGGTTATTTACAAATTAATGCTTGTTTGTGTAATTAAAGGAATAGTTTGACAAGCAGCTTGATACCACTCTCATCTGTCTGTGCAGTTATCACTACACATCCAAATATGCCAAAAGTTGGGTGAGGATTTACTAGGCCCTGCAGTGTAATGAGCAGATTATCTTAGCATGCTAAAGAGGGGAAACTGGCTCTGTCAAAAGGTATTAACATGCTGTGGGTTTTGCAGGAGGTTATGTCCTGGACTTTCTCTTGGCTGGACCAGTCACCTCCTGGAGTCTTGTTGTTGCCAGGCAACCATCAAAGACACCAGGAAGTGACTGTGCCCAGCCAAAAAAAAAGTCCAGGACATAACCTCTTGTAAAACCCACAACATGTCAGTTAGTGAGCTTTGGAGGTGGACTTTGTTGCCTTCTGACAGAGTCAGGTTAGCGGTCCCCAGTCAAAATGTGAAGCTAATATCATCATCCACACTGCAGGGCCTAGTGACAAGTCAAGACATCATTCACTGTAGCATGCTAACTCAACTTCAATAGAAATCCTCACTGAACTTTGGCTCGTTAAATAACTGCCCAAACAAAATGACAGTGGTTCTTATCTAATGCTCTGCTATAAACTGCATTTCCTAAAGTGGCAAACTATTCCACCTTGAACCCAGGCAGCAAGTCGGAGGTTGTACTAAACTGTCGTAGCTGCAGAGATGCAGATTAACAAACAACCCACCTTTATTATTTGGTAACAGAACATGTGTCAAAGCACTTTGTCCCTCTCCAACACTCTGGCTTTGATGTCTCTCTGTGAAAGCAGTGACAGCACAGAAACTCTTTGGGCAGCTGCAATTTATACAGTGTACAGGGAGTAACAAGTTACATGTAATTAGATTACAGTTACTAATCAAAATGTTGATCACTAACCTTTAGAGGTTACTTTTGGTAAAGTACATGTAGACTATAGCGTTCTGTTGCTTGGCATCTTTTCAAATGTCAATCACTTTAAAGTAATGTAACTATTTTGAGTTAATTACTTAATACATTTTAAAAAGGGTAACTGGTAATCTATTACATTTAAAAAGTAACTTTCCCAACATTGGTTGGTGAAGATTCTCAGTCATTCAGGTCATGGTAATCATAGTGCTATATCGTAGGTGATTGGACTTGCTTGAGTTTCTTGAAGATGTTTCACCTCTCATCCAAGAAGCTTCTTCAGTTCTAATGACTGGTGCGGAGTCGTTGACCCACCTGGCCATCATGTATGTCGTTAGGGTCAGGTGGGACTTGATGTGAATGGGTGTGAAGTCGTCTGGGGAAGGATCCCAAGACTGCATTGTAGGTGGGTGATAAGTGGTGTCATAAGCCACCTCCTCTGTTAATCGATGGTTGTTCCAGTTTGACGTAGATGGCTTCTTATGCGCCTCTTTCAAAACATGCGCCATGCGCTTGTGGAGTTCCCCAATGTATAAACCTGTGCATTCCTGGCTGAACTACACTACTCTGCTTATGTCTGGGTGTTTCTGAGAAACTCAGGAGGACTTTCAACAAACACCACATCCCTGCACAGACAGAAACTTGTCCACCCTAAGGACAAAACACCCAGACATAAGCAGAGTAGTGTAGTTCAGTGCAGCCAGGAATGCACAGGTTTATACATTGGGGAACTTCACAAGCGCATGGCACAGCACAGGAGAGCCAGCATGTCAGGTCAAAACCAGGCTGTCCATGTACATCTACAGGAGAAGGGACACTCCTTCTTGGCCAGAGAAGACAGATGTTTTGAAAGAAGCATAAAAGAAGCCATCTACGTCAAACTGGAACAACCATCGTTAAACAGAGGAGGTGGCTTACGACACCACTTATCACCCACCTACAATGTAGTCTTGGGATCCCTCCCCAGACAACTTCACCCCTGGTCCCACCTGACCCTAACGACACACATGATGGCCAGGTGGGTCAATGACTCACGTGTGACCTAAACAACTTTGTAAGGATTCACACCTGCAGCTCTGCACCAGACATTTAGAACTGAAGAAGCTTCTTGGATGAGAGGTGAAACATGTTCAGGAAACTCAAGCAAGTGTGCCTACAATATAGCACTTCAGATGACCAACACTGGTTTTAGAATAGTGACCAACAAAGTAGAGTAATGAAATAGGAATGTGACGCAGTAGTACGATGTGTCAGCTGTTTCTGTACAATGTGGAAAAGTGTCAAACATTTGATTCCAACTAACTTATCAGTACCCATACTCAATGGTCAGTTTATTAGGTACGGCTATCTTAAACTATTAACAGTCCTGCAATAAATCCCATCTTCAGAAAGGTTGTTGTTTTCCTTTTTGGAGGCGGCAGTTTGTGGTTCTGTTGAATTGTATTGTGCTACACTAAGGTGATTCTATTATTCTGCCCATATCAATAAGGGTAGGCTAAATAATCAACACCTCTTTAAAACAGTTTCAACCAAAACGGAACATTATAACCTTCATAAAGACAGGATTTATTGCAAGACTGTTGAATTAAAGTGAATTCGTGTTATCTAGATGTATCTAATAAACTGGCCACTGTGTGCTGATACACTAGTAGCAATCAGAGGGATTGTTTTAAACATTTTCCTCAGAAACAAAGCTGACACATCATAGTACAGTGTTAGATAATTACTGTAATTCTTTGGTCACTATCATAAATCACAGCAGTCTAAAGGGCCTCTCGGTGCAGCTGCTTTCACAGAGAAACTAAAGCCAGAGTGTTACCAAGGTAAAAGTGCTCTGACACTCTGTTATGTTCTGGTAATGCAATGTAACAAAGGTGTCATTGTTTGTTAAGCTGCGTGACTATTTCTGCAGCTAACACAGTTTATCACAACCTCCAGCTCTCTGCCTCTAAAGGTCAAACACAAATGATACTCACTCTGTCTCTGGTCCTCTTTCCTCCCGTGACCCAGTACTACCTGGAGCCGCCGGTCCGTCTCAGAGAGGCCCTGGAGCAGAAAGGACTGAAGCCAGAGGTCTTCTTCACTCTGCATCACGGGGAGTCTCGCCTTATAGCATCACAGGACGGAGACGTCTTTGACTGATCCTGTCTGCAGCGCGTCTGTAACAAAGAGCAGAACATTTTGTTTCTTACTCTGATGGACTTCAGTAATTAAAGTTTGAAATGCATATTATGTATGCAGATTAAAATGATCCACAGTACTGTTTACATACTGAATGTCTGCGCCGTGCCATTATCTCATGGTGGGCAGTACTACCTACAGGAGCTGTCACTTAACTGTAAAATAAAATGTGTAATTCTTTCAGGCAAAAATCAGCTCCTTGTAAGAAACATTTAAATATGCAGCTCAAGTCACTAATAACATTTGTATCAGTGTAACACAAAACAGTACAGGTCAACTTTTTTTTAGTTCTATAGAGCAGTGGTGCAACCTTTCTCCTCAAGGGACCTCTTTTCTGTTAGCGAGTAAATTGACGACCCCTGACTGAGTGACATGTTATGGGTATTTCATACTATATTGAGTTCATAACATTAATAGTACAGAACAACTGAAACTGCACAAGTAACCCAAGTAGTGAACACAGCAACGACAGGAAGTGATTTGGGTGAATATTCGGCAGATTATTTCCTGTGAAAGTACATTTCTGATTCAGTGTTTTCTCCCTGATGCTTCGCCATTGTTCCATCAGCTCTTCTGTTGTTTTAAATGCTACTTTTGTAATTAGGACGAGGCTGTTTCGCAGAGAGAGAGAAGGCTCTGTCAATACAGTGTGTGTTCAGGTCTTCACTGTGCCCTTATCCTGTCGATTCTTTTTTTAAAATCTGTAGCGCCTGCAGGCAACAAACTAAAAGTCATTGAGAGGTTGAAGCCGGGCCTGGTTAACTTTTCTGACACGCCAACAAGGGATTCACTGAGATCCAGAAATAGGTGAAATAAATTTATAAATGAAGAGTAATCAACTTATTATAACGTGCGCAAACTTCAAATCAAAATGATCACAGCCAACAAAGAACAGTGTGGTCAACAACAAATATGGCGGCCCACTCATCCTCTCTCCAACGAAAATCTAAAAAAAAAACATAGATGGAGATGCTGATATAGATTGAGTGTCACCGCCCATATCCATGTGACCCGATGCTCCCAATAACTGCAATACAAAAATATAAACCATCCCAAAACTAATCACTCCTACAAAATCCACTTCTTTCTAAATTAATTAATAGCTCCTACAAAGTCTATTGTAAATAATAATCCAATTTCAAAAGTCAAAAATATTCAGTAGGACAATATCTCAGCATTTTATTCACTGGTAATAAGAAAACTAAATTAAATTATTTTTAAATTAAGATTATTATACAAGATATCAGTTTATTCTGACAGGATACACACACGGTGAAGACCTGAAGTCTCAGAAAGAAGAAAATGAATTTGAATTTGTCAAAAGAAAGCTATTGAGTATATATATGACTGTTTAAAAGAAATACATGATTACAGATAAAGCTCCTAAAAATATCAGGTAAATTCATCTGATGCAGTATTCATAGTAATTAATCTGTTTTGTTTTGATTTGCATAAACTTCCTGATACATTTTGTAGTACATTTTTATTTAATTCTCTTTCTGTATTATGTTGTTTGTTTGTTTTTTTTCGGTCAGATTCAATGTTTTCTTCTCCCTGATGCTTGGCCATTGTTCTATCAGCTCTTTGGTTGTTTTAACTGCTGCTTTTCTGATGCAGGACAAGGCTGTTTTGCAGAGAGAGAGAAGACTCTGTGAATATAACTTGTGTTCAGGTCCTCACTGTGCACTTAAACCATCAGATTCTTTTTTAAATTGATATCTTAAATACTCTAATTTCAAAATATGCAGTCAGCCTATATCTCAGCATTTCCTTCACCGGTGATAAAACTAAATGATTTTAAAGTTCAGATTATTGTACGATATTATAAGTGAGGAGTTTAATCTGACAGGACAAGGGCACAGTGAAGACCTGAAAACAAGTTATATACACAGAGCCTTTTATGTCTGCTAAACAGCCTTGTCCTGCATCAGGAAAGTAACAGTTAAAACAAGCAAAGATCTAATTGAACATGGATGAAATGTAAGAAAGAAGAAAACCCTGAATTTGTCAAAAAAGAAGCCTGTTAAATATGTAAGATTATTTAAAAATAAATACACAATACAGAGGATTGTTTATAAAGTTCCTAAAAATATGAGGAAAATTCATCTGATGCAGTTATCACATTCACTATTTGGGTTAATTGTACAATTTACTGTTATCATGCATTGAATATATGAAATATCCATAACGTGTCACCTAGTCAGAGGTGTTTTCCATCATTCACTGTACTCAGTCATAGAAACAGCGTCCCTTAAAGGAAAAAGGTTTGGATCCACTGCCACAGAGTAAAGTACCAGTTTTACATTCAGTCGTATTTTAAGACCTTTGCAGCTAAATTTTGTTTCCATGAAGTGAAAACTTGAATTCTTGTGTGCATTCATGTCAGGAGAGTTTCTGTGGTCTGCACACTGCTTCAGAAAGCTTTCAGCTCTGAGGAGAAAAGATTTCCGGCAGAAACAAAGTCCCAGACCGGAGGAAGAACTAAAAACAACCAATAAAAAAAGACATCTGCATGCTTATGGCATAAACACTCTGGTCAAGAGGCCAAAATGTGACCAGAATTCTAGTCAACAGAGCTCTTAAATGGCGATAATAATGTAGGTGAAGTGTGTGTAGGGAAACACAGACCTTCAGTATGAAGCTGGACTGGTGATGGTGTGCTGCAGCTTCATGTTGACACACAGCTGGACTCCTGTAAGCTGGAATAGAACAGAAAAAAACTATTAGAAAGTTCAGAGTAATGATATTTAAAGATTGGTGCTAGCTAATACACAAAAGGTACTGTTTCTCTGAATGTACTCTGGCCAACCCAAAACTACACGACATGCACAGGTGTCTGTGATATTAACCCACAACCACTGACTGCTATTAGGAAGTGCTGCTGTGACATGCAGGCACAAGCTGAGCTGGGTTCAGCTTCATGCTCTGCAGACACTGCAGCGCTCCTGCGTCAGACGTTTGGTGTCTGATGCTCTGAAACCACAGCACCAAGACAAAGTGCTTTCTCTTTCTGCTTATCAATGTGATCTTTCACATTTTCACTGCTGAGAACCTAAAACAGATGGGTTTGCTTCAGAGGGCAACAGTATATTAACTTTTAGTACCCAATTTTATTTTTTTATGTTTTGTTTTTAATGCTGAATCTCTAAAGCCTGATTGTACGACAGCTGAAAGCACAATGTTGAGTTTACTACGAGGCCAAACTGTGGCTCACACTTGATCCTTGTCACTGAATCGCCCATTAAATGTAACTGGCATTTCAAATTTGTTTGTGTCTTGTTGTCTACAGCAATTTAGAGTGGGACTTAGAAACTGAAGAAAGTGCCTAGCTGCTTTAAAATCCTGTTAGTGCACTACTCTAACAGTATTTGACTCATACGCACCCAACAGTCCTAGAAAGAAGTACAAATACTGCAGGTTATTTTTGTTACTGAGGTATTGAATGGTCCCCTACCCTAAAAGAATCCTCCTTAGTATGACTGTAAAGAACATTAAATTTACTTTAAAGCGAGGACATTGCAGCCACAGTGTAAAATTTCAAAGTTATCAACTCTGGCGCCCTCAAGTGGCGGTATCAAGAAAGGCAGAGTTTTTTTTTTTAAATCCAATCAGATTCAGCTAAATGAGGATTTTACATTGAACAATTCTGTTCTTTAGATTCTACATTTTCACTAGCGTTAGATATTTAAACAGTTTCTCATACTGTACATAATACGTTATGTCACTGGGCTGATGGTGTTGATCAAGTTGAAGCTATTTTTACTAGGGATGCACAATATTGGATTTCTTGCCAATATCCAATGTGCTGATATATAACTACTTGTTTGGCCCATAACTGATATAAATATACACTTTTCTCCCACCCAAGTTTAGTGATCATCAAGTCTCTTCTGTAAAGGAATTAACGTCATACTATACATGCATCCTGTTATTATGATGACCCACCAGCAGATGGAGACATGAAATAAAATACTTTTTAATGTTTGTAATATTCATTATATAAGATCAACGTTTCGATCACACAGATCCTGACGAAGATCTATGTGATCGAAACGTTGATGTTATATAATAAACATTTGAGGAGCTACAACAGTGTGCGGACTTCACCCCTTTTTTTTTGGAAAAAAAGGTAAGAAGATTTTAACATCAGGAATATGGACTTTGATGCAGAAGAGCTTGACTCATTTTGACAAAAAGAAATTAAAAGATGGATAAACGACATGAGATAAAATGTTTTTGGCAAATTTTAATAATTTTTAAGGACCTGCAGACACCGTGGTAGAGACTGTTGACTTGAGTTTGATGGCCAGCAATAGATTTAGCTTTTCTCCTTATTTTTCAATTTACAATAAACACTAGGAGCTGTTTGGCCTGAGCAGCATGGTCATCATGACATAACAGCTAAGTTAAAAAAAAAAAACAAGAAAAGGAAAAACAAACAAACCATAGTATAGTGTGACATAAAAATGCCCAACAATGCCATAGTACTATAGTGTCATTTAATAAGAAAGTAGAAAAAAAAAATCAAAGTTATGGTCTAATATGTCATGGAAACTGTTGCAAAAAGCCATGGGTAAAGTATCAGAGTATAATTTGTCAAAAAAAATAAAATATAATAACATGAAGTCATAATATAGTACACTGTGACAAAATTACATGAAAAGTCATAATATCAAAAAAATGTCACAGAAAATGTCTTTTTTTTTAGATATTTTTTGGGCCATTTTGGCCTTTAATCAAAATGTAGGACAGGACAGACAAGCGTGCAAGGGGGGGAGAGAGAGAGGGAGTGACATGCAGCAAAGGGCCACAGGCTGGAGTCGAACCTGGGCCGCTGCGGCAACAGCCTTGTACATGGGGCGCCTGCTCTACCACTAAGCCACCGACGCCCCGTCTTTTTTTTTTTTTTTTTTTTTTTTTTTTTTTAAATGTCATAGTACTATGCAATAAAAATACCATTCTCTACTATAACATTTTTATCATGACTGTTTTATCTCATAAAATAGTTTAGTTGTATTTATTACATATAAAAGTCATGGTAAAATGTCACAGCATAGTATGGCATTGCATATTTTACCATTAGCTTTTACCTCCTAAGAAAGTCATAGTATGTCATAAAGAAGTCATGGTAAAATGTCATATGATAATGTCATAAAACTGTCATACAGACCAGGTTTGATTTTTCCTGTCTTGTTTGACTGAAGGTCAGATTTTATTTCACCTCACTGTGACTCTCAACACTGATGTCACTTCATTCAGTCTGCAGGACTACAAGCATCTGGCATTTTGTTGGCTGAACAGCAAAATAACCTGAGCAACAGGAACTAAAGGAAGCGAAATATATGAATACCTAATCGCAGAAATTAAATGAATCCTCTTCTTTTGGATCCAAAAAATCCAGTTTTCACAACCTCTCTGGGAAATAAGCAATAATAAGATTTTCTCTGTGGTTAAAAAAAAGATCCTGTCTGAGTCAGTAGCAGGCTGTACTCTGTGCACACAAGACAGGAGACTGATCATAAACCACTACTATAATGTAAAGTCCATTCACAGTAAACAAAATAATCATTCATAGAAATCCAGAGTCATCAGATAGTTGTTATGGACCGTTCATTACTTTTGGGGGGAGAGGGGTGGTGCAAAAAGGCATGTCAAATACTTTTTTAAGCACTGAGGAGGGACTTAAGGTTTTTATCTTAGCCTATGAGAGGAACATTCAAATCTTAATGGCTGTATTTTGTTGTTTTTTACCACCAATTTTTATGAGAACATGCCCATGCTTTCTTTAAAAATTGCCAAAAATCACACCATTTATCATGGCCACAAACTGTAAAAACAGATGGTCCCTGAACTCATCATGAGCAATGAAGCTTCCTTCAGAAAAATATAAATAAATCAGGGCTTAAAATAATATTATTTAATCAAAATCACTTAATTTTATGTCTCATTTACAATTTAGCCAAAAATAAAGCATCTCCACAAACTAAGAACAAAGGAAAGAAGAAATATATTTGTAGCTTGAAGTTAAGTCTCACACCAGCCGCATCCCTCCCCTGATAAGTTAAGAACAGTCCCTTTTTTCGCATTCATCGGTTACAAATATACTTTTTCTCCCAGTCCACCTTCAATACATTAAATAAATAAACTAATTCCCACCTCAGAAACTGAATTTAATTATCAATGCACAACCAACAAAAGTCAATAAAAAGTCTGGAAAGCTGAAGAAAGATAAAATAAATATCCATCCATACCTGCTGCGGTGATGTCAGCGTTCAGCAGCACGTGTTGCTCAGAGAGTCCTCAAAGTCCCGCCGCCTCTTCAAACAGCTGCCTCACGACTTGACAACTTTCTTTTCGGATGCATAGAAACTAGTTATTCTTTTTAAAAATTAAATATCTGTTGTTTTTAGCACGCTCACTCGTCTCTTGTTTCCGTCTCCACGCAGCCATTGTTGCCGCTCCCTCCTCCACCTGCAGCACAGGTGTGTCTGATTGTCTCCTCACCTCCCCCTGCTGCCAGGTGTTTAAGGACTATTCTGCCTTTTTACTTTTCCTTCTCCCACCTTTCTGCTGCACTATTACTGCGACATATATTTGACTGCAAGGAAAAAAACAGCACATTGACACACGATGGCAATGTCTGCAAAGTTTTCTCATTTAAGCATTTAAAAATATGGACCCAAATATAACCTGATGTTATTCATTCATTCATGAAGACAAAGTGTGTGTTTGTGGCTGGATGTGATTTTCTCCCAGATGTGTACACAAGGAAAAATGAATGGTTGTTTGTTCCTGTTTGGACCTGGCCTCGGGGAGAACATACTGTAGTAGCATGACAGAGTCTTAACACGTGGCTTTGTGCTTTTTAAAACATGTACTATGCAGGATTTTTCTAAAACACAACACATAAACTCGTACACAAGTTTACAGAAGTAGTGTGTGACAGTGTGTTTATCTGCAGATACTCTGCCCTCTGCCTGGATTTTCTTGCAGATTCTTGCAGATACAGCACAGAAGAAACTCAATATAGCGAGCTGAAAAAGCAAGCAGACAATGCTCGCTCCAAAAGGAAGGAGGGGACAGGTTTGAGCAATGTGTTGACAAACAGTAACCAAACATTCCTGCACAGTACACCTGTAAATAAACACCAATACACTGTGAGAAGAGCTGAGACTGTTAGTCCAAAGTCTGAGAATCAGCAGGGGAAAGCCCTGTGAAGTACCTCTGAAAATATCATTTTAGATTAACATCTGGACACATTCAGTTCAGTTTGATTTTGACTAAAAACATTTTTTCATATTGAAAAAGTCCCCTAATATTTACTCAACTGGAAAGACGCTGACTGAGTCACTGACTCACACATCCTCCACGCTGACGCAGAGGTGACTTTCAGTGATAATTCTGATTTGACATAAGGTGGCAGGAAGAGGTCCAAGGATTGGAAACAGCTGAATACAGCTAAAACAATATTTGGAAGAAGGCTATTATCCTCATCATCAACTGGTGCAGCCATGGGGTCCAGGGTTTAATGTTAAAAATGAATGACAATACCCTAAGATGAATCAAAAAGAAACTACAGCTGCCCATTGCTATGATAAAATCTGCCAAAAACCTTAATCTGTACTTTAAATCTACTCTAAACTTAAACTGACTGAATTGGCACTGGGACCTGCTTTTATTCTGATGGTACTTGAAAAAAATGGATCAAACGTTAAAGCAGCAGAAAACAAAAGCATGAAATTCGAGGACCAAAAGCAAAAGATTTAAGAAACGTGTGAACCATTTTTAGTGTCTTCTTCCCTTTAAAGGTTCAGTGTGTAGGACTTAGGGGGAAACATTGGTAGGAATGTATTATAATATAACAAATGTGTTTTCGTTACCTTAGAATGATCCGTTTATATCTACACAGTAGCCCAGGACAGACACACCAAACACTGGCTCTAGATTGGGCACCCTGCATTTCCGTTTTTGGCCAAGTTAGTTAGCAGCCCCTCTCTGAAGAGCAGCATTGGAGAAACACCGATTTTTAAACATGCAACCGGCACCAATCACCCTGATTATGGAGGAGACCTCTGCGGATAATTTAGCTCAGTATAAAACCTCCTGAACAATGAACTCAGACAGAATTCTAACCGAGAGTTCAGTCTTGACACATGGGAGATGTTTCGTCCACTTGCAATCTGCAGTCCTCACTGCATGTGCCACTAAATCCTACACAGTGCTCCCTTAAGCCTAGTTCACATTATAAGTTTTTCACCACAATTTTGACATCGCAGAGGATCTTGAGAGCCACCTTGGGTCGGAAGTGAGTCGGCAGATAATCTGCCACGACGAGTCCTCATGTGTGAACAAGCCTACAAGCAAGTCGCCCCCTCGTCTGTGACTGGGACTGGATATCTGGCATGCTAGAAAACTGGAGAAGTGTGACACGACTGACAAAGAGCATCAGCCAATGAGAGGCAGGATACGTCCCACGTCAGCACACAGGAGGACGGAAGAAATGTGAGGAGGACAAGCCGCAGGGTTGCTAGGTCAGCTTATTAGCCGCGACTTTGGGCTCGTTTCCAAAGTAGAGTTGCTTATTTGGGCTTGCTCTCTAAACGTCACCTTCCTCTATATATAGCCGTCTAATAAGTTATTTAAACGCATGACAGTCGCTTCTTTTGGGATTGTTTCCATAGCCCTGGTTGCTTGTTTCTCTCCCAAATCTGGCAACACTGACAAGCCGGTCGGCAAGCAACAACAACAATGGCGGCGTCCACAGGATCACGGGGAGCGCGTTGTGCTTGGACCCAGGATAATAAAGAATATCCATGCCTTTACGATGTGTTGTCTCCAAGTTTGGTGATGTCACAGCGTTATCTGGGGCTCTGTCGGCGAGGGCTCAGTGGAGAAATCTTGTGGTGTGCACACATAGGTCGTAACACATTTGGCAAGACTCCCACTGACAAAAACGCATGTCGGCAGGTATGAACACTCAAAAGATTATGATAGTATCCGCGACGCAAAATCAGGGTGAAAATCGTGTAATGTGAACTAGGCTTTACCTGCTCTCTCATGATACTTGAGATACAAGTTTAGACTTTAGAATGAGACTGAATGCAAAATTCAAATTAATATTTTAATCATCAATTAATAAAATAAGTTGAGGTTCAACCAACAATAAAGAAGCATCACCGGTCAGACTGGAGAGTTTCTTTAACATTTAAAGTGTTAAAAAAAGTTTGAATTCAACAGCCAGATAGCCCTAAGAGATATCTGACAGCAATTAAATCATTTCAGCACGTGCACCTGATGTGTTATCATCACTGGCTCTATGTGTTTGAGAGACCTGTGATATGACCACTTGACTATAGCTGAGTTTGAAAGTCAAGCGATTACTGTGATTGTAGCTTCACAGAGAGACCAGGACTGATGTTTCCAAACTGGGGGAATACACTTAAAAAAAAAGGTCAAATTGATATGTTTACCAGACAGGATGAGGTTAGACTTGTTTCTAGAAATGGGCAACCACACCTTCTAAAAAAATATTTTAGTTTGAAAGGATCCCTGATGATCTAGAGTCTCCTAGGAACAACAGGAAGTGTCGCAGAGTGTGAGGAGTCATCTTGGCTCGGCACTGTTTGCATTGGTGCACATCTCCTTAGATGTGTGTGTGTGTGTTTGTCACGCCACACACCGCCTGCTGCTGTCTCTGCTGCGTGTCCAACTCTCCAGAACAGTGTCGTGAGAAGTCCAGAAAGATGCCCTCGTGCTCCGGCTCCGAGTCCAAAGACTCCGGGATGTGGTGCATCATGATCTCTGGGCTGGACGAAGGACTGGGGCCGGAGCTGGTGTCCTGAGCCAGGACTCGGGAGGATGCGGGGGAGTCTGACACCAGCGAACCTGTGCAGTGTGTGTCCGTGCCTGGGGAAGGCTCTGGGAGGATGCAGAGGGAGTGATGCGGTGACTGGAGAGAGTGGGGACCTGCGGGGCTGTCAGCGTCTCTGGGTTGGGGGTCCTGGGTGGAGGTCACAGTGTCTGTGCAGAGGACAGGAGGAGGTTTAGAGAAACAATTTAAAGATCAGTGTGTTTATTGTGATCACAGTCATCTGGGTCCCTTCTGATCAGCTGCCTGCTTGTGGTCTCTCCTGTGGAGAGTACAGTAACATTAGTGCTTTGTAGATGGGTAAGATATTTAACTAAATGTGGCGACGTTCTCACCAAATTGTTCCGTTCTTGCCTGCATCTTACATCTGGCTATTATGGGGTCCTGTCTGGTGTGGTAGACCCCTGCTTCTACTGATCTCCCACTAAGTGCCTGTTCCTGTGCTGCCATGATTATTGTTCTGTGCTGTCTTTCAGTCCAGCCTTTTCCAGCCACTGGTAGGATTTCTTGAAGTCGGCCACCTCTTCAATCTGTCGGTGGTACATGCCGTGTAGGGACTTGTCCTTCCATGATGGTTCATCCCTCTCTTCTGCATTCTTGGGTTTTTGCTGCCTGAGGTATCCACTTAGCAGCTCATCTTTGGGAGCACTCTTCGATGGTATTCCACCCTTTGTCAAGACCCGCCCATGGTCCCGCCCCCCTTGGTTACTGTTGCTGGGTTTGACAAGCCAAGCCTCGCGGGGGTTCATTCCCATAGGAAACAATGGAAGATACCGTGAGATTTAACTTTCTCGTAATTCGAATTGAATCGATCATTCTGTCCAAAACACAGTGTCAGTGATAGAGAACAAACGTGGCTACAGTTGAGTGAACAGGCATTACATGACATATCTGAAAACTTGTGAAAATCGTTGTTTTGTCCCGATGTCTGATGGTAGCCATGGCTACTAACGTGAGCTGCCCCCCCCGCAGTTGCTAGCTCTCTCACCCGTGTTGTCTCCACAGACTTACCCCTCGAGTCTGTTTGATGAACCCCAGTAAGTTAGCAAGTGTTGCTATGGGGAGGAGCACTCTGGTTGGTGGGTCAGCAGACCAATCAGAAGGCCAACAAAGGGGTCAATTAGCCTCGGGGTTGCTTGGTTTCCAGCTTGTCCATGACTTTCAATCTCAGGTCATTCACCCTCGCTCTAACGGAATCTGTGTCGTAAGGGCTTGTTGGGGCTTGGTACCCAATCTCGGAGTGTGGGGATGATGATGACATCCCCACTTTGACCTGTCGTCCTGGCTCCCCTTTGCAGTAATGTATTTGTTGTACTTCATCAATCTCTAGTTGTGATAGCAGTTGCCATTTGTGGACGCTGGAACACTGGCCTAGGAGTTGTTTCTTTGTCAGTCTAGATATTGGGTTTGGAAGCATCCATACTGTATATCAGACATCCTCTACATGTAGCCCCTATAGTTGTATTTTTCTTTCTCTGAAACACACCATAGGTTATTACTTTTCTCGGACTCTCTTATTTCTCTGTCATCTCTTGTTTTGTCAAAAGTGCCGCTATACTCAGTTACAGTCATTCCTCAGCTGCAATGACAGTGCAGAGATGCGGAGAGCGCAGATGCAGAAGACCCAGAAACACTGACCGATCAAAGTAGACTGGTCTTTTCGGGAGGGCGGCTTAAAGAGATGGACACTTTAAAAAAGGCCATCTGAAACAATCAATCTAGAAAGAACAGATTCTTGCAATCTTGAAATGTGTTCACCATGAGTGATCAGTTGCATTATTTTTTACCTGAAAGTGCAGCAGAGGCCGTGGAAGCTGGGGAGTGGCTGGTGAGGCTGGGTGTGCTGGTGTTGCTGGTGTTTTTGGTGGCAGTGGTCGTGGATTCGGCCAAAGAGCAGCTCTCCTCCACACAGGAAGTCATCTCAGAGACAGAGTGTCGTCTAATCGCAGTGCCACTTCCTGTGGAGGAGTCGCCATCGTACTCCACCACAGGGGTCAGCATGGGAACGTTGTAGCTCTTAGAGCGCACCACTGGGTTCTTGGCGATGGGGGCGTTGCCTGGTTTGGAGGGCCAGGAGTGCTGCAAACGCTTCTCTGGAAAGACAAAGACTGCTTTAGAGTTTTGATTACACACACTAAAACACATGTTTTATGATTTACGTTCTTCACTTTAAGAACCCCTCTAGGGAGAGGCATTTGAAATTAATGCTGTGATACACTGCTGTAACTGTGGTGTACTTCTCTCTGTACACTTTGTCCCGAATAAACATTAAGTGAAATGAATTAAATTAATACCACAGAGTACAAGTGCAAACATAAACATATAAGGGATTATGACACACTCACTCGCACATACCTAGTAGGCAGGAGGAGCAGTGCAAATTGGAAGATCCATCTCTGGAATATAGCCCATGAGTCCCGAGGTAAGGAGAGACCACCTTCTGGATGAGTGTCTCCAGACGAAGGTAGTCGTCTGTTACACCTTTAGATTCATGGACTCCCTGCATCAGACACACACAAACACTGTGTTAGCCAGTCATTGCTTGGTAAAAGAAAGTCCACTTTGCTTTCCTGTGGTTTATCAGTCCCTCTGTCAGTTACTGTGAGCTGAACTGAAGGTCTCTGATGAGTCTGCTGTATTTTAATATTGTTTAAAACGTACTGACATTTGACAATAGGACGTGGTCGGTAGATGACATGAATAAAACAGCTGTGCTGAGTGAGTGTGGTCCCAATCTTAGACTTGTATAAACGTGTAATCACACTCAGATAAGAACATCTACAGCGTCACTCAATTTAGATAGAGAGAGGCAGACAAAACAAACCCCTGTAACTGGGTTAAAAGGGAATATGTGTGAGGAAAGTGAACAACGGGTGTCAAATTTAATCATGTAACCCACTCTAAAGATAATTATTTGTGGGTTGCCATTGCAAGTGACTTCTTCCACGGTATATTTTGTCATTTAATCTATTGTTTAAATGACCCAGGTCTGCGTCTAAGTTTAAGGTCAACGTACAACTCTACTACAAATTTAGTCGGGTGCCCAGACAGATTTGTAAGCTTGTTTTATTTGCTCTGACAGATGCGTCTGGTCTCCCTCCCATTCAGACAAATATCTAGCCAGTCTCCGATGGGCCTAATATGGGGCCTGTTTGAGACGATGGCTGACAACTTGCAGGGCCTTCATGTGTCATGCAAAATTTGTGATGACTTCACTTTTGGCTCACACATTTGCGTCAAAGTCCTGCACAAGTTTAACTTTCAAGACCTGCTCCCGAACTGGTACTGTGACGTGGTATACTGCACCCGCACATTTGACGAATTTCTTCCGCACCCTGGACAGGTCACCAGACTATCACAGGGCTGACACATAGAGACAGACAACTATTCACACTCACGTTCACACCTATGGCCAATTTAGAGTCACCAATTGACCAGCATGTCTTTGGACTGTGGGCTGTGTCTGTTCTCACAATATTGAGCACAACATCACTATAGTTATCAAGCCAGTTAGTAATGCACCTGATTAAAGCATCTCTCATATTTCAGCTGGCGCAGAAGACAGAGTCAACACCCAAAGTCAGCAGTCAGAGGATTAAAATGTTAAAAGATTACATTAAATTATTCTCATAATTATATTGTACATACATGTAACATATTTATCATGCAACACCCACCATCTGACCTGCATGATCTTAGTTTCACCCAGAACCAACCCCGGAAATAATATTGAGACAAAATATCACCTTTTTTGCATGTCACCCAGCCAGATTCAGGACTCTGCCCCTTTGACTTTTATATCACAGTATACCTTGAAACCAGTATAGCGCTGCAACCCTAATTGGTTGTGGGTAAATCCAATTGTGTCCAGGGGCAATTTGGTCTACAGTCCCTGCTAATGCCCCTAAGAAATAGAAAATAAACTGAGAGGTTCGAGACTAATCGGTATTTGCAATTTGGCCTAGGGATGTCAGGCAACAACAAACTGAGAACATGAGTGAGAGAAGCTGCATCTGTTATCACAGCACAATCACAACCAATTTCCTAAATGGAAATAAAGGGGATGTTTCTCCGTGTGAGGGGAAGCTTGCTTCTTTGGACACATCCCGCTTCACCGTGCAGCCACTCTGCATATGTGGAGTGCTCATTGCCCCGTTTATTGCAGATGTGTCTTCTTGTTTCATGATTGTTTCTGCACTGTTGCCAAGAAACGCAGGCATTACAGCTTTCATCTCCACAGCGAGGCTCAAAGCCACTGTGCACTTGATGTTAGCGTGTATTTAAATAGATCAGTGGCGAACAAATTACCCTCATGATCAATGGGAATCAATATGGTGCTGTTTTATGGACTCAGAGCCACGAGGGATAACAAACAAGAACTTCTATGTTTGAAAGGTTGAGGATCTGCGAAAAAAGCTGGATTCAGTTTAACAACTTTTATGAAGTTGCGACCTAATTTTCACACTGAGGAGTGTGAAACATGTGGGCTCAGAGACCTTACTTGAAGGTCTTCACATAACAAAGGAGGGATCAATCAAGTCTCAGGACTCTGAATCACTGAGCATATGCATCAAAACCACAGCACAGAGACAAACCACATAAATAGACCAGACTTGAACGAACAGGCGTCACAGAACTGAAGGGAAATTACTAACAGATGAAACAAGAGGTTGCAAAAACAGCAAACATGCAGTCCCGACTTTTATTTCTCTTACACTCAACCTCTTTTCTTAAGGGCCCCTCTTCACTGTCTGCTTTTAAATCTTCAGCTCTACCTGTTGATTTGATATTCACTGAAGGCAAATAAAAACAGACCAATTAAAATGACTCTGCAATATCTATCTGTGCACAATGAATAAAGAAGGAAAATAGATCCTGCTTTCTGTTCTTGTGTCTTTTATACTCTCCGTACCTCCCTCTGTCTCAGTCTGGAAGCAGCAGATTTGGGTCAATGAGTCACTACAATGATGTCCAAAGTAACCCACACAGAAACAGATGCACAGTTCATATTCCCAGCCACACTTGAGAACACATTTAATCCACTTGCATTCACTCCCTGACCCACAAATGGCTAACGCTGTTAAAGAAATTCAAGAGTCTAGTCACAGCATTTCTCTTAGGTCTTTTAACTTAAACTAGACTTGCATATTTGTGAGTGATATTGGGATTATTACATATAATAAGGGGAAAAAATAGAGAAATTACTAAAAAATAAACCTAATTTTGTGCTTTTGTTTCTTTCTACTCCTGTTAACCATCTCATAATGCGCAAAATTATGAGCGCAGCATCTTGAAAGAATACTTCACCCCCCAAAGGACCATTTCTATATCAGTAACACCCGTTTTCCACTGTCAGTTTTGGCTGCGGCAAGCAAGGCCGTGCTGCACCGATTTGTGTTTCCATTGTCAGTTTAGACGCACCGTGCCATGCCAAGCCACCCGGAGATGGACCTTCTCTAGAGTAGGTCCAAAAGCCGGGCTGCCTGCCCTCAGTTGGGTAGTGGCGACATCTCACCGACCGCAGTCAAGCCCCAACGACCCCTGTTCTCCCCAAACACACGTGTGTTGCGAGACTCTACTCACCTCTGTCTGTAGGAGACCAGAGAGAAAGGGCTTTTTAAAAGTCTCTTACCCCATGTTGTGTTGAATCCATGAAGAAAACTTTGCTTTCCTTGAATGCCTCCACGGAGTAGGAGGAATCCAAAAACAAAGAAGATTCTTGATGAACTGAAGTCATCAAAGTTTGCGTTTAACAACTGCAAGACTGCATTAATACATTCATTTACAAACTCTCACTCAACTCGTGCAGTATAATCAAAGTCTCATTTATCCATTCGTATGCTCAGTACTTCCCAAACACGTGTTTTTGGTCAACTTTAGTATTTGAAACTGAACTGAAACATACAGCATCTATGCTCTCTTCACAGCCAGACTCCACTGTAAGAAAAACCAGTAACTTTACTTTGCTGAACGTGAGAGTGTCTGATCCACCACTGCCTCAAACAGTGTTTGCGTCATTGTGTCACTTTGCTGAATCCAAACTAACCCTTACTCCACTATATCTTTACTGTACATGGCAAATAATGGCTTGCTCATAGACTGTATACAGTGGTTCCCAACTGGTGGGTCGTGGTCCAAAAGCGGGTCATGGGTCCATTCTGAATGCCAAGTCAAGTCAAGTTTGTAAAAAACACAATTTCTTTTGAAGTACATTAAATTTCTGGCACAGCTTTTATTTTGAAGTGCCATTTCCTGCTGTCGAGTAATTGACAGAGACAGCAAACTAGCTCGATGACATGGCCAAACGCAAGTATGACGCTGAATATTTTAAACTGTGTGGACCTTGAACAAACAACCAAGGAAAAATCTGGACCCCGTGGCTGGACCAGTTGGTTCTCTGCTCAACCACTAGATGTAGCTACCATGACATCACCCATTAGTTTGGGGACTGCCGTTTTACAACCTAATGTTCGGCATGTCGGCAGTCGCCATCTTGGTTTTTTGGAGCCAGAGGTGACCATATTTGAAGGAGAGGGTAGAACTATGGAGGCGTGAGGAGTGGATCTGACTAGAGCTTAGATCAGGCCCAAAAAATTCAGCCCGACCCGGTCCGAGCCCGTGCACGTTATGTCCGGGACTGGCCTGGCCCGTCCAATTAACTGTAATTATGGGCCCGAGCCCGATTCAAACCCGACATTTTTCAATAAGTTGGCTGTTATAAAAAAAGTGTATTAAACCACAATTCTTGTTATTTGAATGACAGAAATATAGGATCTTAATGAATGGCGCAACACAGAAGCATGATTATGTAATAAAACAGGTGTTTATTTTAGGATCCAGGTGGTGAAGGGCTGTGCGCGCACAATGTTGCAACATTGGACGTGTGGAAAGGATGACGGAGTTATTTGGCAATTAAACCACCGTTTATTACTGAACAGGACCGGTTACTGTTGGCCGTAACCACACCAAAACAACCAACAAACAACAACTTAGCTATAACTCCATCTGTGCACTCCTGCTCTCTTCTCCAGCTTGCTCATACACACACACCAGCACATGCACTCACACAGCCCTCCTCATCCTCGTCACACTCGCACCCCGCACCTCATTCAATCCCAAACATGCCATTAACTCACAGAACATTGACATTATAACAGAACATTTACTGCAGGGTCACTACAATACATAGCCTATGACATTATCAAATCATAGCTTTAAAAAAAAAAAAAAAAAAAACGTCATATCTTACCGGCCCGGCCAGGGCCTCTCAGAGGGAGGGGGGCTCCTGGCCCGACCCGGCTGGGCTCGGGCTCGGGCAGAGAATCTAAGCTCTAGTTTACAGTGCAGCCTTGCCACATCCAATATGGCAGCGACGTTGACGTACGGCTCAGCACTCGATGCGGCGTCTATGTATATATGTCTATGTCCCTCCCTATAAAAGGCTACAGCCAGTGAGCAATGGAAGCACGTATTTTCGAAATGAAATGGCAGAGAGCGGAACGTCCACCTGAAGACGACCAGGATCTGACATTACCTCTAAAGAAAAGACGGTTGTTGGCGAAGAAGTTGTCGGATAAAGAAAGGGAGGAGAGCACTGCGAGAGCTAAAGGGGCTACAATCTGACTCAGAGCTAGCTCTTCTTCTCCTGTACAGGTACAACATAAAGTCAAATGTCTGTTTTAATTAGTGTTACAGTAACGTTAAGCACATGTCGCTATGTAAATTCAATTAAATTTAATGTTACAATCGTAGCATGGGTTAATGTCCAGAGCTTGAGTTATTAGCGGCTCGGTCCCAGCAATGGGTCAGGCGTTATGGTTGTGTTAGGTGAGTAGCCCGGCAGCCCAGCTAAGAGTTGGAAAGTTAGCATGGCAGCCGACTAGTGCTAATGCTAACGTCCCCACGCTTCTCGGCTCCGACTCACTAAGCCTGGCGGAGAAGCCTGGGGACGTTAGCACTAATGGGCTGCCATGCTAACATTCCAACTCTTCTCTGGAGACCGTGAGCCTGGCTCCTGGCTCAGTTGGAGTTGGAGCGTTGGCGTGGCAGCCGAGTAGTGCTAACGCTAACAGGAAAGCAGGGTAATAGCTAAACACAGCAGAGACCGAGAGTGAATGAAAGACATTGCTAACTGCTAAACTAAGTTGGCTGTTTAGGTTTTATTTCCTCGCCCCTGTGGCGAGTGAATATGCCTGCAGTGAAAGCGGGGGCTAACCGGTGCTTCCTCCTCATGCTCCACTTCACTCAGCTGCTAACACAGCCAGTTAGCCTCCGCTAGCTTCCCAGCAAACGGCTCTCCGTTTGGATCCAACCGGAGCACCGAGCCCTGGTTTGTTATTCAGGTTAATGTGGGAAGAAGCAGCGGGTATATCGGGCAGCTGAGTGAAGCTGAGTGAAGCGGAGCCTGCGGAAGAAACACCGGGACTGTCTGGATGTGATAGTCCGTGGAGATNGTAGAGGGAGGAGTGGCTCATGACACACTTTGTTTTGCTCTACAGGCAGTGCACAACAGCGAACCTAGCGGTGAAACGATTTCGCTTATTGCTCCTTTAAATATGCATAACTTTGGGCCTTAATAAAATGTGAATGGGTGAGTTGTATTAAAATTCACCCCCTGTACAGTTGTCATGAATGCTGAAATTGGCTAAAGAGAACAAACTCGTTTTTTGTACCAGGCTATGAACATGTTTATTTCTGCTGTAAAGCTGGGCATCCTAACACGGGGGTCTATTGGGATTTACTCTGTTTTGGAGCCAGCCTCAAGTGGCCATTTGAGGAAATGCAGTTTTTGACACTTCTGTACTGGCTTCATTTGTCAGCCTCAGAGGTTGCCGCTTGGGTGTGCTGCTTTATTAATTCTCTGAATCTCACATAATGTCGCCTTAATGTTTCACCTTCTGTTCAGTTCTCTGTAAGAAAGAGCGGTCTGTTTGGGAAGTATTGAGCATACCACTGGATAAAAGAGACGCTGCACGAGTTGTGTGTTGTGAGTTGTGTGTTGTGAGTTTGAAAACAGATGTTTGATATAGTGTTGCTGTTGTAAAATTCCTAATTCCCTAATTCCTTTTACTTCAAATCATCAAGAATTTTCTCAGTTTATTTGATGTTCCATTGACCGGATGCATGCAAGAAAAAGTTTTCTTTACAAAGTCACTGTAACACAGGGTGATTAACTGATACACAAATGGTCATTTGGGGGATGAAGTATTCCTTGAACTTGAAAATTCAGTATGTGCTGTCTGATAAGTTAACAACTGTCTTCCTGTTCCCACGAAAAGTGAAGCCATAAGTTGCAGCATAGTGAATGTATAAGTGAATCAAATAAACCTGGTTCACCATATATATAATAAAGCTGAAAAAAAATTTACTCTTATTTCAAGGTCAGGCAACTTACTCTGGGGCGATATCAGCTGCCGACTATTACTCACTACAGTTTATTTTGGAATTCTCATGAACTGAAGCCAATTATCCACAGGGGACACATATATGTCTGCGCTCTCACCACTGAGCAGATAAGATGAAATTTCCTTTGAATTTTTTTAATTTTATGACCCTTTGCTTCAAAACATTTTAGCTAATGAGGTCGGAAACACCCTAATCATAATTGATTCTTATTTTTTTCAGGTTTTGGGAGGATATACGGGTCTCAAAGGACAGAGTAAACATGGATAATTCACATAGACCAACAGTGACACAGACACAGACACAGGCAGGGTGCAGAGGGCACTGAGTGGTCATGGGAAGACAACTGAGCTCTGTGTTCACACTGAGACTACTTCCTGTGAGATCCCTTTTCAAGAAAAAAAAACAGCCCTCTGTACCCTCTGGTCCTCCATCTGTTGTCATTTACCCTCTTCGCTCACCCTGCATCAGTCATGGATGTTTGTGCAAGCCCTGTGTTTGAGGGTGTGTGTGTGTGTGTGTGTGTGTGTGTGTGTGTGTGTGTGTGGAGATAGCGTGACAGATTGTAAAACAAAGAGGGTGAAAAGGGGAGGAAAGATGAAGAAATAAAAGAGTTTGTGTGTGTGTGTGTGTGTGTACCTGTAGTATTAGCAGCATCTGTATGATAGAAGGAGGAACTCTGGCTCGGGGTCGAGACAAAGCCTCCTCCAGTTTCAGGTTGAGGGTGATGATGTTCCTGAAGTGGAGCAGAGCCAGCTGACGCACTGATGGCTCCTTTCCCTAAGGACACATACACGCAGGTGTCAAAACAGACTTTGAAAGTAGAATAGAAGTATGTGTGTGTGGCTGTGTCTGTGTGTGTACCTGTACAGGATAGAAGATGGCCTGCAGCATGGACAGAACATCACAGAAGAAGAAGTCCCATGTGTCGGCCAGGGAGTCCAGCAACTTCTGACCTAAGCGTGAAGACAAAAGACAGATCACTTCAAAGTCAAACTAGAATTACCGCCTCAGCGACCTAGTCAAGTTGCAGTTACAGTTTACATCCATGTCTCTTCAGGCTCATATGTAGCCATGACAGTAGACAGTCTTTTAAATATGAATGTTGCTGCAAGGAAGCTACAAATTCTAAAACATGGGTGCTTCACACACATCTTCAACCCAACAGCACAGAAGATCGATACAATCAGCACAGTTTCAAGGTGCACACCCAAGACTAGTGGCACCAATTCGGTGTCTAACAATTGTCTCCCCTTCTTTGAGTTATGGCATTGAATAATGGCCAGAAAAGTATTTTTGCAGAACATTATGATGTCACAGTGAAACTGACCTTTGACCCTTTGGATATAAAATGTCATCACCGCATCATTTTATCCTATTAGACATTTGTGTGAAATTTTGTCATAATTAACATTAGAATTCTTGAGTAATGGCCAAAAACATGTTTAGTGAGGTCACAGTGACCTTGACCTTTGACCTTTGGCCACAGTTTAATGTTGAGTTCAAGTGAAAGTTTGTGCCAAATTTGAGGAAATTCCCTCAAGATGTTCTTGAGATATCGCGTTCACAAGCTTGACACTGACAATGTCACAGTGAACTTTGGCCTCCAAAATCTAACCAGTTCATCCTCGAGGTCAAGAGGACATTTGTGGGGTTACGGTTAGAAGATGGTTGGAGAACATTTTGGTCCCCAGATGTATAGCTGCAGAGTTAGTGCTCCTAGCTATCACGCTGCTCTCCATCAAATCATTACACGACATCAAGTTGTTCTGTCTGCTCTGTGAAGATTTACAGGCAGCTGTGGACCCAGACCCAGGATAAGTCTGAACGAGATGAAGGCAGCCTCCCGCTGGAAGAGAGGCTTTGCCCCCTCAGGCTCTGATATCACTTTATCTTTTTTTAATCTTCTGCCTTCTGTTTAGGGGTGGTGAATTTACAGCTCACAGCAACTTAAGATGATTCAGTCTGTGGCTTTTGTTTGATGTCTAGTGTCGGCAAAAGATGCTGCACATTTTCAGTACATCTTTAGTGTGATCAAGGGGGAGCCGGTGGCAGCAGTGCAGCAGTTTAAGCATCTGGGCACTGTTTTAGATGATGTTAAATTTTGATGTGAACACTGACAGCATCTGTAAAAAGGCAAACCAACACCTATTCTTTTTAAGGAAGCTGAGGAGTTTCGATGTAGATAGGACAGTCAGGAAATTGTTCTATTCTGCTTTTATTGAGTCAGTTCTTTTTTTAACACTGTCTGTTGGTTTGGTAATCTGAGCCTTAAAAACAAGAATAAGTAGGCAAAAGTGGTCAAGTTGTGCTGTGAGATCACTGGTGTTGCCTTTAATAACCTACAGCATCTGTATGAAGAGAGGGTCACATCTAAAGCTTGGTCTAGTGTCTCAGACTCTCAACATCCCCTCCATGTTGAGTTTTAGTTGATTCCATCAGTGCAGAGGTTTTACCTCCCTACATGCAGCACTAGGCGTTACAGACTGTCCTTCGTCCCGTCTGCTAACGCTTATCTTAACCAGTAATGATCACTAATATCTGTGATTCATCCCTGGCAGTGTGTGATACTAGATTCTGTGTGTTTGTATTGCACTGTCTGTTTTGTTGTACTCATGACTACTGTCTGTATCTCAAATTGCCCCTCAGGGACATTAAACTTTACCTTAAATTACCATACCTTACCTAGACAATGGAAACTTTAAGGCCACAAAAGTAATCTTGCATTTTGTGTCTTGTCAGGATATCACGAGCCCAAATGCCTTACATGACATTTACTCTTTGTCAGTGTGTAACAAGCTGTGAGTGTTTTACTTGTTGTCCAAGGACATAACTAGATAAGATGACCCAGAATGCTTTGTCACCCCTCTGACGATGCGAGTTAAAGATCCCTGACCTCAGCTGTTGTATATACGTATCTGACATCTGTCATCTTGACATGTTCAGGGCTCACTCTTTGCACTCACTCTTGACTGTTTGTTGTGAGTCCATCTGCAGATGCTGGATTTAACTTACAGAAAGAAGAAGTGTGCTGTGTCTAATAATTGCCACCAAAGGGCTGACTTGGCTTATTTACTATAATATGTGAATGTCACCGTCACTCTGAACGTCCCGCCGAGTTCAATTAAGTGTTGCTTGATCATCTACATGAGAAAAGAAGTAATGAGTAGTTGAATATTTGTATCGAACACCCAAATTCCACGCGACAGACAAAATTCTGACTCAGGTACAGCCCTTCATATTGTTTTCCCTAATCAGAAGGTTTAAATGGGTTTTGTATATTATCTTTATGATGGTATTACCCTGTCTTTGTTAGGATATCTGTTGTGGTTTTCTTTGTTTCTGTTACTGAGTCGTCACTGTTGATAAGGGTCGCCCCTCAATGATCTCTCCAGTACAGATAAAGGTTGACTGTGATTTGGTGTTATTGCAGAAACTTCATACTTCGCAGCAGGAGTCTGTGCAGGCACATTCAACACACACACACACACACACACACACACACACACACACACACACACGCACGTGCACACACACACAAACAAGTACTGAATGAGCAGAACAATGGGTAAGTGAGTCGCTGCATGTACCGCAGTGGTTTGTCTTATCTTTAATTTCTCTTTGACTGTATGTTGTGTAATTGACGTAAAGCATCGCTTCCTCTGACGACAGCACCGAAAATCTTTGTAGTCAGTGTGTGTGTGTGTTCCGTTATTTCAAAGGTGCTTCAAATAAAGGTCACACATTTACCACAACAGAGAACAAATCGATTTCAGTGTCTTCTTCTCACCTCTTCAGTGGCTCATTCTCACTCTGACTGCTGATGTGTGTGTGTGTGTGTGTGTTCTACCAGTTCAAACTCATAGTTCAAGGGTTAACTTAGCATCTGATACTTTAGTCAATTATTATTTTCCCCTGGGAGACTTCTGTGACTTTTGTCACATTGAGATAAAACCTGAAATGACTCACTGCCACTGTGAACGTTACTCAACAATGCCAGGAGGCCCTGTTAGTGAACAACTAATGACATTGAAATTTTTGTGCAGAACAAACAAACAAATGGTCTTTGTATATTTTTTTGCGTCAGTTACCTTCATAGAAGCGGATCTTGTCTCTCAGTATCACCATGCCTTTAGTGAGGAGCTGATTCTGAAGGTACTCAGTGAAGAAGGAGCCCAGCTCTGTTTTCAGCAGCTGCCTACAAAAAAGAAAAGTTCAAATAAGTGCAAACATACACAGATACACCAACATTAATACCTCCTCAACATGAACTAGGGATGCATGATACTGGATTTTGCTGATATTTTCCACCTCGTCTTGGCTGATTGCCCATGCCTATTTATGTGCATATTTTTTCCCACCCAACTGCAGAGAACATCGAGTCTCTCCTGTAGTGGAATTAACATATAATTATGCCTCCTCTTATAGTAATGAACCACTGGCAGATGCAGACATAAAATACAATGCTTACATTCACTGGGAAAAATAAGAAAACTGCCTCACCTCTGGTTACATGTAACACAAGCCATATTTATTTTTGTAACTGTAACCTGTAACTTTTTCATCCAAACAGTAAAATCCATTCTACTTTGTCTTGGATGATGCTCTCCCTGAGACATTCTTAACTATAGCCAACTAGGGCAAATTTAACCTATTTCACCTAATTAAAGTCACATAATTAAAGTGTCATCTTACCGGCCCGTCATATTGGCAGAAATGTTCATAACAAGCTGATATAGGGATGTTTTTTAAAGTCGGTTCATATGAGGTAGGTACTCATCCATAGTCAGTGTATTACCTACAGTACCACCATGAAAGCTAAGTGATGTTCTGCTGTGGACGAGGACAGCAGCAAAATGTATTTTAGCCACCTTAAAAAAACTCGAACGATTTAAGTGTACACTATATTGAAAATATTTTCACTGCTTCACTTGCTCTCAACAGCCCTTTCTGATGGAGAAGTGGCGCACAGCTTCAGTACCCCTATGTTTTGTCAAAGCCGCTGGACTCTGTTGACAAAAAACAGTAATTTCAGTGGGGCTGTTCCCTGAAAGTCGAAGATTCAAATCATCAGTCGGAGACCCCTCAGTCGTTTGAAATTCTCCAAGTTAAGTATTACTTGTTTTTTGTTGTTTTATGTCAGTAAGTGTTCTGCGGACATTTCAGTCCTCAGGTTTAGCTGCAGAGTGAGGGTTCCTCGCTTTCACGCTGCTATCTGATGCAGGCAGCTGCAGAACCAGAGCCAGTTTTGGAGTTTGGATGAGGCGGATGCAGCTGCCTGGAGAGGCTTTGCCTGGTCAGGCTCCGACATATCTTCTGCCTTCTGCATTAGAAGTGGTGCATTTACAGCTCACAACAACTTATTAACAACAGATTGTGGTTTTTGTTTGATATCTAATGTTGACAACAAACTTTATTGCACATTTCCAACCTGTTTTAGCGTAGTTAGCAAGCATTCGCTCTCATGACTAACTTGTCTTGTTTATGATGAACATTGCTGTCCCTCTAAACAAACCCTGTTCAAACTCCATTTTCACTATCAAAGCTCTATATAGAAAGAAGGAGTGAACAGTCAAATATTAGTATTGAACAGCCAAATCCAATGTGACTCACATATTGTAATTCTGAGTTGGGTACAAACCTAAATTTTAGTTTTTAGCTACAGGTCTCAATCAGTTAGTTTCTGTTATTGTGTGGCTTTGACAATTCGAAATTAACCCCTTGAAATACCAAGTAGCAGTACACCAGCAGCTCCTGTGTTCAGCAACATTAAATGTGGAGTCTGGCTTTGAGCCATATAACAGCTTCAGTTCCCTGTCAGAAATTACTGTCTGACAGCGAGGTAAAGTGGAGAAAATATTCTAAATATAGCCTACACTTGAACTGATATCAATATTTTCTATACAGGACTTGTTTTAGGTGGCTGCTACCCCCATCCACAGCCGTGCATTGCATAGCTTCAGTGGTGGCACTCCTGCCTGGGCAGTCTCTAAACCGGGGGCACACTGACCAACATCTACTGTAGGTAATACACTGACTATGGGTAAGTACTTCATACAACCCCACTTCAAAAGACCTGAACTATCTCTTTAACACTTTTATCTGCCAATACCAATGATGTGCCAATATTATCATGTATCCCTGACAAGAACCATGACTAATTAGTTCTCTTGCACCAGGAAGCTGCAGTGTTTAAACAGCAGCTCAGGAAATGAGAAAATATGTTCTTCACACTGAAAACAAAGAACATTTCAACAACAGCATTTTCCACTGATAAACTGATAAAACAGGTGGATATTAGTGTGCCTTGCTGTTTTTACAGGAAGCGAAAAGTTGACCTTTAATCTTTATCTCGTCATGACGACTGCTGCACAACACAACAACAGACACAACAGCCTGAGTCAGTGTACCTGCACGTACATCTGTGTGTGTGGAGCCAGATATTTACTCTACGTGAGTGGAGTCAGTTTACAGCCCTGTCTCATGTGCCCTCAGCTATACCGTAGTTAAACACACAACAGTGACCCCTCCGTGACCTCGACCTGTCATTTCCCCCTTTAACATAAAGGTGTTTCGGATTCAGTGGGCTGTATGCGGTCAAGAGCAGCAAGAGAAAAAGAGCAGCTCAGAGTGAACAAAAACTGTTACTGTGCATGTGTGAATGTGTCAGTTAAGACTAAATTTAGCATACTGAAGCTGCCATTCTGTTTATATACGGGAGCAGGAGTGTCTCAGCCAGAGAGAAAGCCAACACTACAGCGAGGGAAGGTGGGAAATTATAGAGTAAAACACTATAATTTTGTCAGATTTCTTCCTAAAATACAAACAAGCTCAAGCCCAACATTCGGCATGGTTGTGTGAAAGTCAGAGAGAGAGAGAGTCAGAAAAACAGACAAATAAAACACAAAGAGGCAGACGGGTGACGAGACAGAAAGCTGACCTGACACCTTCGTTCAGAGTGTAGAGTTCATTTTCCCCCAGATCCTTCCTCTGGAACACTGATATCACTGCGTTGTGGATGCTGAGGAGAAACACAGAGAAGCATTTAGTGGACACATTTTCACAAACACGAATATGTAGAGGAATAGAAAAATATTCAGTTATGAATACTGCATGGCTAGCTGCTGCATGAGGCCACACTCCATACAAAAATGAATATAATTTTACAATTTCCATGCCTTCAAACAGAGATATATTGTAGATTTGCCAAAATTATTTTCAGGTGTTCATATGCACAAGTCTCTGTTTATATAAGTAACAGATTTATGAAGCAGTAGAGAAGGTCCCATCAAGAGTAGGCATGGGACAATACAAAAATCTCCCAATTTTCATACGAAGCATTACCCCAAAAATCTCAAACAGCCCAAAAATGATTTCTAGTTAATCTCAGACAAGGACATTTAAACCATTTAAACAACTCACTCTCATCTCGCAGGTGACAGGCTTTGTGACAGCCTTACAGTTATGCAAGCAAGTTGTTGAAAAAGTCAAGCATCTAGAATAGTTTCCAAATTGACCAGGATGACCCCTAAAAGGTTGAGCACTAGATATGTCAAAAACCAGCAGCTTAGCCATCCTGTGTTCCTTAAGAAGTATTCTTTTTCCAAGCTATTATGGCTGATGTTAATCAACCTGCATGCTAACAATGTGGCTAACTGTCACGTTATTTTAGGTGCATCGACTGAAAACTGTTTCAAAACAGTCTGATTTATGACTTCATGTCTCATTAACCTGTCCCCCAACCCCTGTCGAAGCTTTGATTAATTGCAGATTAATTGTTGATTAATGATGCCCAAAAACTGGTATTCAGGACAGCCCTTCTTAGAATTATCCTGGCCAAAATAATTGGGATTCACTAAATTATCCTGATAATGATAATAAAAAAAATGTGCTAAAAATGCTCTTAAAATGAAACTGAAACATACTGGAATCACTTTACATATCTAAAGAAACAAATATTTTTATTGCATTACAGTTAGGACACACATCTTTTTTTTATATATATATACATATATATATATATATATTTTAAATCAAAAAACAAACAATCTTAAAAGGCCTTTCAGCTATTTGATACTAGGGCTGCAACTAACGATTATTTTTGTTGTCGACTAATCTGTCGATTATTTCTTCGATTGGTCGACTAATCAAAAATGTCGGTCTGTCTCTTCCAAACACCAAAATTATGTCATCTAATGTCTTGTTTCATACTCACGCCAAAGGGTTTTAGTTCACCGTCATGGGAGAGTGTGTAAAGCTGCCAATATTTGAACGTAAGAAGCTGTAATAAGAGTATTTTGGGGTACTTTTATTGTACTTTTCTATGAAAAATGACTCAAACCCATTAGCCAACTACTAAAATAGTCACTGATTATTTTAATAGTCGATTAGTCATCGATTAGTCGACAAATCGTTGCAGCCCTATTTGATATAGCATCATATCTTTCAATATGAAATATGTCCATGCTTGATTAAAATCTTTGGTGTGTTTTTGAGGTCAGTGCATATGCAGCCTGTTTTTGTAGAATCTCTTTTATTGTTTGTTGCCAAACAATCTTTTGGGTACTGCTGGACATGACATGCACAGTCATCCCAATAATGGAAATTCACCACATTCAACTTATTGTGAGTGTCGATAAAATCGTGTAACATCACATCCCTAATCTGGAAAGAGAGGGACTCGTAGACCTGTAATTACATTACATTTGTCAGTAATGCAATAATATAACACGCTACTGTTCTAAATTCAGTGATGACATTAACATTATTAATCAAACAATTATATTATAACTTGTGCTACATACGTTCTTCAAGTATTTACACTCTAAAAAATGTTTCATGGGGTCAGTGGAATTTTGAGTTTTCAGCATAAAAAAATACTTTGTTAAGTTGGTCAAAATCCCAAACATTTTTGACAAAAATTTAGAATATCTTAAATAAAATAATTTGGCCATCAAATATCAACACAACTTTTGGATAAATATTACCTTGGTTCTACTTAATTAAGTTTGTTGAGGTCAAAGCAAATTATGTTGGTGTCACTTTAACTACTTGAGTTTGTCAGATTATAAAAGACTCAAAGGATTTACTTTACAATACCCGAGTCGGAATGACTTTTAAAAATAAAACATTTAACAATTTAACCTAACAATTTCCATCTTTTTAACTTTTTAAGTTGTACCAGTGGATTATTTTTTAAACTTAATGATGACAAACTAGCTCTATGCTCAATTAATGATTCATGGGCTCAGTGTATTTTATTTATTTATTTATTTACTGAGTTTCAAGCATAAAAAATAAGCTTGTCACTTTAAAACATTTTAGTCAGTTGACTTATTTTAAGAAGTTGACCAAAATCCAAAACATTCTTGACATATTTGAGTAGGATTGAATTAAAGGAAAAAGTCAGAATACATTAAATAAAATAATTTGGCCGATAAATATCAACACAACTTTTGGAAAAATATTAAGTTGGTTTTTAGGTCAAAGCAAATCATGTTGGCTGTACAAAACTTGTCTGCTGCAAAGACATTGTTTGAAAAGCGAGCGTCTCCAGTGAGTTTGAGGTTGTTTGGCCAGTCAAATGCAGTGCATACTCCATTGAAACGTTTTTTTTCCTTTTATTTCTGCCATCATTTAATGTTGTTGAAAGGCTAGTCTCATATTACTTTCTTTTATTTAATGATATAGTTTAATAACACTGATGAAGGCTGTCCGGCTTAATCAGCTTGGGTGTTTATAGTTCACTTATGTTGTATCACATGCTTTCAGGGTAATAAAAATAAAACTGTGCAAACTGTTAATCTGGGTCAAAGCCATAAAAATCCAAAGCGTAAACAAAGTTAAAGACAGCAGGAAAAAAACAGAAGAGTAAGACATAAAAGGTCAGAAGGGGCCATGAACTTGTTTCATTGTGGGTTCCAGTCCAGCTGATGTTGTTAATGCATACCTTTAGCTCCAACCCCCCAGTGTATCGAGAGCTTTTGCTTTTCACTCTCTGCTGTCGAGTGTCAAATAAAGCTGAAATACCATAAAAATAACCAGAGAAAAGAAAGAGAGAGGAGCAGAGAAGAAAAGACTCTATGAGGCAGAATGAGATAAAAAGAGATAGAGGATGGACCCCCGGGGAGGAGAGGGGAGAAAAGAGAGAAAGAGTTGGTGCTTGAGTGCATGCATGTGTGTTTGTGTGTAAAAAAAGATTTGTATTCACAGTGTGAAGAATGCCACCAACAGAGGTCTCTGACTGTTTAGTATATTAAAGGGACAGTTCACCATCAAATCGAATATACAGTTTTTTATCTCACCTGTCGTGGTTTTAATCAGTCTAGATTGTTTTGGTGTTGGAGATATCGGCCATAGAGATGCCTGCCTTCTCTCCAGTATAATGGAACCAGATGCCACTCGGTTTGTGGTGATCAAAGTGCAAAAAGATGCATTTGAAAAAACAACAGCAATGTCTCTTTCCACAAATCATGACCTGGTTACTCAAGATCTTGTTGTGAGCAGTCTCATTTAGGAACTTCTCTCTCTCGGCCGAACTACACCCACCAATCATATCACCACGCAGAAGGAATTGTGCATCTTCTACTAGCTCATGTAGAACCACTAAAGCCCAGTTCAGAATAAAGATTTACGACGAGACGAGTTGAAACAGGCAACTACTTGCTACGTGCAATTTAAGCAATATCACACTCGAGATAGTTATGTTGTACTGTATATCGTCACAGCTGTGATTTGGTTATAGGCACGAGGCCGCACTACAGCCGTGACGATATACAGTACGACATCACGATCTTGAGTGTGATATTACTTTTATACAACAGTTCAACAACAGCTTAAACAGCAATGCTGAGTAAGGAAATGTTAACAAAAGATGATGAAATAAATTATTTATGTCATGTAGCCCCGCGAAAAAAAAAAAAAAAAAAAAAAACAGTTCCCCCAGTCTGTTGCCAGGCAACGCAGCACACACGCCAGGAACTCACAAGCTACTTTGTATAGCGAGTGTGACAGTTGGTTAATTAACGGTTGTATTTATATTTATAACACCTGTGAGCGGAGTGATTTCCCAGTGATGTTGTACTCTATTCAAATTACTCAGTCGAAACTAACTGTTGTATAATCTGCAACGTTCTAAAACCTGCTGGTTCACACCAATGCAACTAGATGAGATGGTGTATCATCTCTCTATGCAACAACTCTCTGTACTTCTGTTCTGATTTCCAGCTTTTCAGGCTTATTTTGTGTCTGAATATAATTTATAGCTTCTTGAGATATGAATGAGGACAGTGATAGTGAGATACTGGCTACAGCTGCATATGTTGTAGGGATGAAACAACAAAAAAACATGAGCAAAACGAGTATCAGATGGACTGTATTCATAATAAATATGCCACAATAATATAAATAACCAGCGTCAATTTGTTAGTCAGTGAGAGTGTGTGTATGTGTGTGTATCTGACTTGACCACTGGACTTCACAACAAGCTTACTGGCTGCTGAAACAGGTGATGTGCTTTACGTTCAGCGATTTGACCCGCTGAGTTGCAGGTGACACTATCAGCAGGCTTGAGTCAAGCTTAGATGGCCAGTTCACACCGCTGCAACTTTTCTCTGCAACGTTCTAAAACAGTTTAGTCTAGATAGCTAACGTTACAGCTCTCGTCCATGAGTAGATGCACATTTCCTTCTGCGCTATGATATGGGTGTAGTCAGAAGAAAGAAAATAGTTCCTACATGAAACTGCTCGCAACAAGGTCTGTGAATTGTCTTGAGTGACCGGGTCATTATTTCTAGAAAGAGACATTGCTGTTGAGTTTTTCAAATGTATTTTTTGGTGCTTTGAGCACCACAAGCTGAGTGTCATCTAGTTCCAAAATACTTGAGAGAAAGGTGACATCTCTACAGGTGATATCTCTAACAATCAGCAATTCACACCAAAAGTTTCTAGATTTATATATAGCAATACAGGTGAGAGAAAAAATGTGTGTTTTTGATTTTGGGGTCAACTGTCCTTTAAAGGAAAAAAAGGCACATACAGGCAGCTTTCGTTGGGTTGACCAAAAAATATATGTATTCACAGTCACTCAAACATGACAAGTAAACCAACATGGCTCTCACACACTAACCTGTTCCAGGTGGCGTTGGCCCCGGCCCTCCTCTGCTGGGTCCCTCTGTCCCTGCTGCACTCTTCACCCAGTCCCCCAGTTGTTCCTCCCTTATCCCCTCCTCCTCCTCCTGAGGTTTTTGCCTGCGCGAGGTCGGTCAGACTGGAGGACGAGCCGCCTCCCAACCTCAGCTTACTGTGGAGACTCCTCGAAATCCAAAGGACAGGAAAAGAGAAATAATTATAAGCAGAAACTGCAGTCCATTGTGGTGCTGGATGAAACTGGTGGAGCCAAGTCCACTTTTCATATCTGCTGGTGGAACCCAGCGAGAGTACATAAAGGACTTCAGTCATCCACAGACAATAACAGGAGTTGTTTTGTTTTGTTTGTGCATCAAAAGCAATTTTCTTGTTGGAATAAGTACAGTGGATTATGTTTCAGAAACTTCCAAATCTATCAAAAATGCTCTCTTGCAGGATGTGTTCTCTTCAAGGTCATGGTTAGTGCTATTTAAACAACCAAGGCACCACACTGAAAATATAAAATACAGGACAACAACTACAGAAACTCAAAATCAGCAGAAAATCCAGAGAGAAAAGGCACAACAGTGAGGTACAACTGCTGCGCACGAAAAACACAATCATTCCTTCTGATTTTAATGGCTGACAGCATTCACTTTTATTGATGGGTGATTACTTTTTATTAGCCATCTGTTAATGTTTACACAAGCTTATGCACTATACTGCTTTGGAAACATACAGTAGAGAGATGAGCCGGAGAGCGATCAGGAGAAGTGTAGAGTCAGTTTGATGGAGGAACATTTGCAGAGAAATGGAGAAAGAAGGAAAAGTAAGACAAGGGGATAGAGAACAAGAGAGAGGAAGAACTAAGGAGGTATGAAACAGAGAAGACCGGAAAAAAACTGACAAGGAAGAAGAGGAGAGAGGAGGACTGTGTAGGGACGAACAGGCAGAAGAGATGCACTAAATATTAAGAGGTTGGTCCATGGAAAAGAAACAAACATCAACAGAAAAAAGCCAAACATTTGACGGTGTCAGGCTTCATAAATATGAGAATTTGGTGCTTTTCTTTGTCATAAAAGATAATAAACTGACAAACTTTGGATTTTTTGACTGTTGGTCGGTCAGATAAAACAAACTTTTTAAAGATTTCACCTTGAGCTCTTTGAAATTGGGCATGTTTTTTTTTTTACTGTTTTCTGACAATCTATTGATAAAAAATCTTAATTGACAATTACAATAATTGTTACTTGCAGCCCAGAGTAACCTCAGCTTCAGCACTAAAAGGCAGAGTAGAGGCAGAGTAGATGATTTCATCATATACACAGGTGTGAGCGTGGTTGCCCGTATATGTCTGTTGAGGTTTAGACCTTGACTGTGAGGACATACAATATTTGGAAAGAGGAAAGTGAGGACATTTTTGCCTGTTGTTACTTCTTCAAAAAGTTGGAAAGGTAAGAACTGTTTGGTTTTACTTTTGGCTTGAGATATGGGTTAGGGCATGGATGGATTACGAGACAATGGGCCCCTAGGCACAGAAAGGCAAAAGGCCCCATCACCTCTACTACACAGGAGCGAAACAAAGATTTTGTCTGTTCCCCCTTGTTGTTTTGCGTCACTTTGTAGTCATTATGCATTTGTGGTTTTGAGTGTAGTCATTTTGTGTCTCTGTGTGGTTGTTTTGCATCACTTTATTGTCTTCTTGTGTCTCTCCCTCTTCGGTACGTGTTAATTTGTGTGACACTTTGAAGATGAAGGCCAGCGGGATCCCTGATACTTCGGGCCCCTATTGTAAGGTTGACAATTGGTGCTTTTACAAAATATTTAATATATATGTGTTTATTGCTTTTTAGAGGATAGGAAAAACAAAGCCAACAGGCACATCATATGTAACAGCAGCCACAGTCAGAGTGATTAGTACAAAATAGTAGTAGTAAAAATTACGTATACAGAAAAGGAAAAATATACACAGCAAGGTGCTTCATCTAAAAGATATTATTAAATTAGCCTTCGCTTTCCCAAATCTGATCAAACACAACACCTCTATCTTCATTGTAGAATCTCAGTCTCTCCAAATGTAATGTGTTTGCCATAAATTATATGTGGGAACAGATTCCATCTTCCACACTTGTAAAATTAACTTCTTTGCAATCCATTTTTTGATATATGCTAGCTGAGGACAAGGAGCTAGTTGCACCAAGGAAAGCTATGAATGGATCAGGTTCCCAAAATTTCCAAGAAGCCTCAGAGAAACAGTGCAAAGTGCCACATGACCAGAAAGCATGTGCTAAATTGCTATTGTAGATTTACAGCGGTTGTAGACAGTTGAAACATCAGTAAAGAAGTCTGACATTACAAAATATCTACACGGTGAGATTTTTGAGAAGTAATCATCAGTAATGTCAATTTAATGACTAAAAGAAACTAATACAACAGTGGGAACAGTTTGGTAAGTTCAGAAAATCACAGCACTTTACTGTAATGTAATGAAGCCTTTAAAACCAGGAAAAGACAACACCGACAATATTATAAAATTATATAAAATCTAAGATGATATCCAGTCTCACATATATACAGCACAGGAATGCATTATGTCAGTGAGGACCCTTTGAAAGTGCAGAAGTGCAGAGGAGCTAAGTAAAAAAATGTGTTTTGTAAAGCTGACTCAGCAGAGAGAAAGTGAAACTAGTGTAAAACTGCTTAATATGTTCGGTACAGTTAATGAAAAATGTTCTCTCCTATGTAGGCTACAGTATATGTATATTTGTGTTATGCATGTACTGTGTATATGCAGGCAAGAAACGTACAGACTGCAAACTCTATATATTACTGCTGCATTGACTGTGCTGTCCAATGAATGAAAAAGACTTCCATTCATTCATTCATTCATTCATTCATTTGTTCATTCATTCTGTCTAACTGCTAAACCAGCAATTTCTGCAAAAGTTGAAAACATACAACACACCTCCCCTAAAATACACACACACACATTAACCCATAATGTACTTACTCCAGTAACTGAAAAGGCACCACATACTCCCACTCCATGAGTGTGTCACACTGAACACAACGAGAGGTGGATGAAAGACAGGACCAATTGTCTCTGTCCTCATGAGTCTCTATCTCAGTCTTTCACACGCCCTTTTTACCATTTTCTCTCTCTTCAGTTCTCTGCCTTGAAACTTCTCCTACTTCCCCTACCTTAACTTTTTTCATTCACTACACTCTTCTCTCTTTCTCCCCTTGCCACTCTGTGCCAGCCGGTGGCCATGTGACCATGTGAGCTTTTGTGCCAGGCGAACAAAGGAACCCTTTGAGGTTCAAGAGCTGCCAAGAGAGAGAGGAAGGATTTAAAGGTGACACACATTTCACTTCCTCCTCCTCCTCTTTTTCTGGCTGTGTGTGGCCCAGGACAAATAGAGGTTGTATTCAAGCTGTTATCACATTCCACTCATCACTGGTCAATTTTTCTTGCTGTGGAATTACTCACTTTACTTCTTTGTCTTCAATACATTTGTAATGATCCACTCCCAGTGAACACTGTTCACATGAACAGAATTTAACTGAAATTAATTTAAAGGGTAAGTCTGATATTTGTCAACCTCGGCCATAATTTCCCATGTCATTGTGGGTAGTGACTTTAACCCTATGGGCCCTAGGCGTTTTTTTGGGGTATTTTTACTGCCTTTACTTTTAAGCTCATAACACAGTCATTATAAAGGCTACATACACATGCATCTTGTTTTTTTCAGGACAATGTGGGCTAACCAGATTTGCCATTATTTCATGTCCTCCTATGTGCCTGTATTTTATATTAATTTTTATATCAATGAAAAAAACAAATCTGTTTTGACATGTATCTCACCATAGCAAGTTGGAAAAAGAAATATTCTAACAAATATGAAGAGGAGAGACTCTCTGGAATCTGGCAATATAAGAACCATGATGATGGGACATTCTATCACTTCACAGCTGTCCAAAACATGTGGTTTGTGCCAGGCGGACATGATTGCCAGTATTTTATCATTATTGCAATAAATTCCATTGAGTCATTCACAAGTCACAAATGTGTTTTATCTGAAAGAAACATGCAATATTTACATCTAAGATCATAGAAAAATAGTCAACCCAGTGCAATGATGTCCTCCAAGATAATATTTGCCACTTTGTTTGCAGTAAACAAAGTACACATGTCCCCCTCAATGTATATGGTGACTATGGCCCTGTCATGCATGCACAATTAGGCTGCAGTTGTCTGGGTGCGCAAAGGTGAAGTGCGCTTGTCTTGTCATACAAAGTTTGATGGAGTGTCAGCTGGACAATATGGAGATATTTGCATCTTGAAAGCCGGACTACAGATGTGGATAGACAGGGAGAAACACACGCAAGCTTAAGACGTGGTAAGATACGATATTCCTCACTATATGAAGTGACTGATAACAAGATCTGTATAATGGATTGTAAAGAAATTCGTCAGGATTTTATTTGGTAGGCAATTGATCTGTATTTATAGTGTGATGGGATGACAGCACAGTGATGTGTGTGGTATCACTGGAAAGCTCTGCTCCTGCGCTTTCATGTGATATGCGTGGCATTTCTGTGCAAGCCTGCATTCGCGAGTAATCTATCCAAGAGTAATGTGTGCGCAGAGCTGTATGAAAGCTCTGTTATACATAATGTTAGTGTAAATTTATCATTGTTTTTCGCTGTGAAAACATTGGACTACTGACAAGTGCTTGGCCTTGTCGGAAAGCTACAATTCCCGTGAAACAATTTACAATTGTTTCACGTGATATGCGTGGCTTCTCGCTATGACGAACAGTCGCGGAGAAAATCAGTAGAGAAGAACAGGTGTGAATTTGGATGCACTATGCGTCGTTCAGGCCCATAGGGTTAAGTGACTAATGGGATGCAGCCAGCTGCCGTGAAACAGGCTGCAATGTAACCACTAGGGGCATTTGTGCGCTGTCAATTTACTGTTAAATTACATGCTACATCTGCTATTCCGACATTATGGAAAGGATTCCTACAGAGATAGACCTTTTTGTGGAAGAGTAAGATCCTTTTTGTTTAACCAGAAATAGCCACAAAATCGCCAACTCCAGCTCCACCAGACTCCATTTAAATAAACAGTAATTTTAACAGCCCAACTTGCGGCTGCCGGCTGCAGCCCTTTTGCTCAATACTTAACCAGTTTTAAAAACCACTGATCCCATTGGTCACTTCAACACAAAATCATGGGAAAATTGGGTCCAGGTTGAAAAATACCAAACTTACCCTTTAACTGATTTTGGACACAAGAAGCAGAAGAAAGGGAAAAGAAGGGGCTAAGAGAAGAGGTACTGTAGAAAGTGGGAAAGAGAAAAAAGAGGATGGAAAATCAGAGACATGTAAAAGAATATGGCAGGAAAGTGGAGAGAAGGTGTGTGTGTGTGTGTGTGTGTGTGTGTGTGTGTGTGTGTGTGTGTGTGTTGTAGGTCCGTCTGTCAACCTGGATCTTAGTTCAACTCCGCATAAATAGGTCAGTGCGAGAAACAGGAGCCCTGGGCTCTCTCACACATACACACACACACACACACACACACACACACACACACACACACAGTGCTTTCGTCAAAGTGTGGATGAATTCTCTCAGAAAAGGTGCAGTGCTGTACCTTGTGCAACTGAATCTACAAAGACTTCACTCAAAAGTTTTCTCCTGCAGAATGGATGATGCACAGCATGAAACAGCAGAGACTCAGAGTAAACACTGAGGTGCAAAAAGAACCCACTGCTGAGAGGAAAATATTTTAAAATATTTCTACATTTGGGAAAATAAAGGGCCGCTGATGTAACCTGGAAGTTAGATACTTCTTGTTTTTGGCTCTGAAACAACAGGAAGAGTTGTGAGAGAAAATGCTGCGGTCTAATTACTAAACAAAGGAGGATAAGGGGGATGTTTGCATGAATGAAGGAATGAATGAGGTCATTCAGGAATGTGCGTGAGTGTATGCGTGTGTTTGTGTTTCACTTTCATCTACCTTTGTGTGTCCCAAAGGACGGGGACAAAGAGAGAAAAGAAAAAGTATTGGAGCTGAAGTGAGACTCTGTGAATGAGACCTGCTGGCAGATGTGTGTGTGTGTGTGTGTGTGTGTGTGTGTGAGTTCTTACCTCCTAAACGAGCCCTCTCGCTCCATGTCAGCCTTGACAGACAGCTGCGACCTAGCAACCAGCCTGCAACCACCACCGACGAATCAGCATCTGAAAAAGGAAACAAGTTGAATTACTGGTCGAGGACATCATCTGACTTCAAACAAAATCACTTGACGTGACAAACTTAATGGACTTTTGTTGAGTTGATTTTCTAGTTTGAAACCTGAGTGAGTTGGCCTTCCTCCTGGGAGATGTTTTGACATGTCACAGTAGGAAGAGCACAGGCGTAAACAATAATAGGGAAAGACCGATATGGAATTTTTAGGGCCGATGCCGATACCGATTTTTTTCCATCACCCTTAACCGATGACCGATTATGGACTGCCGATTTTCTTGAGCCGATATTTGGGGCCGATACTGCTTTTGCTCCCTCAATTTACATAAAAAAAATGACACAATGATAACAAATATTACAGGTCTCAAGTTTAAAATAAGAAACATTTATTGAACAGTAAAAAATACTAAAACAAGATGGAAAATTGAGGTAGAACAGGTAGAATATTATTATTATTATTATTATTATTATTATTATTATTATTATTATACATTCAAAGAAAAAAAAGAGTTCAGTGCTCTTAAATCTTCCAGTAATGTCTTTATAAAATAAACAAATATTTAAGCTGAAGCATAAATAAAACAACAACTACTGTACACAGTAGGATTCGCTGCATGTACACTGCAGGGTCTTCCGGCAACACAGAGCTGCCCGTGGATGCCTGTCTGTAAATCATGCCAGGGAAAAATAAATCCGCGAACCCACGCGCATATAGGCCGATGCCGATACAAGTAAAAAACTCAAATATCGGCCTGATATATCGGCCGGCCGATGTATTGGTCTATCCTTAAACAATAACAATTCATAATGGCTCTATTTGATGTAGCTGCTTCAGTTTCAGGCTCACCGTCACACTGTCAGGGCTCACTGGGACATACACATTAGGATTCGACACTCAGTGTTTAGAACTGAGGACTTGACTTGGGACTTGAGTGCAAAAACAGCCCCATCAACTGACGTAGCAGCTGACTGATGGAAGGGAGTCAGCTGATAGATCACATGATTCCTTTCTAGGCAACCAATTGGCGAATCTCATTCAGGGCGCCCTATTTAAAATGCTCTGGCCTGCCTACTGTTGCTGCTTCCTCTGCAAGCTGCTTTGCAACCCGCCTCCACCCCAGCTCCTCCTTTTCATACTGTGTCTGACTTATCAATGTCATTTCTGTTTGTCATTGATGCTGCTCTGTTCTGTTCCCAGGGGGGGTCTTTGCAGCTGCTTTCCATGTAGGCGCATGGAAGGACAGGGAGGTGTGCTCTCTCTGCCTTAATCTTTCTGCGTAGGAAAGGAGAGAGGCCCCAGAACAGAGCCATACTGTAAAATATAATACTGCTAATGGTAATAAAGTTTTCTTCGACTTAAGTGGTCCTGACTAAACTGATGTACTTTCATGGCGGTATGATACGCTGCCATGTGGCCTTAGTTTATAATGCTGTATCATACTCCTGCGAAGTTGCCTTTCCGCTCCATTGTCTGAAATCACCAACAATTGAAAAAACGGTTGTATTTGACAAGCTGGGAATAAGAGCGGGCTGGTTGTTACCCATCCTACAGTCAGAAATGATTTCTTTTGTTTTCTTTGTGTTCAGATGAAGAAAACTGGACCGACACAACTGATCTACCCACCTACAGTAGTTAGTTTCATCATCACCATGAATCAAACCCACGACTGCCATGTCATCAGCAAATTAAATAGTAACATGATCAGATGTGCTGCTACTACGTTTATTTGTGGACGTCCAAGTAGTTGAGAAACTTGCCGTTAATGCCCACTGTTTGATTCAGGCCCAGGCTCTTGTTGCTTATCATACCGGTCTCTCTCTCTGTCCCTGCATCTCCTCTCTGTATATCCACTGTCACTATTGTATAAAGGCAAAATGCCCACAAGATAATAAACATACAAAAAATAAGAGAAGCTGCAATGTGCTCTGTAACTCTTGGAGTAAAATACTAGAGTACTAAGTCAGACAGATAGAGTAAACAGGCAGGCAGACAGACAGACAGACAGACAGGTGTCTGTCTAGCTAACAAGACACAGTATTCTAATCAAATTACAGTAAAGTGGCTGTGGCAGACATTTGATCCTGCCTCGAACTCAAATGCCCCAACTCACTCTCTCACTCACACACACACACCCTCATAGACACACACACACACACACACACACACGCAGATAGAATGACACATATCAGGCAGGTTTGTAGCACAGGGGCCAGGGCCAAACAGGGTAAAGCTGAGGCTTCCTCCTGACCTATATCACTGTCTAAACCAAATTTTTGCTGCTCATTTTCTCTCCTCCACAGCTGTGATATGACGACCAAGTATCATATCACAGCTGTGTTAAGTGTGAATTACTTAAAACTGAAAAAACAGTGAATGTGTTATACTTTTGGTTGCAAAGTTTGCATGCAAGCAAAGTGACATTAAACTCGACTTTGCTGACATAGCACCTTTCAGAAAAATATGCAACCTAAAGTGCTTTACGAAGTAAAATTGAAGCAATATAAAATAAAAAATAAAGAACAATCAATACTATTTTGCAGGACTAAAAATTAGAACTAACAATAAAATGCTAAAATCAATAAATAAAAGTCGAAACAATAAAAGAAAAAAGGGAGAAAAATAACATTACAATCAATGATTTTAACTTCATGGGATACTCTTTCAACCAGCTTTGTGTCATAACAATGTGGGTAGCATGTGTAAATAAATTATGATAAACTTCCTTCCATCTTACCATTACCCGAACCTCCCTGTTCATCTCTCAGTTTAAATTGCGTCATCAAGCGGACTTGCATTGGCTTTAAGGATGTAGCTTGGACTACAGATTATACTTCCACATTTTCATATGCCTGCCACCATGGACACAAAGAGTACAGAACCAGATTGAGAGAGAGTCCCCCTCTTTCAGTCTCTCAAATTCATTGTAATACAAGAGTTTGTGAACAGGAAGTGGGTGCCATACTGTTTCCTGTATTGTAAAGACACAGACTGAATACTGAGATCAAACGGTAAAACCAAGCAGTGCTGATGAAATATGAACCAAGATTCTTTCAGTGAATTGCCTGTTTCTTGGCTAAGGTGTCCTCAGAAACACTTTTTATAGCTTCCATATTGTTTTCTTTGCCAAAATGGACACTGCGTCACTAACCAGTGGGAGTGTTTGGGGGTCCTGTGCGTAGCAGTCCATTCTGCTGTTGTAGGTTTTCTGCTTTTTCAGCAAATGCCACAACCCTTTTTCTTTGTTTTCTCTAGTCATGTAGCACCATTTTTGGAAGTATTTGTGTCTTTTCTACTGCATAGACAGCCCAGTTTTGAGGTCAGGATCAGGGTAATCATAGTCTGTTTAGATAAAAACTGTACTGTGTTTGTCTGCTTGGCTCGTAATGACTCCCCAGTGCTTCACGCTTTACTTCCTGGAAATTGTATTTGTCGCTATGCAATATAAGCTGCGACCTGCTGTTGCTTGGTGGATACAGTTATACACATTATCTAGTCTGTCATATCTATTTATTTCATTTTTACTACCTAGTTTTCTCTGTAATTTCTCTGTGTAGCACATGTGTGTTGACCAATGTGGTCTTGGCATGAATTAACCTGATCTCACGACATGAATTTGAACTGTCTTTTTGAATCAGCACTCTAAAGAGGAAGTCAAGCTAATTTGAGACCAGAAAGGCACCACTTTCTTTTTGTTTGTGGTTAGAAAAAAAAAGAATGATATTAAGGGCAGATGGATGTCACTGTGGCACTGATAAATCACACCTGGCTCTGCAGAAGGAAAGGTCTTTGGCAAGGGCATAGGTTTCGTTTGAATATTGGAGGGGACACATATGAAACGGTGAGTTTAAGGGTGCAGCACTTAAGCACTTAATTTCCTGCATTCTGGGGATTTATTATGCACCAATTTGTGCCTTTAGTGTAAATATCTTTAATTGTGTAAAATTAAAGACCTCTGCTGCTTTTATGTTTTTGTTCAGGGAGTTCAATGCAAGTGTTCCAAATATTGAGGGGGACGTGTCCCCTTGCGTCCCTCTACACCAATCTACACCTATGGTCTTTGGATTGAATGACACACATGCACTGTGGCTTAATCCTGGTGCTGCATGTCATGCTACCGTGGATGGATTACTGAACGGGCCTACTGGGCACTGGCCCAAGGGCCCAAAGTGTCAGGAGGCCCTGTGGCCTTCACTTGTACAATGTAAAATGTCAAATTATCATGTACTGACCAGGAACAGACTTAAAATGTCCACATAGAGACACAAAAAGACAATAAAAGATATAGAATTACCTCAAAGACACACAAAACAATCTCAAGTAGACTGACACAAACCCACAAATATGCAGAACAACAACAAAGAGATGTAAAATAATTACAAAAGATCCTTCTACGCCATTATGCCACCTCGTCATTCTGTTTATAACAAATGATGAGGGGACAGAGTTGTCTAACTTCTGAGCCGGGAATGAATTTAATAACAGCACCAAAACAATGTCTGTATGAATGGGACGGCCAGGAGGACGGGATCACGGGCAGCATGGGTGTGACGTTTGACGATGTGTTAGGCGTGTGACCCACCATCAGGAGATTTAAAAATAGCTGGTAGCAGCTAGTGGCTAACTCAAAGAAGAGGAACAGTAGCTGAAGATGTCCACAAACTGGAAAGACAATGAGGTCCAGGAGCTCCTCATCCCCTGAACAGAGGATGAAATCAGCCACCATATAACAGTGACAGTAAATGTTTGTTATTGCCATGCTAATGCCATTATTATTGTTTGCAAAGCGCTGCCAATGTGTGTGTTATAGGTCACACTAGAGGCCGAAGCAGTTGTGCTTCATTTTACGCCCATCACGAGTGGTCAAAACAGACATGATGAGAGTGGAAGCCTTTGACAATGGATGCCTCAGATGAATATACCAGATCTTCAGGCCAAACAAAATCTCCACCCTTCAACTGCACAAGAAAACAGGCAGCCAGAACATCACCAAGGAAATCACACATACAGACGTTTGGCATGGCTAGGCCATGTGCTAAGAATGGAACAGGGCCCGATCATGAGAGTCACCCTAAGATGGACACCATCAGGCAAAAGAAAACCCGGAAGGCCTGAAACCACCTGGTGCAGAACTGTGACACTGGAGTACGAGAAGATGAACCTGTCATGGGGAGAGGCGCAACATGCTGCAAAGGATTTAATGCAAGGGAAAGAGCTCATTGAAGCCTTATGTCCCATAGGGGATGAAGAGAATTAAGTAAATAAGTAACGCCTCTTTTTATTCCATGATGCTGGAATGCAGTCTAAAATCACACACGGGAGGGGAATGATGCTGCCATAGTTTGGCTCTGGGTAAAAATGCAGCGGCATGAAGAGGGGACTACAGCACAACTGTTATACTACTATGCTAAACCTGGCTCTTTAAATCTCATCAACTAAGGCTGGCAAGTCAGTAACTTAGTGCCTCTCCCTATGTGTTGCATTAGATGTGAGAAATGTACCTCGACTTCCCTTGGGTGAGTGTGACCTCTCCTATCTGGGGTGTGTGTGGTTGACTCACTGCCAGGCCAAAGCTCTTGCTCCTTGCGACCAACTCGCTCAGACTGTACAGCTCCGCCGGACACCCCTTGGATGCCGTTCTGTCAGACCAGTCGGCCAGCTCGCTCTTGTTCAGACTGAATGTGTATTTGCATGGATAATTCGTGGTGATGCGTCAAACACTTTCTCAGTCTCTTTTTGTCTTCAGAATGTCTTGCCTCCAGCGTCTCCCTCATGGCATACCCGCTCAGCTCAAAGGCCTCTCCAGCTCTCCCTCCAGGTGCAGCTAATAGCGGCTAATGAGTCATTACCACCAACCCCCAAGTGTGACATCAGTGCTGACCCTTCCTCCTCCCATGTGCCTTAGCCACACCCACATTCATTACACTACCAATAAAGCTATCATAACAGCAACTTCTGCTCAACAAGGGCCAAAGTCTGCGTGTCTTGCTGCCATGAAGAAGAGGTGGTGGGGCCCTTTGCGTTTCTGTGCCCAGGGGCCTTATTGACTCATAATCCGCCCATGCCTGCTGCCAGACTAACTCCACACCCTTGAGTGAGGTTTGATGCCTTGCTTAAGGGCTCTTAGACTGTACTTGTGGGAGCTTGAGAGTGAGTCTCATTCAGCCTCTGGCCTGAGCGGCCCAAGTTATGAAACCAGCAGAGCTCCCACTCATTTACAATCCTGACTTCTCCTCCTCCTCCACCCGCCTCTCTCCCAGCAACAGACAGTTTACATTGTAAGCAGATATCAGGGACTCCAGTGCTGAAAATTAACACCCATAATCTGCTCCAACACACACACACACACATACACACACACAACTGAGCAGACTGGCAGCGCAACAGGGAAATTACCACCCTGCACCAGACAAGTGCTAAACTTAAGTGTCGTCTGTGTCTTGCAGCAGGTTTGTCTGCTCTACCAGCCTCTGGCACAAAACCAAACCACCAGTTGGAGGTCCTGCACAAATCATGTTGTGTTTTTAGGAGATATACTGCCCTGCAACAGTCTTCAGGGCTGCGTCTTGTCTACCTGTGTGCAACTAGTGTCCAATACAGTTCATTCATACAATGCACACACTCCTGGAGTACAGTAGACAGTCATTAATCATACTTAGTAGGAGAGACACTTCGCCTCGGGACAAATCAAATTTCTCTATGAGTAAAAGTGAAGTAAAAGTGCTGAGGATTTAAGGCAATAATAAGCTGTTCATTTGCTCTAACAGCTTACAGTTATGCTGTTTATTCTTGTATTAGTTTAAACCTGACAGTTGCTTTTGTCAAGTTTGGACAGAGTTGACTGATACACTCACTTTTTCAGAAGTCTTCCTCGCTCCTTTAACACCAAGCGTCCTCGCTGTTTAAATCCCGCAGAAAAAGAGCCCAGAATAACTCCTGTATGTGTGTGTGAAGGCTGGAGGTCTGCGCGGTGCTAAACACTCCACTGTCCCACCGCTTTGCCGCAGATAACAGCGCGCGAGGGCTGCGCACGTTCCCCTGAAAAGATCCGAGGTGTGTGGAGCGAGAAGAACCGGCGCGAGCTGCGGGCTGTCGGCGCGACTCTCAGGACTGTGCGCGAGCGTCACACAGAGAGGGAGAGGAAGCGAGGAAGGTGAAGCCGAGAGAGAGTCACAGAGAGCGACAGTGTGACAGAGTGATGATGTGTGTGTGTGTGTGTGTGTGGGTGTGTGTGAGAATATGAGGCTTTGCGTGTGCAGGGGTCGGTGGGTGCGAGATGTAGCCTATGGAAAGTGTCGGTGGTTTTGCGCCTGTGTGTTTGTGTGCTGTGTTTAAGTATGTGATAATACTAACAGCTAAAGGGCAAGACAAAAGAAGAATAAAGACAGAAATTATGTTGGTCTTTTTCAGTTCAGTTAAATTCAATTCAACAGGCTCTATTGGCATGACTTTTGAGTATGAGGCTACTATTATAAAAGACAATGAATGAAAGTCAATGCATGTCACAGCATAATGGGAGATTTATGCTTCTGCTTGGAAACAACGCCATACCCTATGCCTTGAGCGCATTTATACTTGTGCTGTTGTGTCTGTGTCACTCTGCAGTTACACCTCCAAAACACTAGTTAGAGGCAGAGGTTTCTGTGAAGTGCTGTAAAGTTTAGTTGATTCAAATCACATATTAAACACACATTAAACATGGCATAATAGAGACAATTTCAAACACAAGAACATAAATCAGCTTCACTATAACTTAAAGCATTCACAGACAAACACTTGTCTTTATCTGGACACATTTTCCCCAAAAATACAACATGCTAACGTTATTAGCACAAACCCATGGCATTTCACATTGTATAAATTAGCTAGCGGCTACAGGGCTTTTCCTCTACTCATATAAAACCAGGGACAACAGCAACATTTAACAAAGGTAATGTTACAAAATTCAGCTCCTTTACAACTCACAAGGAGCACCGACAAAACAATTGTCTTATACTAAACACGTTTTCCCCACAAATACAACATGCTAATGTTATTAGCACAAATCCATGGCATTTTACATTGTATAAATTAGCTAGCGGCTACAGGACTTTTCTTCTTCTCATATAAAACCAGGGACAACAGCAACATTTAACAAAGGTAATGTTACAAAATTCAGCTCCTTTACAACTCACAAGGAGCACCGACAAAACAATTGTCTTATACTAAACACGTTTTCCAAACATATATAACATGCTAACGTTATTAGCACAAGCCTATGGCATTTTACATTGTATAAATTAGCTAGCGGCTACAGGACTTTTCTTCTTCTCATATAAAACCAGGGACAACAGCAACATTTAACAAAGGTAATGTTACAAAATTCAGCTCCTTTACAACTCACAAGGAGCACCGACAAAACAATTGTCTTATACTAAACACGTTTTCCAAACATATATAACATGCTAACGTTATTAGCACAAGCCTATGGCATTTTAGATTGTATAAATTAGCCTAGCAACAAGCGATCTTTCCCTCTACTCTTATAAATCCAGGGACAACAGCAACATTTAACAAAAGTACCATTAAAAAATTCGGCTCCATTACACCACACAAGGTTCGTCAACAAAACAACTGTCTTATACTTAACACATTTTCCCCACAAATACAACATGCTAATGTTATTAGCACAAATCCATGGCATTTTACATTGTATAAATTAGCTAGCGGCTACAGGACTTTTCTTCTTCTCATATAAAACCAGGGACAACAGCAACATTTAACAAAAGTAACATTAAAAAAATTCAGCTCCATTACAGCTCACAAGGTTCGTCGACAAAACAACTGTCAACTGTCAACTGTGTTATACTAAACACGTTTTCCAAACATATACAACATGCTAATGTTATCAGCACAAGCCTATGGCATTTTACATTGCATAAATCAGCCTAGTGACAAGCAGAGATTTCCTCTGCTCATATGAAGCCAGGATAAATCACACACAAGACTTAAGATGCTGTTTTGTGGAGGCTTTATTGTCTTCACAATTTATTATTTCTTATCTGTGAAATAAAAGTAAATAAAATCTTTGTTTCCACTGAGGGAAATAGTTTCAGCTTACAGAAACAGACAGGAGGTCTGCGTCACCATGACGAGAAGTTACATTTCTGGGGAGGTGCACATCAGGCTGCGGAATACGCCATTGATTTGACGCAGAAGTAAAGATCCCACAGAACGGTGAGGTTGCAGAACTAAAACGTCTATCATGTACATGTAGGAGAACAACATTGGCCAATGTGAACGTGTTTGGTTTGTCCGTTCTGGACTACTGTAGGAACAACATGGCGGATTCCATGGGAGAGGACCCACTCCAAACACAAATATAAACGGCTCATTCTAAGGTAACAAAAACACAACGGTTCTTATTTTCAAGTGATTATACACTAATGAAAACATTGTTATGAGTAGTATATTCCATTTTTTGCCAATAGATGCCCCTAAATCCTACACACTGGACCTTTAACTGCTACCTTGTAGTTGCTATTCATCTGTTACTCCGTGTTGGACTTCTACACCTAAAGCCAGCGGTTAAAGATTTTTACTCAAGTACTGAAATACAATTTTGACATATGTGAACTCTGACTGAATATTTCCAGTGTGTGCTACTTTCCAATAGGGTGGGTAGAGTTTTTGGCAGGATGATGACAGCACAAAAATAATATGTATATACTGATATGTATATAACCAAAGAGAAAGCACACAGTGCACGATGTCCGGCAGGATCTGTGGTAGGTGTTAGAGCAGCTACTGTGTCTAAAACAGAGGCAGAGTCTCCTTAATTCAAACTCCAGCCTGAACTTGACTTTTAAGTGCAGATTAGAGGCCACTTTGTCAGCAAGTCTGAAAACATTGGGAGTCTTTGTTGTCAGCAAATTGGACTCTCATCATGTTTAATTCATAGTGAAATAATTCATAGCCAAACCAAGACAACAGCAGCCCACTCAAAACACTGGACATTACACTGAGTGCTTTTACTGCCAGCAGAGAAGGCCACTCAGCAGCTACACAGCCTTCTGTGTGTGTGTTGATATATGTATGTGTGTTGATATATGTATGTGTGTGTGTGTGTGTGTTTTCACTTCAGAGACAACTTCCATTTCAAGCGATCAGCTTTACACTGCAGACACAGTATCTAATGCACAGATCACTACATTAACCACAGAGCTCACTGTGTCACACCGGACAAACTGCACCCTGTCTGCAGACTGCATGCATATGCAATCACTGATAGTGCACCCCCCTCCTCCACACACACACACACACACACACACACACACACACACACACACACACACACACACACACACACACACACACCACAATGCCACTCCCTCCTCCTGTAATAAAGAACAGGTTTATAACAGCAAAGTGTACTGGTCAAGGCCAGATTGTATCTTGAAAGTTCTCAGGACCATAAAACCACCACACGCACACACACACACACACACATACAAAAACTCACACAAACAGGGGCACCTGGAAAAATACAGCTTCGCCCAGAGTTCACTAATCACTTAACATTGTATAAACAGAGAGTTACTGACGGCTCTGTGCGCACACACACACACACACACACACACACACACACACCTTGCTTACACACTGTATCTTTGCAGATACTGTAGAGAAGCTCACGAAAACACAATCACGTATTTAATGTAGACTGGCACACGACAAACCGCATATCAGTTAGTTTCCAGACTAGTGTGTGTGTGTGTGTGTGTGTGTGTGTGTGTGTGTGACCTGCAGTAAATGAGTGATATGAGTTTTTCTTGCAGTTAGCAAGTGTTGGTTTGGGGACATTCTCTGACGCTCGTGACTTCAAGCTGAAGAGAAACCTGCTAACAACTACTGTGTGTGTGTGTGTGTGTGTGTGTGTGTGTGTTTGTGTGTGTGTTTGGATAATGTGTATCTGTGTATTCACATGTGCACCTTGATATCAGGAAATACAGGACGAACCTGCATGCCCTCTGTAACTGAACATGACATCATCATTCATTATTCTGTGATTCATATAATGATAGTTAGCTATTAAAACCAACTGTTAGCTGAGATACTTTGGGACTGAACTCTTTGGATAGACTCCATTACGAGCTTTACTGCAGCAGCACAAGGTTAAAGTTTACCTCCAAAATGGAAAAAGACAGTTCGTTTGAATTCTGTTGCTAATTTATTTCTGCGGTACAGTGGCAAATATGTCTACAGCTGCCACATTGCACTTTTACAGCACTCCCTGAAGTTGATTCTAATGAGGACACCGTAAGTTCAAAAAACACACAGCACACTGTAAGTGTGAACATGGTGAAATGAGATGCGTGCCATTTATTTCCTTGAGACAAAAGCTTCTTTTGTCAGTGTAATATCATTAGATAATCATATGTGGGTGTTTGAGGTCAGGTAAAAAAAAAAATCTTGTGTGGTGTGAAACCTGTAGGCTCATATAAGGATGAGTTGTTCTCAGTCTCTCCGGTTTTGCATTTCATTTCTCCTCCAACACACACGCACCTCCAACACACACACACACACACACACACACACACACCTCACTCTCTAAAAACTTTACTTTCAGATGGTGTATCGTGGTGAGGGGTTCTTTTTCATGGTTATGGTTGTCATGGCAAATGGACTGAAGAATTGTAGAAGTAAAAAAGTTTTCTCTGTTAAAAAAACGGGGGGAAAATACAATTTCTGTAACTCTGCAAGGTGTAAGCCTGGAGATAATCTGCCTTTAGCTGTGTTTGTTCACGCATTCATGTAGCAGCTATTGTCTCGCAAACTACTGGACCAATCAGCCTAATATTTTCTGTGCACATTTATGACTGTATGCTCCAGGACCTCTCGTGTGGTTGCAGTCATTTGAAATTGTTGAGAGACCTCTTTTATTGACTGTTATACACCATGATTGACTGCTGACTCCTCTCTCCTCTTAACCAGCCGATAGAGGGGTGCAAGTTTACCGGAAATTGGCATGACTAAAATAGTGGTGTAAGGTAATTACGATGGGCCCCAGTGCACGCTATTAAGACGGGCCTTAGTGCAAGCTATCGTACACATGATTAGAGAGTTGACATTGGATAACGTCAACAAACATATTACCCAACAATCATCATTGTGTATCTGTATATGACAACAAATACCAATGAAAATAAGG